TGAGAAGTGAGCAGTTAGATGACGTTTGGACAATTACCAACCATGACTACATTGTATCATTACTGCCAACTGTAGATGTGAGAAACTACAGATTTTGCTTCGAAAATTATGGTTCAGTGCTTTAGGTTTGTCCCAGAAGATAGTGTTCATACAGCGTTATATGGCAACTCGCTTTGTGTTTCCACTTGACCCCAGGAGGCTCTTGTGAGTAACTTTTGGCTATTTACAAAAACAGATTAAAATTAAAATGAATGATTCTTCATGACTCACAAAAGCAATTGAGACCATCAGCAACAACATTCAGTGTTTTTTCAGTGATTAGTTAAAGATGGAAGATAGATATTTTGCTACAAAATACAAGTTATCCAAGCTCAGCATAGATCAAATCAGGGGGAGACCTGACGAGTCAATCACCAAGTGCAGCGGATCATTTCCTTGAAGTAATAATCATCATAATAAGTCTGAATAAGTGTTACTGCATTTCCATGAAGTAATAATCATAAATGTTCTTCCTGCTGCACTTGATGATTGACTTGTCAGGGCTCCCCCACAAATAAGCGGCTGCTGGAGGAGAGTGGGTGAGTTGTGTTTGGTCTCTTTGCTAAAGAAATCAGGCAAAGCTAAAAAGATGTTTGGTGGCTAGTACGACAGCTGGGACCCTATATGTACTGTAGATGAAGTTAGGTGCTGTTCTGAGCATTATTTGTGGCTATAGAGTGGCTTTTTGGTTGAGGTTTGCATGTGGATCCATAGACCACTGTGTATTGCTATCTGCAGTTGTTTCTAAAGTTGGTATAACTACAGAAACAAGCAGTCAGCAACATTCATCTCTCAAGGGGGTGTCTAACTCAGTGTTACAGTGTGTTTGACCATAACTTAATTTTACACTGGAATGTCCCTTTAAGTTTCCTTTTTTATTTCAGTATGTTCATGTTGGTTAAGTTTCCTTTATTTTTCCACATTCATGTTTTGTTTCATGTCATGTCCTTCTTTTTGGTTCCTGTCTGGTCTGCCCTGCCCCCCATCTTGTCACACTTGTTGCCTGATTGTGTCTCAGACCTCATACGTCTCGCTGTCTCGTCACCAGTTTGTCACACTCTTCAGTCTTTGCTCCAGCATTCATAGTCATAGTCACGTCATGTATAGATCCTTGCTTGTTTGTTGACCTTCCTTTTTTTTGTGCCTCAGCTCTTTTTTGGTGCCTCCACCTTTGACTTAAAGCGACCTCTGCTTGTTCTATTAAACCTTTTACCTGTTTGACTTGCTGGTGTGGTGATTTGCATTTGTGTCCACATACTCTTAGTCCTGTTTTATGACAACTAATCCAAATTTAGTGTTAATCACCTTAAGGAAAGTGTATATAAAAGCAAAAATGTGCATACTTTTAGCTATATTTCACCTGAGAGTGCGAGTGATCAAATAAAAACCACGTATGCTTCTGTATATTTTTAAGATAGACTACTCCTCTCTCCCTTCTGCTGCTGCTATAGAAAAAACAAATCCACCGTCTCTGTCTCTCACCCTAATTTACTGTCTCAACACCTAAAGACAGTGAAGGAGAAATGTAACACTCCTGGATGACCTACTTACACTAAAGCATCGTCTCATTTACATGCACACACAAACTCACCTTCACTGACCTGGATATTCTTAACTTCATGCAGACGCACTCACACAAAATCTGGCAGTCCTGTGTAACAGGCACGCTCAGGTGCAGACTGTTAAATGATCCTTCATTCTCTCTGATAGATTTAGGTTTCTCTCACATACACACACAAACACACACCTTGTGTCTCTGCATAGACTGAAATGTCATATGGCTGCTTGATTGGACAGCCAGAGGCCCGCTGGGAGGAGAAAAGGTGATGAAAGGATGTGCTGGAAAAACAAGTTTGCAGCCCTCATTGTGTGCAGGCACAGAGGCAGGCGGCTCTGTTCAGGGTCCTCAGTTCTGTTTTTGTGCCAGCTTCTTTGTGAATCTGGGTCAACTCCAGAACTCTTTTTTTCCCCTTGTTACAATCTCTGTCTGCATCAGGCTAACATTACACTCACCTCTCTCCTCACCCCGGGTCCCTGGCTCTCTTTCCCCTGATAGTTTAATCTTTTCTTCCTTGTTTTTGTGTCTTTTACTCAAACTTTACATCACATTCACATTTCCAGTTCTCCTTGGGATGACCCTTTGACCTTATTCGCCTCCATATGTCACAACATTCAAATTAAGCTGGAGATGTTTCACGTTTTAATGAAAGCCATTTCTCACTGATGAGATCTTTTGAGGTTTACTGTCAACTCTGACACCTGCAGGTGATGGCCATAAAAAAAAAAAAACTAGACTGGTCCTCCTGTGTGTGAGGCCAAAAAGACTGTTTTCTCAATGTGTGTGTTCCTGAGAGAGAGAAAGAAAGACAGACAGACAGACTGGAAAGACAGAGGTTCAGATGAGGGAGCTCAGCAGAGATGCACAAATACTATGGAGACATTTCTTGCCAGACAGGAAATGACCTCCCAGAGAGCGGGGGGCTTCCCCAAGGGTTGTATTTCTCTTTGCTGCTCATGCACAGACATTCAGTCATACACAAAGCTATAGTGTCTGACTGTGATGTCTACAGATATGCATGAGAATGAGTCCAACCAGCCAGGGAGTGTTCTGAAAAGGGTATGACACCCGTTAGCTTGACTATAGAATCTCTTGCTTCTCAAGGGAAATTGAATCTGTGTGTGCCAGTCAGCTTAAAGTAGCTGTTATGCTAGGGTTTCCCTTTTTGGCAAAAAAAATATATATACATGTATATGTGTGAGCTTTTAATGAACAAGTCCTCCAACTCATATGGCCACAGTTGTTGTTTGCTGATGCACTGGAATACGACCAACTTAAGTTAGCTGTGACTGATCAGAGAATTTAGTTCAGGATAATGTCTCGGACCTGTTAGCTGTATGTCCTTTTAATTTACACGATAGCACATGTAGCATACTTCTTGCTTCTATTACCAGCATAATCGATGATGGCAATTACGTTCATCATACAAATTAAGTTTCAGGTGCAGAAATGTCACATTGTCCAAGAGTTAAATTAGCTAACTTGGCTGCACTGTTTGCTAACAGATGCACCTTTTAGGTAAAATCGCGTACTTTCAGAGGCATTAGCGGCTAACTTAAGCGCGAATGAACGTTATGAGTCGCTAAAGCGTCAAATTGAACTAAGTGGGACACATATCAATTGCAGATAATCATGGCTATTTGTCAAATAACGAACATAAACAAATAAAATCAAATACACAGCGACTTACACGATGCCACTAGAGGTCGCTGCCACCCTGAAACAAACACACTGTGTGGTCATTTGGGTGCATGCAAAACGACACCTGTGGTTGTTCTGCGGAGGAGGACAGTCTCCTTTTAACATGTATTTGGGAGGTTTTATGTCTTCTATGCAGTCAATTAAAGGAGTAGGAAGTGGGAAGAAAGAGTAGGTAATGACATGTGGCGAAAGGCCACAGGTCAGAGGGACCAATGGATTTAGTCCTTGAATGCATGATTGACCAGCAAGACAAAGAGGCGCCCCAACATAATGCTATCTTTAAGAAAGTGAACACAATAGCTCAGTTGAAAATATTTGAACAAAATCTTCATCGTTTACAGCTGACTGAATAACTTTGTTATTTTGCATGTCATGATACATGATGTCTGACAGATATAGTCAAAGAGGAGATGTTATTAAGCTGCTTGAGCTTATCTAAGGTGGCTTTACAAACGGTGATACTGATCTTACATGTCAATGCTGTCAATGGGTAAGTAGTCTACCTCATGTGCAATAAATGTGCAGATGGCCTGGCAGAAACAGCAGGCTACATGCTTTAACTGGACTGGAACATGAACCTTCATGTAGACTCCACACATTCACTTCTTGCTTTGCACATTTCTGCACAAAAAAACTTGACATGCTCCATTCACCCTGCAACTTATTTCCACACTTTTTAAAGATCTTTTGCTCAGATTTGGCACTTCTCTTCATCAGTCTTAACACACACTTCACGACCGAATTCCTCGTCTGCAAATGTGAACCATCTGTGCTCCTTATGGCCCCAACTCAAGGCGCGTTAATGAGAGAATGGTAAATTATAGCTGAGCTGCATGTAGACAGTGTCCCCACTGTACTGTTCATGCTCACTTTGTGTAAGCTACGTTAAATTTGATCTCCTCTGGCTTTCAAAGAGTGTCACATGGTTGTTCAGTGTACTGCAGCTGTTTTATGAATAATCATTATTCATGGAGTAACAACTGATGATATGAATAAAAGTATTTGATTCAACTTCTTTATGATTGCTTCTGTGTTGCTCTGTTTGCTCCCAACTGTGAGAGAAACTTAGACTCCGGGGTTCTCTTGGGGTTCCGTGGGAAGGAATTCTTCCTGTCTGTTTTGTCCATAACAGGGATCTGATCCAGATCTCAGACCCCCGGTGGCTGCGGGGGCGCGCAGGAAACTTGGTCATAGTCCTCTCTCTCTCCCCCTCTCTCTCTCTTTTGGCAGAGACCCCTGTGTGTATTTGATTACCTGCGTGCACGCGCAAAGCTCTGGATCTCGTGCGTCAAGGTTTGTGCACATCTGTTTTTGGCAGGGTCGCAGAGTTGCGGAGGAGGGACTACTTCAGTGTGTGTGTCAGTGTGAGTGAGTGAGAGAGTGTGTGTATGTGTGTGTGTATGTGAGTGAGCCCACTCTGCGCCTGAACTCTGTAATTCGCTGCAGATGACCACTTGGGGGGATGGAGGCTTTACTGGGACAGCACCAGCGCGCACTGCACATATGAAATTATGCTATAGCCTGGATGATGCTGCTGTGTGATGGAGCCGTATGCTTGACACCTCTCTCCGCGTTTAGGAACAACAAGTGGAATATGGACGAGTGGATCTCCAGGGTGCGAGAGGAGAGGCGCGATTGCACCTGAAGTTTACAAAGCGAATGCTGCGGCAGTCTCTGGCTGTGCCACGCGCGCTGTGCGGGGATGGATACCGGCAACTTCCTGGCGGGGATTTGCTTTTTTCTTCTGTCCCTCTACGGCTTTATCTCATCCTCACCGGCGCCAGGCTTTTGTCCCGACCGCTGTGACTGTCAGCACCCGCAGCACCTCATGTGCACAAACCGCGGGTTACGCACTGTGCCAAAACCTGGCGCGCGTACGTCCGAGGGGGTGCTGATCTTCAGCCTTGGGGGTAATTTTATCAGCAACATCTCTGCCTTCGATTTCACATGGTACAGCAATCTACTGAGGCTGAATTTACAGTACAATCAATTAGAAACCATACACCCAAAAGCATTCGAGAAGCTCTTCAATCTAGAGGAACTCTACTTGGGACATAATCTTTTATCAAATATACCTGCTGGGGCTTTACAACCCCTGAAGAAGTTAACAGTTCTCTATGGGAATGATAATGACATCGGGAAAATCACACCGGAACTCTTTGCCAACTTGGATAATCTTGTGAAACTGCGCCTGGATGGCAACTCCATAGAAGTTCTGCAGGACTCCGTTTTTAAAAGCCTCCCCAAACTGCATTATCTCCACCTGGAATCGAACAAACTGCAGCATATTCACAGAAACGCTTTCTCTAAACTCACTAACCTTCGTTTTCTAAACTTGGCACACAACAAGCAGTCAGCCCTGCGCAATGCCCTCACTTTTTCCCAACTTAAAGCTCTGACAACTCTGCTGCTGTCTGAAAATGAAATTCAATACGTGGGAAACCAAGTTTTCCACAACCTGAAAAAACTCTCCAAGCTGTCCCTCAGTAACAACAGAATCTCTCGTCTGGACAGCGGGGCTCTAAGCGGTCTGTCGAGTCTCAGACAGTTTCTGATTGACGGCAATGAGCTGGAGGAAATCCCCGCCGGTCTGCTCGACTCTCTGGAGCGAATTGAGGAGCTGGACTTCAGCCGCAACCGGATCTCCAACGTGGACCCTTTGGCCTTTGCTCAACTGAAACATCTGAAGGTGTTGAAGCTGAAGAATAACATGCTCACTAGCCTGTCAGGGGACATTTTTGCTCTCAACAACGTGCTTTACGACCTGGATCTCCATGGCAACAACTGGACGTGCGACTGTCGTTTGCAGGAGCTGAAAAAATGGATGACTGCTGCACATTCTCAGGGCAAGCTGTTGACTGTTTTTGTGCAGTGTCATTACCCGGCAACTCTGAGGGGGAAATATCTGGACTATGTGAACAGTTCCCAGCTGCAGCCCCCTGGGAACTGGACCCACTTGTGTGACAGCCAGGCCGGGCCAGAGGAAAGCCGGGGAGGGGAGGTTCTGGTCAAAACTGAGGTGAAAGAGCTAGGGGTGGTAGATTTGAATAATCAGAAGGATGGAGGGGAAGAAGGCCAGGTAGAGGAAGGAGCAGATATGAATTTAAGAAAGGGGGCTAGTTCTGGGCTTAAGATGAAGAAAGAAGTTGAGGAAACCAAGAGAGAGGGTCAAGAGGAGGTGGGAGTTCAAGGAGATCAAGGGGGTCCTGAGTTGGAAGCACCCACTGCTTCATTAGAAAGAAAGAAATCAAAGAAAGAGTCACCTGGAAAGCGTGCCAAAGGGAGAAGAAGATCAAATACTTCCAGAACTGATCCACCAATTACCTCCACACCAAGTCCTGCTGGAAACCTGAACTCCAGTGATCCAATCACAGGACTCCCTTCAGTCCAGTCTGGAGAGAAGTTTGATCTCCTGAGGTCAGACCACGAGGAAGCTCTTCCTGTTATCACTGATCCATGTGTGTTCAACCGCCACTTCATCACCAATGTGTCAGTGGATCAGGTGACGTCCAACACGGTCACTGTTTACTGGACCACCAGAAATCATCGCCGCTACACACCAGGACCCAGGTCCAGCTTAGAAGAGGTCCATTATCGGATACTTTTTGATCGATTTGGGACTCAGGATCGATTTCCTCGCTATGTTTACACCCGTGGATCAGCTCGCTCTGTAACCCTGCGAGAGCTGAGCTCTGATGTGACCTACCTGGTGTGTGTGGAAGGTGTGGTCGGTGGGTCTGTGTGTCAGGTAGCGCCACGTGACCACTGCACAGGCCTGGTCACTCTACCTGACTATCCCAGTCGCGAGGGTGCACTGACCTCTGACCTCCAGCTGGTGACTGTGGCCGCACTGGCCGGAAACGCTGTTCTGCTGCTGGTGGTGGGCGGGGTATGGCTGGGGCGGAGCTTGAAAAGGAGGCTACAGAAGAGGAAGTCAGCTGTACACGTGCGGCACATGTACTCCACTAGACGACCTTTTCGTCCTACTATGGCGACGGCCTCGGTGTCAGCTGACTTCACCACCTATCAGAGCAGTCGACCTGCGCGACTTGCACCACTGGAGGAAGGGGATCTCATTGAGTTCCCTTGTGACCGTTTCCTTGACAACAGCAGTGTTCGCAGAGACAGTGACATGCAGAGATTTTCTGACTAAAACCACAAAGACTCGAAAACATCGAAAACAGGAACTTATTGAGATGCTATATTGAGAACACAGTCTCTATGTGCATTTGTGGCTGTGAAACCAAACTGACAATCCCACTTTTTGCTGTTGTGGTTCCTTTCTGACCACAAGAGAGCTTCAGAGTGACCCGAGAACAGCTGAGCTCATCAGTGCCTCTTCAGACACCAGAGGAAGTTCAATCCCTCTGCTTCCTCTCTCTGCTTTGTGCCTTTTCCTCTTTCATTTCCTTGCACCTGCAAATGTCTCAGAATGTGTGAGCTGTTGTGAATACAAGCGTGAATGTATGAATGATTGATTCATCACTGATTTCAACTATGGTGCTAATTTTAAATTCACAGACATCATATTGTCTCAGTTTTTGTACAGTGTGTCATGATGGCTGCTGGTTGGCAGGAAAAAAATCACTTGTTTTGTATCACATCTATCATGTTTTATACTTTTTTTTACATCACTTTTGCATTACATGAAGAAGTAAAATCCCCAATAATGTGACTGATTTGTCATTCTTGAGTTTATGGTTGATGAAGCTCTGTAACACATAAAAAGCTCTGTATTGCTTAGTAACAGCTTTTATGTGAGTCATTGCTTATTCATAGCAGCAAGAGATTATATTCTACATTTCTCTACTGATAAATAGTAACCCTCCAAACTGCAGGTCTAGTTGTGTTATAAAACTGTACCACAAAGTTCAGGCTGCATGAAAATGTTATACGCAGCGTTACATGTCCACAATGCTCACAATCAAAAAGAAGTTACATACCATGGACTGGTGATTTAGGTTGTATTTGTTTGCATGTGGCATAATGAATCAATTCTCCCTTCCTCAGCTGGTATTCAGTGTGTTAAAATGAGGCCTAAACAATGTAAGAGGGTGGGGAAGATAATTGCAGAAGATAGTGTGCAGAAGGAGCAAGTGTGTGTGTGTGTGTGTGTGTGTGTGTGTGTGTGTGTGTGTGTGTGTGTGTGTACTTGTGCATCCGTGCTTTTGCCTGCGTGTCATGATGAGGTCTGGTAATAGTTAAGCAGTCCCTTTGTTTGAGCAGACAGGGTGGAGTGTCTCCCACACTTGGTCCAAATCACACACACATGAATGACCGCATGCAAAGAAAAGTATTTTCGTATCAACAGATGGTAAAGATATCTGATGGGAACACTTCTGATATCAAAAATTTTAATGAAAAAGTCTTTAGATAAAGTGTTAAATAGATTCCCTTAAGTATGGCAAACTGTGCTGATGTAGTTAAAAAACAGGATTAATTTAAAGCTGATAAGCTATAAAAACAGTGTCTTTGTGTTTCATCAATGATGGCATACTGATGTGTTTCTGTCAGTAAAATGCACTCACCAGCATAGTCATTATGGTCAACTTTCAATAACAGGATCCGTCACTAGGTGGCAGAATAGACCATACTGTATCTGTACAGGAACACAGTAATAATGCTCAGAGGTCTAACAGGTTTTATTAAATCAAAACCAGTTTAAACAGACATTTAAAAAACAAAATAATACCAGAATTAAGGTTGAATTTAATAACCAACAGGGATTGAGACATGAGGTGCAGTCTGTCGCTGTTTAGTGTCTTAGGTTGATTTTAAAAAGTGCTCAAAAGGAGATTCAATACAATCATGGTTTGAATGGCTGTCCCATAGACATGAGCTTGAAATCTCAAGATAAACATTTTTTTTGTCTCATGAATAATTTGTAGAAAAATACATTTTTTTAACAAGCTGCTTCTGCATCACAGAGAAGGCATAAGGTGTGCGCTTGCATAAGCTCAGGTAAAATTACAAAACTAATACTTAGGTTTTTTTTTTTTTCTTTGAATTAGTGCAAGGTAGAAGAGGGGAAGATACTGCAAAGATGTGTTAGGATTGTGTATGTGCATAGTTAGTGGGTTGAAGGCAACGGTTAGATTCATGTGGACAGAGGGAGACTTTTCTGAGATAACACAAGATCCAGTTGTAACCATCGCAGGCTCAGAGGAAAAGTCCTTTTTTTTTTGCACCAGTTATGGAAATATATCAGTGGTTCTGGTCTTGGCTTCACCAAAAACTATTATAAATGATGTCAAAAGCACTGCAGTGTTCACATGTGTTTATAACCTCACTAATCCAGTCCAGTATTTTACCTAAAGAGACACAGCTAAGTGAGACTGAAGTATAGTTATGACAGAAAAGATCATTCAGTCTGGTGGGATTCAAACATCCAGTCCCTCCCCCTCCTCTAAGAGTGCTAGCGTCCAGGCTGGAGGTCGTGCCCCGTGTCGACCCCCACTGTCGAGGAGGAGGTGGAGATGCTGTTGTGTTGGATGGCCTGCAGATGAGAGCCAGGACCTACAGGGGCGGGACTTCCTCCCTCGCTCACCCCTGCAGCTGGACACAGAGACAGCTATCAATCAAAGTCACTGAGCCGGTGTGGTTTGTCGGTTCAGTGATTTGTGTTTCTTTCGAGTAAGTAAATGAATGAAAATCCACTAGATTTAAGGAAAATATCTCTTTTATTTAAACAAATACAGGTAAAAAGACAACATTAGAAATAAAGGTATTTAACACTTGGCTAATAATACAACTTTTTTGCTCTCTGGATCTTTCTTAACACTTTAAACACGCTTCTTTTTTTGAAGCCACAAGGTGCACTATTTCCTCAATTTCTGTCATTTTAGGCCACATGCAGGGTCAGTCATTTCTGAAATTAACTTTACCCCGACTGGAGTGCAAGATGAGCGTGCTCTGCATTTTGTCCAAGCTAGTTTAATGCTAAGCAAAACAGCCATCGCTAGATTCTTGCATTATTTCAAAATACCATCAAGGTCTGGTGCTTTGAATGAGAATGAACATGACACTGAAAAATCTATTCCTTTAAGTGGAGAGTCAAGAGTGCAGTGTTTTCCCCTGATTGGCTCCCCATAGGAATAAAAGTGCAGGTACCAAAAAGTAGAGAAAAGCTGAGTTTTACTCTAAGTGCTGCTTAGTTTCATTCTGTAAGATACTGTTCAGAGATACTGCAAGGTAGGGGGCTTTTGTAACCCTGGCGTACTCCTTTATGTGCATGTGCATGGTGTAAGGTATCTGAATTATGCCCACAGTGATGGATGGAGATGACTGATGTCAGGCGTCTGGAAAAAAGCTGGTGAGATTTCTAGAGGGGGGGTACAGGGTAGTGGGTTTTACTCACTAGAGAACCCCTGTGCCTCTCTCTGCCGAGCGGTGACGGGACAGTCCTTATGAGTGAGCAGAATCTGTTTCAGTTGACCCACCTCTGACCTCAGGGACGTCACCTCGTTCTAGAAAGACAGAGAAACACTGAGTATCCTCCTTGTGCAGATGGTGTTTGTGTGTGTGTGTGTGTGTGTGTGTGTGTGTGGGTGTGTGTGTGTGTGTGTGTGTGTGTGTGTGTGTGTGTGTGTGTGTGTGTGTGTGTGTGTGTGTGTCTGTGTGTGTGTGTGCTTGTCCGAGCGTGTCCCACCTGTAGCTGCAGGTTTGTGTGCGTCAACTCCTCGGCTTTCTTTTCCAGCGACGACACCCAGAGTTTCCTCTTCTGTCGGCAGCGGGTGGCTGCGGCTCGGTTACGCTCCAGAAACTTCTGCCTTCGCTCGTCAGGGTCCTGGTCTGTTGTTCTTCTGCGGCGGTGGCTACCTCCACCTCCTCCTCCTACACCTGCACCGCTGCAGCTCCCACCTGGCTGTACTGCGTGCTGGGGGAGGGCTGACTGGGAGGCCTGCATCTGCTGTGCAACTGGTGATAACTGCAAGGTAATAATGATAAAAAAATATGAAAAAATCATCTGCATTTGCTGCTTAGCAAGAATCCTGAACAGAGCAATACTGATCATAAGTATAACAGCCTGGCTCTGAGTGCGATATCTGGTTATAACAGACTCAGCTAGAGGCCTGCAGTATGTAAAGCTCCTGTTAAGGACTTTTTGGGTTGTGTCCACTTTAGCGCCCTCTGTTGTCAAAGTACGCTTGGCTCATTTTGTCCTCTACATGTTTGAGTAATGCCCCTAGATTGTAAATAGAATGGGCGCCATCTGCCTCCTCGCTGGGTGAAGCCACCCTGAGAACAGCACCCTCTGGTGACGGGCTGCAGTATAGGTCATAAATCCCAATTCCCCCAGCCATCTTTGCCTTTGATTGGCTAGATAAGCTGGAAACACCATCACACGCTCAAGCCAAATGCGAGCTGTTGGCTCTGTACATCAAACAGAATATTACAGAACATTATCACACTTCTGAACCTCCTAACCCTAACCCTAACCCGACAGTCGATGGTGTTTCAGGGCCATTAGGAAGAACCAATCGAAGCACAACACTTCTAGCTGAAGGACAGCGGGACCTTCCCCTACCACCCAACAACAAAAAATTTCGCCATCTGGTGGATACGCTGTTTGAGCTGAGCATCATCATAGCGACTCTCGGGGACTCTCCCACCGAATGAGTACAATGATACTGCGCAATGTTGGTTTCAGGAAGTGAAGAAAAACGCAGTTATTGAGAGATTTTCGGCTTCAAATCCATATACTGGCTGAAGGTGGAACCAAGTTGTCCATAGTAGTCCAAGTTGTCCATTGATAGTCACAATTCATTGTGAATATTTTAAGTGAAAATAGTAAAAACATGACCATTTCTTCAGTAAAAGTGTTATCAATCTTGTTGCTTGTGGTCTTCTTTGCTTTAGGACGTCATGAAAATTTAATGAACATCAAAAGAGTCATTACAGGAGCTTTCATAGTGATAATTAAAAACACATTTTGGTGATTTTGAATTTGTATGTTACTCTGTGTCACATGTAAAAATAAGAGTGTATTGAGAGTTTGATGGGTGGTCTGTGTAATTCTAAGGTTTACTGAATGGGCTCTGTGCACCGATCCACTTCTTCCTGAACTTAAGGCAGCTCCTTTATTTCCTGTCTCACAATATTGGACAAACTGATTAATCCAGGTGTGTCTGACTAGTCACAATGATCAGTCACACCTGGATTAATCAGTTTGTCCAATGATGTAATACAGGAAATAAAGGAGCTGCCTTAAGTTCAGGAAGTAATGGAGCTGTGCATAGAGCCCATTTGGAAAAGACCCTCTACCAGGGTCGTCAACAGTACTCAGGATACCTGAAGCCAGTTAAAAACTACAATTCCAGTGATTGTGCACCCTAGTCCAACAATTATTGAACACCTCTTCTCCAATCAGATCACTGTATCTAAAGCCACTGTCATGTCAGTGAACATGGAGCACTGTACCTGCGGTGGAACAGACAGAGGAGGTGCTGGAGGTGACCCCTGGTGCACATGTTGAGGCGGTGATTGGTGAGCCTGAGCGTGCGTTACATTCACTGACTGGTGGAGCTGATGCCTGTGTGGGCTGCCCAGATGCTGCTGAGGAGGAGCGTGGCATCGCGGTTGATACGAGAGGTGCTGAGCTGGAAGCTGTGCCTGATGATGCTGTTGTTGATGGTGATGATGATGATGATGAGTAGGAGGTGGGTGAGGGGGTTGATGGTGGTGTTGTAGTGGAGGTGCCTGATGACACTGGCGTTGTGGCATCATATCCATCATGTGGCTCATAGATGTCACAGGGTTGTTGACGTTGATCATTCCAGGGTGGTGCTGGGGGAAGTGGTGGCCCAATGTCTGTTTGGATCTCTGGGTGGACATAAAAAATGATTTACAGTGGTGAGCATGTGATCCGCTTTATAGAACAGTTTAAGTTACATGAAATAAATGCTGTATGATACAAACGCTTATGAAAACGACATTTCCCATGAGCACTATCACCCACTGTCTAGAGGGTGTGGCTCTTGCTAAAATCTTTATTCTAATAGGACTTTTCTCTGCACCAGAGGGTTTTTTACAGAATGCAGAGATGAGGTCATGTTTTGATCTGTCGTTATGAAAAGGGGCGTGCCCAGACTTTTTGACTGAGGTGGCCCAACTGGGGCACCAGCATGAGCAAAGGTAATGTGTGCACACAAACAGATTAATAGCATTTACCCACTCTGTCTTCTCCATCTGTTTTAACAATAATCATGTATGAATCATAATGCTTTTGTATTTCCTTTTTATATTTTAACAATGAAAGGAAACATTACAGATTGTCATGATTAAATAATTTAAGTTTAATTCTTAATGACTCAAAACATGTTTCTCCAAAGTCACAATTGAAGTTTTCAACAAAAGAAAATTGCATTAAACACAAAGAAAGCTACTGCCAGCCTCCTAACACAACCACAATAATTAGTTTTAACATCTGATGTTGCAAACAGCCAATCAGCTTTGGATTTTGGTGGCACCTACAGTGACCTAGTTCTTTAAGGGGGACCAGCGCCACTCTTGGCCACCCTTTTGGGTGCACCCCTGGCTTCACAAGATTATTAACTGCATGGTAGCATCAAAAAACTTTAACACTGAAAGTTTGATTAGTTATATGAAGCAACAAACAAAAGGAGAATAACATTAACTGTCAGTCCTGGTATCACGATGCGTGCTCTGGTGTCCCAATTAATTCAACTCCTTTGTTCTGATACAGAGGTGAAGCATCCACATGCCAGAGTATAGTATATGAGCCAAATGGCTATTCACAAAATGTCTGTCAACAAATACAGTATGATAAATCCTTGGTCTTTTACTGAGAAAAGCCTTGTTGTAAAGGCTCTGAGTCTAAAACAATATTGGAACAAAAAAATGTGCTTCATTTTACTGTCTGTGCCCCAGTATCAACCATGAATTCTTAACACTAGCTTAATGTAACATAACGTAGCTTATCTAGGAGAGACGATTATGAACTCAGCCTTGTTTTAGTCTTTGATTAATGTCAGTATACTATGTCGTTCATGAGGTATCCGAACGAGCAATACCTTTCGTACTTTTGGCTTACTTCCATAGTATCCACCTTCTTGTAAAGTAAAGTGAAAAATTAAAACCTTGGTAAGTATCTATGAAAGATAAATTGCAACAAGCATCTTTAAAAGCAACATTGTGCCTCCTACTGCCACTACATTCACCATAATGCCAATAAACTATATTTGGTCATTATTTTTAAAGGGGGTGGTGGTTATACATTTTCCATCCTCCTTGTAGTGGGCTTAGGGGTGTTAGACCCCCTTACACAAGCTACAGGAGCAGATAAGCTCCTAACCAGCAGATCACTTCAGGTCAAAGAAGCCTGCTTTCCCACAGTCCCACCTCTGTGTAACAAAATGTATTAAACTTACAGTGATAGCTGCTCTTAGTTACACTCCTACTCTCACAGCATCATTACCATCACTCCTGTTCATCCACAACTGTGGCTCTGATTGTGGATAAGTGGGTTAATGTGTTCCAATAATTGCTGCCGTCTGCAGCTTGATACCTTCACACTTTATCGTTCCCATGTATCGTCTGACTAAACAGACTGTAAGAGCTAAATTAAACCTCATCTCACCTTTCTCCTCCACTCAGCAGAGGAGAGCGGCAGAGAGGAGGAGGTCATGTTTAGAGCATGACATCACCCCCCCTCCCTAGTTTTAATGCTATCTGCTCCCTGTTACACAATATTTCTTTAAGAGAAGAGGCAGACTCCCCACCGCCCCCCTTCAACCATTCAGCAACGAGAAAAGGGAGCACATTTAGCCAGTGCCAAGGATGAGGTCACTGGGTTGTCTGTGCCAGCTTAACCAGCCAGCCAGGCTGCCAGTCAAACACGCACGCACAGCCACACACTAACACACACAGTGAACAGGATGGGACATGAGTGCTTCAGCTCTGTTTACTACATAGAAACACCCTGACACCGAGGCCTGTATTACATCATGGATCTCCTTGGACTGGATGACACACCACGTTGATATTTCTGTCTGGAGGGATCAGTGAATGAAGACGCACAACTGTACATGAAACACTGAGCCACTTGTCAAGCGTTTACTTTTCCACACAGCCTCAGCGTGAAGTTACTGTACAACGGAGGCGTGTAAATACTTCTGCTGTGGTTTTACAGGACCGGAGTCCTGTTTCACATCTTAGAAATGCAAACAACACTTTCGGTGACGCTAAATGACAACACATTTGAGTAAAATCAGCCTGAGGAGCAAGTTAATGGTTCTATGTGTGTGTCTATCCAAACAAGAGAAGAAGAAGAAGAAGAAGAAGAGAGGCTCAGATTTAAACCTGAGGCCTGAGCAGCTCTGAAACCTGAAACCACTTTTCATTCGCTGCTCTAGATACAAGCTGTGCGCATGAACTCGTAACCTGTGAGTGTGTGTGTTTTTGTGTTTGTGCGTGTGGATTTCACAGTTTTCCCTTTTGAAGCTGCTTTTGATAGCACACACACTTAAAAATTTATACGACATGCGCCTCGAAAGAGGAAATGTAAAATTTAGAATGCAAGAAATTGAAAGCATGTCGACACAAGGAAAATAAAAACACCCAGGAAAGCTGGAGAGAGTGTGTAGTTTGTGTCTTCCTGTAGTACAGATGTGTGTGTTTATGTGAGTAAGTGTGTTTGTTTTCAAGTTTAGGGTTACACTCTGTTTCCTGTCCAAACTGATTAGAAACAAATAAACCAGGGTTGAGGTTCAGTCTGAAGTTTTTTGGCTTTTATTTAAACAAAGAAGTGTAAAGTGAAAACGTATAAAATTAAAGAAATTGTTTATAAATTAGCCTAGCTTAGCATCGACACTGGAAACAGAAAAACAGCTCGACTGGCACCACTAGCTCATCAACTGGCTTTTGCGTGTCCTATTATTGTTTTCTGTGCACAAAACTGCAGTGGGTCTATAAAATAAACAATTTGATACTTTACAGGTCCGTGTGCCAAACACTTTCTTGGCTCTTAGTGATTGCCAAGCCGCCAGCGGAGATTCCAGGAAGTCACTGCGCCTGGCCAAGAAATAGTCTGGCTCTTACCCTTGGTAATGTGGCAAAATGTCATTTTACCTTGGCTTTTGATTGGTTTAAACCACAGACTGTAGAAAACAATGGGAAGAGGGACAGCTATACAAGCAGAGCCCTAACGTTTGAAGTTCTCTTGATGATTGACTTAAGTATTAGTCATAAAGCCCGCCTCCTCCATTGCTCCCCCATAATACTGATTTATCATATTCAAGAGGAGTTTAGTCATACAGAAATGAGTTATTTGATGTTAAAAGACAGGGTGTGACAGTTTGATTGACAGCTCTGTTGACAAATGTGGGCCCCTGTGGTGTTCTTACTGGAAATAGAGAAGAAAAGGCAGGAGAAACCAATCAGACATAAACAAAAGAGTCTTTTAGTTTTCCATAACCATGACTGTCCACTTTGAATCAGTTCTGCTGTTAACTTTAGCAACCTGGGGGGTCCTGTAAAGCTCCTAGTTTTAGTCAACTTTGGTACTTCTTGTAAACAAAGCTATTTCTGCTCATCTTGTCTTGTAGATGCTTTTGAGCAGTGTCGTTTGACCAAAAATCTCACCCTGTTGACTTTTGAAGGATTCCTACCTCCTTGCATCACAAGGCTTGTCACTGATGGTTCTGTTAGTTTTTGGATATCAAGACAAGGCGTTGATGTGGATTTTGGTCTATTTCACAAAGTCAAAAAACTCCTTATAGGAGCTTTTAATGTGTACGTTGTTCAGCCAAAGGTATGCAACATCAGTCCTGTGGCTCCATTAGTCAGATTATTTGTGTTCATGCCCTCTCATCATCATGTCAGTTATGTCTCAGAAGAGAGGGGGCTGTTTATACTAATATCCAGTCAATGACTAAAACAAGTGAGTTATAACATGTGAGTTGCTCAGGATAAGAGTTCCAGGTGAGCCAAGCTTGTGACCATTGCTCATAATCAGGCTAGCTGATTCATCCTGTTTTCAGTCTGTATGCTAAGCTAAGCAAAGTAGTCGCTGGCCGTAGATTTCAATTTGTGGTAAAAAATCAGGTCCAGCCTAAAATAATGGTATTAGTTTCAGAGTTTTAATAAAGTGTTATTTCCAGAGGAGAGAAGCAGAAGTGCACAGAGCCATGAAGAAAATATGAGTGCTTCAAGCTGACAGTACCTGAGGCGAGGAACAGGAGGGGTTGTGTACAGGCCCTGGTATACCCATTAGACACGACATCTGCTTCTCTATCTGAAGACGGTGAAAAAAAATTGACACAAAAATAACCTTTCAAGTGAGACATGAAAAAGCTTCGCCACAAACATAACCTGAAGTACAAAGAGTTCCCCCCAAGGTCACATCCATTAGGAGTTTGATTAATTCATCCAAAAGCGAGAAAAGAGTTTTTCTGTCAGCCATAAATATTTCTAAGCGAGGGGATCTTGACCACTTTGGCTTCCATACCTGCATGTATAAATCATAATTCATAATGCACGTATGTCTGGATGCAAAAGAGTGTGCATGTGTGTGTGAGGGAAACCAGTCTCCCATACTTACAGGCATGTGCTGAGCAGATGCCCCTTGCATGGCAGGGTCTGGCAGGGTGCCAGGTAAGGAGGCTGGCAGCGGTTGTCTGTGTCTGTTCCGCATGTGGAGGAGGGATGACAGCGGCCCGGGAACAGGCCTGTGGTCAGCCAAAAAGAGAGAGAGAGAGAGAGAGAGGGAGAGAGAGTGAGGGGGGACGGGTCATACCAGACAGCTAAAGTTTCACTAATCTGGGTTCAGAGAGAGGTGCAGGTTGAAACATTTATAGCTGGGTCTTAATGGCAGATAGAGGTGAGATTGAGATAGATGGACGTGTTTAAAACAGAACAGCGCTGGAATAAAACCTTCAAACATTGAGAAGTTTCATTCTGAGGCCAGTGTGTTTTCTGAAATAACGTTTCACAAACTCTGGGTAATCCACAGACGTCACTGCGAACACTTTTCATAGTAACTACTTTCTGACCAAAATATATTTCCTATGATAACTATTGTTCTTTGGATTACCCAGAATAACCAGGATTTGTTTCTGGAAAGACTTGTTCCCATAACAACATACTATTTATCCCCATTGTGCTTAGGTGGAAGCTGTGTTGCTAGCTTTCCTCTCAGAAAGGACACTTTGAAGCAGTTTGCAAACGAATCAGACATTTATGGGTACCTTCAAACTACATGTTTTTCATATTTCCAAGTACTAATAAAAAGTCACATTTAACAAAACTCTGTCATTAAAGTGGAATGAAAGCTGAAGTAAAGCCTTAGGCTGCACTCAAACTCATATTTCTGAGATTAAAACTTCCCTGGTTACCGGTGCCTCTGCATTGACTCACAGTCAACTATGCTCCCACATCTGGAACGAGCTCTAAATGTGGTAAACGTGCTGTTTTAAGAAATATGCACAAAGGAAATATTTTAGAGGCGAAGCATCAAACACACTGTAAGAGTCCCTTTCAATCTACTTGGACGGCATCAGTTAGGGCTGAAAATTTGAGATTATAAAAGCACAACCTCCAACAGGCCTTTGAAAAATGCAATTATAGTATGTATTAATGTATGCAGCATATTTTATTCCTAAGGATTAGTGTTTGTGCAGGCCCTAATATAATGCTACCTTATGTTGTGACATTTTAGCAATTGAACCTCTGTGAGTTTCCTTCAGTTTATATTATTTTATTCATACTTCTTAAAGCTTTTTTTTTCATTAGTTTCACCAGTTCATGTCTCATTAAATTTAAAACAAGGTTATCATTATCTATGATTGATGTAACTGTGATGGTTGGGATCTCCCCCAAAATAATCAAACATCACAGTGATCTTAGAAGTTAATACTGACGTTTCATTCATGTGTTTTTCTATGGAGATCAGAGGTGAACCAGTTTACTGGATATGAGTGTAAATGTAAAGGTACAGTGTGCAGCATCTAGCCAAACACCCTGGGTAGATCTAATATTTGCAGCTATGTTTAATATCACCTGTTTTTGTTAGTGTGCTGTTTAGGAGTAGGCCCCCTTCACAGAGGTCGCAGTCTTGCATTTCTATATTTCTACAGTGACATTTAAAGGACAAAACGGCAACATATGCATTTTTGTAAAGAAGAAGAGAGTAGTTGTGTAAATAACTTCTATGGAGGGACGTTTTTGATGGTAGAAACTTGACAAATGGAGGATCATACTTGAATCATAGACGCATCACTAGTGCTTCACTCAAGGAAGGGCTAAGTGTTTCAATTCATGACCTGACTGCTAGATATTGCAAAATATTTCCATTTCTATACACCAGTCCTTTAACAGATAGTTATCATGTTCCTCTCAATAAAAATGGGAATATGAAAAAGACAAGAAATGCAGGTTTGAGGTTCCTATTTTGGTGTTTGGTCAGATCTGGCAACTCTGGGTTAAAAAAGGTCATCTGTCGTTCAAACTACATTATCAAGATAACCACAAACCAAAAGTAGGAAGTGATAAAAGAAGCCGATTTTTTCAGTGGTTGGACCAGCAGTTAATATCTGAACAAAGGGGTGTTGTATTTGTTTCAAACAGGTATGAATAAGGGAGTGATTTGAGGCATTAAAAGAAGAAACATTGAAGAAGTGGCAGAAAGATGAACAGAAATATTTACAAAAAGTGACAGAATGAAAAGGAGGAGAAAAGCTCAGGGATCACAGCAGGGGACGCTGGGAGCTAGGGTGTCATGTGCTGATCTAACCGCAGTGGCTCTCAGCCAGTCGGACAGCGTGGGCCTCCATGGCCGCGCTGAGGTCATCGGCAATGATGTCATCAGTGAATCTGGGGTATGCGGCCCAGTTAGCATACAACAAAGTTCAGACTAACCAAAGCAGCATTTCCTAACGTAACCACAACAGTTCTACTGGGCCGCAAGCCAGACAATCTGAGACGGGGTCGCTATGGAAACCGGTGGTAAACACGAGGGGAAACAGTCAGACACCCAATCCGTGGTTCACTGAGCAACTCTTAACTGGTTTGACTGACTAAGATGCTGTCTGGCTTCAGCTGGCACTGATTTACTGCGCTATTACTCTGTGTACTGCTCTGTCAGGTCATGTCTGCTCCTCAACAGATGTTTGAAATTATTGTACCACTTATTTACCCCTGGTAAGCCGATTCATCTAATGAAGCTAAGAGATGTGATAGGGCTTTTTTTTTTTTTAATATAAGAAAAAATCAGCGAGTGATCTTTTAACAGGTCATAAGGAGGCTTAACCTTAAGCAAAGGTTTGAAATTCCTCCTTAGGCTCCAAAGTGCTTCAAAACAGTGTCCCAAACTGTATGGAATCTGAGTGATGTGTGGGTTTGAGACACTGAGAATGTACAGTATTTATGATGTTGGGTCTGAAAACCTCATTGTATGTCTGTCTTATTTCCCATTCTGTGTCTGCTGTCTGCTTTCCTAAAAAGGATTCAAATGCAAGAATGCAGCAGCTCATTTTCATTTACGAGGTGATAACTATGACTGGTAAAAGAAACTGTAAAACCCTCAGAAAAAATGTAGGCTAGTGGTGCAGAATTTGCAGTTGAAACATCTCAAATGACAAGTATATATAGATGTGCATAAGCAGCAGAATTACAATGAGGTAAGCGATGTGAGGGCAGTGTTGCTGGATTGTTTGCGTCAACTCGACATAAATTAGCAAGGTTTTCCATGAGTCGAGTTGGTTTTTATATGCAGTGAAAATGTCACTGTATTGAAATTATATGTTAAAGCTCCAATGAGGAGTTTTTCACATTCATGAAATTTATATTTATGCCTTTTCATGATATCTGAAAGTAAAAAAAGATGAACAGCAACAAGACTGACAATTCTTATATGATCAATTTTGGTGCCTGAAATTGCTGGTAGTAAGTGTCAGTTTGAACAATTTTCACTGCGAAAAGCCAACTGGTAGAGTTTTTTTTTTTTTTTAATCTCAAATCAGTACTCAAACATACAAAACGGATTAGGGCCACATGAAGAGAAAAAAAAATAATTACACAAAGGAGATTAAAGTCAAAATTTCAAGATTAAAGTTGCAATTTCAGGATAAAAAAAATCTAAATTATGTCAATAAAGTCGAACTTTCAACATTAAAATTTTTCATTTCCAGATTAAAGTCAAAACTTCAAGATTACAAAATCTCATGAATAATGTAAAAATTTTGACACTATAAAAATTAAAATTTTGAGATTAAAGTTGAAATTTCAAGATTGAAGTCGACATGAATACAGTCAGATTTTGACTTTTTTAAATTTCGACTTTAATCTGAAAATGGAAATTTAAAAAATCTCCCTCCTGTAGTTATTTTTTTCTCTTCTTGTGGCCCTAATCCTCTTTCGTACAAACATGCAGAGGACAAGATTAACAAAGACTGCTCTGACCATAGGATGCACCAAATTTAAAGCAATCCCTCACAAGAGCTTTAGGGAAATGTATTAAACTACAAACAGTCACATCACATCAAGTCACATAGAGCAACATTTTGTTGAGAGGAGATTTCAGTTACACTTATTATAGTGTTGCAAATCTAAACTTTTTGCAACATCAGGATCCTCTCAAGCAGCAGCATTCTCTAACTCTAAATCAGGGTGTAAACCATGATTAATTGACCTTTTTTTGTTCACTCCTGTGATAAGAAATATTCATCGAACTCTAGTTGGCAATCTTTCCTAACATTTTTGGATGACATCCAGTCAAAAGTTGCACATGCCAGAATATTAACGCAAGAACAACAAAGTGTCATAACAGCGTGATCTATTCTAAATGGTGTAAATTCAAACAACAACAAACCCACATTTAGTAAGTGATCAGACATTCAGAAGACCTAAAATGTCTCATGTCAGTGCGAGAAAGAGAAGCTGCTGGGGTCTGCTTTGATGAAAGACAGGAACTGTTCTAATCTGTGCGGTGAACTGGGAGATAACCGTGGAGCCTGGAAGCCACTCAGGCTCTGATCGACTCCAGTCTGGATCCTCACAGACACAACAGAGGCTGTGTTACCGTGGCAGGGTGGGTAGTGTCACTGGGTTTGAGTGGGTGTCACGCAGCGCTCTTTCGCCATGACTTTGTTCTCTCAGTAAATTGACTTTGGATTTTTCTCCTCTCAGTTCATTAGCGCAGTGATAAATTATTCAGGGGAGGAAATGCCATTCTGTGCCAGAGAGAATGAGTTACCAATCGTCCAAAACAGGATGGGTGAGGAAGAAAGAGTGAGAAAGAGCAGCATATAAGTGTGTGTGAAGAGGTGTGTGTAGCTATAGTTGTACTTACCCGGAGTGTGTGAGAGTGGAAGGAGCCTGGGTGATGACCGATCCAGCCTGGGAGCAGGATAGAGCTTGCTGGGCAGCCAGGCTGCAGCTAGGGCCCATTAGAGGGCCATGAGACTGAGGATGCTGCAAAGGATGGGTCTGCGGATGGTGCAGCTGGGGGTGGGGGTGCTGGAGGTGAAGCTGGGGTTTGAGCTGCTGCTGGTTCATACAGGACGACGGCCCATTGTGAGAAAGCGTCTGCAGGAAGAAGTGGGGTTGAAAATCTGCTGTTATCATGGTGCTCTCTGCTTTCAGAGTGTGTTTTGTGATCTAAGCTGATTTTTCTCAGTGCATGCATGCATACATTTGTTTCAGTGTGTGCCTTCCTTGTGCTTGTACGTGTGTGTGTGTGAAGTCTTGCTGTTTAATTTACTGAGTAGAATGTGATCGCCTGGTGTGTCTTTCCTTACAGCAGGTCAGATATCTGCAGTTGTCTAATTGGCTCTGACTGCCGTTATCTCACTCACATTCAAGTGTCACTTGAAGCATGAACACAACAGACTCTCAAAACAAACATAACAAACATATTTATGCTTTGTTTTGTTTTTCTGCAGGGCTCAGCTGTTCAGTGAAAAATTCCGGGTGATTTACATTCCCTTTGATACCTGTTTGCTTTTTTCCTCTTCCTCGGCTTGTAGGAACTCTTCCTCTATCTCCTTAAACAGTCCAACCTCTTCACAGTTCTGCAAAAATCTTGTTGGGGTTGGAGTTTGATCTGGAAGCAACGCACACAAAAACACACAGATAAAAATAAGAGAAGTGACAAATAAAAGTAGACATAAATTCAATCTTTTCCACTACAGCCTCTTCTGCTCTAGATTATTTGCTCTCTATATCAGCTGTCCCCTGAGCCGTAATGCTCTCTTTCTCTCTTTCTCTGTGATAACATCAGTCTGTCTCTCAGAGCCGTCTATACACGCGGGGGTCAAAGGTCAGCTGTTCTCTTTGTTTTGACACGAGATTTCCAAAGGGGAGGCATGACAGGCTGCGGGACAGAAATACTGAGAGAGGAAGAGAGGAGGTGCATAGGGGAGAGTCTGCAGAGGTTAGATGTCAGGCTGATGTTTATGTGTAGAGGGACAGTTGTTTCCATGGTAACAGACAGTGTCATGTGACTGTTCTGACTGTAAGTATGGATCACAGTGATGCAAGAAAGTAGCCTAATCCATGGCGGGTGAATCTTCTTGTTAAAAACCTATGCGGCAAACTTAAAGTCGTACTTTAAATCTAAAAACTTTACAGACAACAGGGAAGAAAAAAATTCACATGAAAATTTGGTTTTCCTTGAAATAGCTATAAATCTTATTAATTTCATGTCCTAGTTAAGTAAACAAGCACATCACTCAAAACATTTCATCGCACGCACTCCAGGCTTTGATTGTGGTTTTTAGGGACGTTTTCCCCTAATTCTACTTTTTATAGAGCTTCAGTAAGCATCTTAAGTAGCATTTAGAATATCATGGGACACTAAATCCCATGAAAATGTGATTTTCCTTGGGTTAGCATCCTTTCTGGACAGAATGACCCCTTTTTTATTCACTTGTGGGAAAAAAAAATTGGACTTAAAAGAAGAGGAAGATTATACAAAATCCGTCCGGAAAAGTCATGAGTTTTTCCAGAGTTTACGCAACTGTGATATAAATCTTAAATGAGTCAAACAATTTCACAGTAGATCGATATCGACAAAAATCAATGGAATATATTTTTTACTTCTTCTTCTTGGTATTTCATGACTGTAAACTTCACATATTTCTATCTTAATTAAGATAGTTAGATTAAGATTAAGTTATCTTTTTTGTATTTTGGGTGAACGGAATGCTAAATAATTAACCAGTAAACCAAGACAATAAATTACAGATCATTTAATCTTTACTATATATAATAATAAAACACAGGTTACACCCATCAAGTAAAAAACACAGCCTGTATTGTATGCACTCGCGCCCTCCTTCCTTTTCCCAGTATACAATTTAAAACTCACACATTAAAGTTACAGGTGTTTTTTGCTGACCACACTTTTGCACCTCCTCTCTGTGTTTTTAAATCCAAGTGGGCCCCCCTCCGATGCTGTTATCAGTATATTCAGTCTAATCTGATGCAGCGTACTGTACAGGCTGCAACAGGAGCCGCTCTGTTTCACAGCGCAGACTATCAGAGGGAAGGAAGCCTGTATCGAGCTTATCTGATTTCATGCTGTATAACGTGAAGTCATCACTTCTTCATGCTGAAAGTGCTGAAACAGGTTGCCGCACACTCAGCCGAACTGAGCGACTTGTAGCGTGTTTAAGAAGGGAAAAAAACATTTCAGGTGTCGACTGATTACGTTTGCCAGGTCTCTGTGGGCTCGCTCACCTGTAAAAGCTGTGTCAGTCTTGATAGAGGGGAACTTGAGGGTCATCTCATGCTTGTGTCTGTGGATGATCAGGTGCTCCTCTAGCTGGAAACGCTGCAGTACACCGACAGAGTGAGAGAGACATGAGGAGATGTGTGAGGCTGTACAGCAGAATAGATTTTCAGTTTAGCTCGTGCAGTTGACTGATTGGTCATGAGGGTACTGGCTGGAAAAAGTGGAAAACTTGTGACATCTGATGACAAAAAACTAAACACTCATTGACCATGATTATTTATCTTGGTCTTGTCACTATATCAATCTTTAGAATAACATTAGTTTGATATAAAGTTTCATTTCACTGTTGTTCTCGCTGTAATTCTTTATTGCACGGTCTTTACTGACTCATAAATTCTTAAATCTGGAAAATACTCTTATTATCAGTCTGGAAATACATCATGTCCACTCTTTTTTTGCATCATACAAATATCCAGGCTGTGTGGTTGGCCTCATTAACTACGTATTGTTCAGTTTCCTACAATTAACAGCCATGGAAAACCACTTCTTTTCCCCCCGAACTTTAAAGCATACTACTCCACGTCCTGCAGTGAATGATCTCATTGTTTGACCAAGTTTGATAAAGCTTAATATACATTTTTTAAAGCGGTTGCATTACATAACACATGCATGCTGTATCCAGCTGACCTGAGAGCAGCCGGGAGCGCCGCACACATAAGGCCTGTCCTGTTTGTCATTCATGTCATACACAAGCCTGCAAAAGAGAAGAAAGAACAACATATTTAAAACACGGCCCTATTTTACTGTAGGGAACTGCTACGTCTCTGGGGTTTCTTACATTGTTTAATAAGCCTTTAGCTATCTCTGCTATGTTTTTATTTACACAGACAGCTAGTTTCAGAATAATCATAAGCTTGTATGATACTCTTATCCTCTATTATCAAGTATTTACAGATAAAACAGTGTGTAATAAAGCAGATGATGGGCGCAAATGATCCCTTTGGTGCCACTGCAAGAATGATGATACAATCAATCTGTCTGTGTTGTTTCAGACTACTCATTACACATCGCTAATAACATGATGTGGGCATCAAAAGGGTATCAAAGTCTCATATTATCACCATCGTCACTTTTCCTGTTTTTTATGTTGCTTAATTCTCAGTGTAGAGTAACTATTTCCACCTATAATTAAGCTTTCATCAGAGCATCAGTTAATAATACCAGTGTGATAAAAGGGGCGTTACGTGAAAATAAAGTCAATGTAAGGTGTAAGTGTCAATACAAACACAGACTGAAGACACAATAAGGGGCCCAAATGCCGACTTCGCCCCAGCTTGACCCTTTTAGCTCTTCATTGAGGATACTAAAAAAGTGATGGGGGATAATTATGACTTCTTTTTGAAGTGCTCTCACTCCTGGCCCTTCATTTTCCGCTGAGAGCTGAGGAAGAAGCCTTCAACTCCCTGACCTTGGGCATTCCTCTCAGCTGACTGTCACCAAACACACTTGTAGAGAGGACCCAAAGGTCAATAAGGCAGCCCTTCCTCGACTTTTATGTCCTCCTTTAGTCCCGATAATAACTCCAGAGGAAAGGAAGAAGCAATCGAGGAGGGGTTAAAGGTGAAGATAGCAGAGATGAGGAGTGTGTTGAGTACATTCACAGGTACACAATGTGGAGGTTTGCGTGAAAAGGCGGTAAAGTGAGTCCTGTTGTTATGGGAAAGAGCGAGAGCTAGAGAGGGGAGTGAGGAGAGGAAGAGGGCAAAAGTACATGCTTCCATAAGAAATGGAAAGTATGTGTGTGTGTTGTTGGGGGGGTGGGGGGTGGGGGGGGGGGGTTGAGAGTGACATTACAGGGTGATGGAGAGGGGAATGGAAAGGGCAAGTGGCAGTGAGAAAGGGAGAGAGAGGAGGATGACACAATGAATTGAGGAGAGATGGAATGAGGGCGGGAGGCGGCACAGGGAGGGCCTACTCCTCCTAACAGGTTTGAACCTGCCACTGCCCCCATTTTCCAGCCCCCGCCAAATAGAGGTGACTTCATAGGTGTGTGTCAGCGTGTGTGTGTGTTTGTGTGTTACAAAACAGGGAAAGAAAACAAGCATCCACAACAACACAAGCAAGGATAGGCTGATTTGTCATTCTCAGAAAGAGCGGAAAAGGACCAGAGGATTCCTGGTTTCCCAAATTGGAGGTCATGATATAAGTCAACTCTGCTTGTTTGATCTATTACATAATTTGACATTTCATTATTTGACAAAAACAGACCTACTTCAGTAAGATCACTCACATTATTGAGCAGCTTTTGGCGCTAAATCTGCCCCCATTTTTAGCCGCACTTGTACAAGAAGAGCACACTCAGCACATTTTCAGCAAAACCTCCTGTCAGAGTGGTTACATCGATGCGGAATGACGTCACCCTTAATACATAAATCCGACAAGGGAGCAGACAACATGTTGCCAATTCAAGACGGATTAATGTCGAGCTTGCCTTAAAAAAAATGAGAAATCTGGGGCAGCTACAATTTTAGGCTTCCTTCCTCTCCACCTCCTCTGTCTGTCAAACGCCACGGGTTAAACAAATAATATAACTCCACAAACTTTTAAAACCACCTGACTATAACCACCACGACTACTTACTGCTCCCCAAAGTTGCCATGTTTGATAAACGTCCTGCAACAGCTTCAAATTTAATGCTCGGTCAGCGCACCGTAAGCAGCGGCTCCAGCCGGCAAACTTCCCCGGCGAGTGAGCAGCCGGTGTCAGTGTGCGTCCCGAGAACATGCCGGTGTGTGTCCCTCCTCACCGCTCCGTAAAAGCAACCTGTTCAACTCATAAACAAGCCCGGCACAGCTGTATGGAGAGAGCTGTCACACCCCCCAAATAGACGCTCGCGCTCAAACCGACCTGCCCGGTGTGATGGGACTTTAACGGAGACAGTTCGCCAAGAACTTTCATATCTAAAGTTGCGCGACATTAAAAAAAGAAAAAAAAAGACGTCCAAAAGTAGGTTCAGCAAAGTGTTCTGAGAGTAAAAAGTACGCTTTGAGTTGGGTTAAAAGTTTTGTGAATGGAAGTAAATTGTGAAGGCTTACCTACAAGTGGAGAGGGACAAGCGGCGCTCCAGAGAGGAACCACGTTGGACTGGAGCGGGATTACAATACGATCTATTTACAGAAGCATTACATCATTCTCCGATGACGTCGCGTGGGATTCCTGAACTTCTAAATCATTGCGGTCCCGTACGGAGAAAGAAGAAGGATTCAGGGGGGCGGGGTTACGACACCGGCCGGTAGGGGGACGAACCAGGCGGGATAGCAACATGGTGCACAGGCATGGACCGACAGACGGACACGCCGAGTCAGACACACCGGCAGCAACGTGACGGGACGAGGGGCAGAGCCGGTGGGCGGATGAAACCCAGTTTTTCCCCTCTCTCTCTCTCTTTCTCTCTCTCTCTCTCTGTCTCTCTGTCTGTCTCTCTCGCCCCAGTTACAGGGACTGCCTGAAACAGGACGTCCCAGCGTTTGCACGGAGTCTGTGCGTCAAAGTGAGCGACAGCCCCCAAGTTTTCTTTTCCAAAACTTTTGTCATGTTGATGTTGTGATATTTCTACTTATATTACGGGGGGACAATACTAAGGACTTGACTGTGTGTTTTCATGACGTTCAGAAAAGGCTACAGCACTTGACTGACATAATGATAATCGCTGTAAAAATTTATAAAAATAAGGTAAAACAATAAAAACAAAAACAATAAGATTGGAATATGTTACAGTAGCCTCAATATTGCCTGTTTTCACAATCTTACACTTAGACTTACTTACACAGACTTACACACTATGCTTTCACTTAGTTTCTGCCTGTCATCCATTACTTTAGGCTATTTCAATAGTGCAAAGAATAGCCTATGTTATAACTCAGTGGTTCTCAACTGGTGGGTCCTAACCCAAAAGTGGGTTGCGGACATGTTCTGGATGGGTCTAGAACAGCTGGAAAAGTAAATATTTAATGCGATATCTATCAGATATTTAATATTTTCTGTGTATGCAACTTTAGTTGTCGTCCTCATGTTGTCCCCTTCATGCGCTCTGAAATGCACTTTACTTAAAAAAACAAGGGGCTTTATGTTTAATTCTTCTATGTATGTATATATATATATATATATATATATATATATATATATATATATGAATTTGCTTGGTTTGAATTCTATAAAAGTGGGTCGCGACTTAAGGACCATGGGAAAATGTGGGTCCCAGAGTGAGACCAGTTGAGAACCACTGTTATTACTTACCACTCATGTCATTTATAAAAAGGTATTTATTATATTCAGTATTCTTCTTATTGTTTATAACTCTGTAGAGATGTTTATATATATATTGAAAGCTGCTATTCTTAATGTTTCCCAACTGTACTTTGACAATGTAGCCCAAGTGAAGCGCAATAATGAAGACTAGCACATTAGGATAGACTGGGTTTATTGTTACTATCAACACAACAACAATCCTATTCAGTGGTAGCCAGTGTACATTCAATCTGATGTCATAAGTCTCAATTAGGGCGAAGAGCTGTACCCCTTCCTTACAGAAGTGTGTATGCGGCACAAACATGTACAGTATGATTTGTACGTAATACAGTTGATTAAATTCAAGTGCTCAAAATAAATGCCCTCCATTCTTTGTTTTGATAGGATAATTGAAATGATGCCTACTGACCATGCAAACTAAAAGTAGAGACTTTGGTCATTCTCATCTCCCCCGGGCCCAAACATGGAGTAATAACTCTGCCATGTTTGGTCAGGCTTTCCGGAGTCCAGCCTGGCAGGGGCTGAACTCGGGGATATGGTTTTGTTGTGGTTGAGGAGCAAAAAGTGACCAAACCCTTCTGACTCATCACCCACCAATCGCCTAAAGTATGCAAATTCTGGCAGCCATGGCAACAAGGGGAAACAGGAAGATGTGATGATGTCACTCTGTGTTTTGAGCTCTTCCCCAGTTTGGATGTGAATCGGGGGAGTTTTGTTTTCACTGAGGATGAGGGATGTTTTAAAGCACGTGTGCTTGCCTGTGAGGAGTGCACAGTCACACTTAAGAGTCCATGACGGCAGCTTGGAAATTTCAGACTGGAGCCTTGGAGCAGACAATGCCACTGAGATTACTACAGTACCATAACTCAGTGACTCCACCAGCCATTAGCATCTGGCTTTTTCACCCCAGCATGGCATTTTAAAGCCAGACTGGGAGCTTAGAGAGCTACCTACTCGGAGCCTGATGTCACCAAGTGTGTAGAAATACAGGGTTTCAGGTCAAAAGTTAAACAAACTTCCTGACCCCAACCCCATGTAGCATTCTCCCTGTCTGAGCAACATCACACATCAATTCAAACACCAGTTTTTTCATTCTGATGCATTGTCATTTAACGCTATTTTTGGTACCAAAGTGCAGCTTAGGGCTAGCTGTGAAGAGAAACTTTAGACAGCATCTTAGTTTACAAGATACAGTCATCTGATTATGTAATGCATTGGTTGAAGTTAAATTTACATCCAACTCTCCTTACATGCAGATCCATTTAGAGGGACTGCATGTGTATGTACTTGTAATTTAACCCACACTGCATTACCAGTATAAATTGGAGTTCTTGGACTTTTATTCTAAAGTAAAAAAGTAGCTGATAATCAGAAAGCCTTGCAAGTTTGCAATCAGTCCCAAACTGTAACACTGTGCGCCACCCACAGACCTCAGATCAGATGAAGTCATGCTCCGTAAACTCGTTCTGTGTCTCTCCCCTCTTCTCCTGAGTTTCACAACACATGCTACCACTTCTCATTTACGTAATGGTGCTAGCAACTGCGTCACTGTCACAGTTCTGATACACCATGTGTGTGTATGCGTATGTGTGTGTGCGCGTGTGTAATGAGTGTGTTTATGTAGAGTGTGTGTCTACAAGTTTCTGTGTAAGAGAGAACATCTGTGCTGGGGCTGATGAAGTCAGTAAGTTTCTGAACTCCACGTGCAAGACAGTGTGGACACGCCGCTGATGTCATGCTTTTGTGTTGTAGCTTGTACTTACCTGTTGAGATAAATCTGAGTTTATTTATTTTTGTGTGTATGTGGGTGCTTGATAAACCTACACATACAGAGGCAGTCAGAAAAAGAAGGAGTGTGTTCCTAGGTTTTAAAGTTGTTTGCTGAAGTCGCTGGCCAGTGGTTTATGACAGGCCGTTTTAACGCTCGATTAACAGGTCCAGCACAGGCCAGCCAACTCTGGTTAGCCATCCACTGTGATTTAAGGACATTCTGCCTTCTCTGGGAACCACACATACACACATTTACACACACACTACAAAGTTATGTCCTCACCACTGAACCCTAACGGGGTGACATTAATCTGTAAAGTTTATAGATGTAATAAATGCTCCTGTCAGTGCCATGAAACTGCTGTGCCTTAAATATAAATACACCTACTCTGATACACTCAAACCCAAAATCATTTAGAGTTATCGTGGATGACTTTGCCTGTGACTGAAAACAGGCAGCATTGGTTTGAAGGTATGCAAGAAATGATTGATCTACAGTGAAGGCAAACCACAAATATGTTTTATAAGACTGTCCGATTTTGGCTCTAACACCTTGAATTTCAGTAACTTAAATTCTAATAAACAAGGTAAACTGAAAATATAATAGTAATAATAATAATAAACAAGAAAACTTTAAAAAATTGTTCTGTAGCACTCATGTATAAGCAGTTCCTAGTAATGGTCTAAGGCATTAAAAATATCAGAAACCAAGAAAAGGCTGATAACACTTCTGTAAAGCACCCTACTGATCAGGAAAATCTTAATTTAGCAATTTATCACCATGAAGAAGATAAGAGATGAATGAATGTCAGCATATATCTGGCTGACAACCAGTCATGAGGCTGTGATGCTGCCACTCCTGACTTTAAATGACGCTGATCACTGGGAGCTTTATTCCTCTACTGACCTCTTTCTACGCCATTTTACAATGACTAATGCTGGCCTCTTTAGTGATAAAGCCAACTGGTGGGACTCTTATTTAGCATTTATTACAGGGACCTCAAAAAGAGTGGAACAAGTACATTTTTACCTGTGTGTTGCTATCATGTCTTCTTTTAACAACACTGTAAAATGTTTGTATTTCATGGTACGCCACAATGTTTTCAGTGGGAGACTAGTTGGGACTGTGGGGAGGCCAGTTTAGGATCTAGACTCTTCTACTGAGCCACATGCTGTAGATCATGCAGCATTGTCTTTGATGCGTGGTCTTTCCTGTGCAGGAAGCATTGTCTGGATGGCAGCAAGTGTTGTTTATAAACCTGTATGTATTGTATTGCTCAGCATATTGATGTATTGATGATTCCCACATTGCATGGGCATTGAAGCATCCCAAGATGGTGGCAGAGCTGAAGATGCAATGTCTATGATTTCAGAAACGATGTAAAATTCTCTTTGACCACAGGACAGTTTTCCACTTTGCCTTGGTCCATCTTTTAATGGTCTCAGGCCTGAAGAAGTCACCAGTGTTTCTGGATCATGTTAGTATATGGTTTGGTTTTAAGGTGATTTTGAGCACATGTTGTGATTTCCACTACAGAGTCATGTCTGTTGTAGTGCTGCCTAAGGGACTGAAAATGACGCCACAGCCATCCAGCATCAGTTTCTGTCTTGTCCCTTTGTACAGAGACCTCTCTGACTTCTCAGAATCTTTGCATGCAGCATGATAAAATCTTCAAATTCTTCACAAATCTACACTGAAGAACATTATTCTGAAATTGCTGAACTATTTGCCTCTGCATGTCTTTCACAGAATGGTGACTTAACACTAGCTTTACGTCTGACAGACTCTGCTTTGCTTCAGTGTCTTTTGCATACTCAATCATGTTACCAAACTGATGAAAATAAACCCAATTAATCTGGAGATGGATGTTTTTAAGCATTACAACTTACAACTTTTTCAGTTTTTAGTGAACCCTGTGCCAATTTTGGAGCATTTAAATATATTTTTTAGATTATTTGCAGACAATCAAAGTGTGTTTTTTTCTTCAAATCTATATGGAATTGAGGTTGAAGTCTCCTTAAATGTAATGTTCTCTTTTCAACTTCTTTCAAGTTAAAAACTGTGTATTTCACTGCCTGGAGAATCAAATATTTTTACAATCAAAAACCTAATTTGTGAGATTTACATTTAACTTGTGTCATTGTTTAACCTAAATTTTGTTGCTGTGTTTATTTATTCATGTCACCTCGCCATTCACATGCATACAGTGTTACTATTTGTGTTGTTATGCGTACAATGTTACTATTTGTGTTGTTTATAGTGTAAACACTTGTATATTATCTTTATATTTTTCGTTTTTTACTTATTTTATCTATTTATCTCTAAATTTTTACTTATTTTTACTTACTTTATCTGTTAGTTATCTCCTCTTTAACTGTATTTGTACTGGAGTACTGTGACAAAAGCAATTTCCCCCTGGGGATTGTTTAAGTATTTCTGATTCTGATTCTGATTATCCACTGTAGTTGTATTATTGCATTTATAGTATTCAGTACATTCTATCCTACACTAAAGCCTGACCAGGGACAAAAGCTGCAAATTAGCTAAAGTTAGACGTCTTGTATGCATCACATTTTCCAATTTCATCACAATTTCTTGTGGCAATGTTGTATGTAGTGTCCCTGTTAAATAAACATTGAATTAAAATAAATAAATTTGGTACTACTATTACACTGGAAAAAAAAGTGAGTTGGTTTTCATGCTGAATGCTTTTAAATGCAGTAAACCAAAACAAGTGTGGTTCCTTATATAGGTTAACAAGAACATTCCCATCAGAAATTTTAAATTACATTTAAAATGTGCTCATCCATTAGGCTACTTCAATTAATATAAATGGGACAAAAATGAATAAATAAAAAGGCAGAGATAACTCGTTGCTCTACCAATGTAATGTAATATAATATAATATAATATAATATGGAATAATATAATATATACATTGACACTGTATAACTGCATTGACTTGAACACTCCTGTTTGACTGCACGTTATAGATCGTGTGTGTGTCCTGTGGAGAAGCACGTACGCACATCTGAAGCTGCTCCTCTGAAATGTTTGATAGCCGCTGACTCAATCACAGCCGGAGCTCCGGGGGCTCACACACCAACAGGTAGGCAGGTCGTGACGTAGCTGCCACCAGCCAGCCCTCCGCCTCCCCCCATCCCCACCCCCACCGTCCCGCCTGCCTCCCAGCTGCGTCCGCCGCTGTCCTGTCTGGTCGCCCGGTGTCTGCTCCGCCGCTCCGCGCTCTGCGGCGCTCCCTCCCCGAACCCGACGACTCTGCCTCCTCGTTCACCGCCCCGGCTCCCGGTTCCCCCCCCATCCCCTCCACCCGGTGAATGCACCAGTGCCGAAACCATGACGGGCATCGCCGCCGCCTCTTTCTTCTCTAATTCCTGCAGGTTCGGGGGCTGCGGTCTCCAGTTCGAGTCTCTCGCCGAGCTCATCGTCCACATCGAGGACAATCACATCGGTGAGTCGGGCAGGAGGGGGGGAGTCGGAGCTAGGCTACTAGCTGGGTGTAAGCTAGCTAGTTAGCTGAACGTAGACGGGCTCGGTTTGCAGTCCGCTATTCCTGCTGCCGCTCGCTTTCCGTCGAGGCTCGCCGGAGTGGGAGTTATTCACCGTCACCAGACTTTTATTCTTTAGGAAAACACTCTTTATCTGTAAAATTAGTGTGTGGCTTGTTTGTACTCTGCATTAGCTATCACTGTAACACCTTTTGCAGCGGTAACTCGCCTCCGAGGGCCGCGTAGGTCTCGTAGGTGTTACTAGCATTCCGACCAGGCAGCGGTGTCTCGGCTAACAGTGCAGAGGAGTCGGTCGGTGTGTGTGTTTATGTTTCCAGGCCTGGTGCACAGCAGCAGCAGCCGGGGCTTCAAGCGCGCTGTTTGTGTATTGGGCTGCCAAAAAGTCTGCCAATTTTGTCACCTTAGGTGTCCCAACGCATCCGGACGTCAATGCATCTGTAATGCTTTGCGATGATGTTGGTGTCACTACATTACCATTTACACTGAGACAGTCTGGCCAAGTTAGGGCAGTTTTGCAAGAAAATGATTGGATTTTCATCCTCGCGCATCAGCTTCAACTTGTTGCACCTTCTGTTACCTGGAATGAGCTTAATAAAGTATTAAACAGACAAACTGGATAATTTAAAGTACATATAAGGTATTTCAGTAAGACAGACATGTCTGAATGAGTATTCAGTGACGCTTATTTATCGCTTAGTTTAACCTTTATTTAACCAGGAGAAACTCAATGAGTTTTAAAACAAACTTTTCAAGACTTTCCTTGCCAAGATAGGCAGAATAGGTTACAAAGTGTCTGACAGACAGAAAGCAGACCGACATACAAACATAAAACAGAGTACTAAATGTCTATGATACATCAAAATTCATGTCATAACAGAAAGACGTGGCAAATGTGAGTCCAAAATTATTAGTACATCAAGAGAAATGTGTCTACATCCACATCACTATAAAAATTACTCAGTGAGAGCACTCCTTTTAGCTTCAGCTAGAACAGCTTGTTACTCATCTGAGATTGTAACTTCTTGGGCTCTTGGTATGAAGGAAGCAAACATAAATCAGACAGATAAATAAGAATATGTTGGGGGTTTCATCTGCAAGGAAGACCAACCAACATGCTCATTAAACAACCAGTGGTGAGGTAGGGCTTTATATTAGTGGTAAGCCTCAGTGTCCCATGATACATTCTGTCCAGAGCATGTCCTGGTAAGAGGTGTGCATGTGTAACATCACTGTAATCCATAAGCAGAAAGAAAGGCAGAGCAGTTAGTGCATTTTTAAATGTATATTTTTATCAATCATTGCATATTTCAAATGAATGACATAATTAAGAATAGTTTGCTGAGAAAGCAATAGTCTTTAATTGCATTTCCCAGTATTCTGTTAAATAGATGACCTAAACTATCACTCTTATATTTTAGATATAGTGAAATATGCACCTTGTAATAAAGTGCTGGTCAAATGTTTAAACTAGGTTTATTATACACTCTGGAAAACGAACCAATAATCAATCAAAGAAAATAACTGTATTGAATAATGGAAAGCCTTTAATAATCTGTTACCTAGTTGATGTAGACTAATCATTATTAGTGGCGTGTATCCATTCTCAGGAGGCTGTTTGTGTCGGTGGGGGTGAGGGGGGTAGAATGGATGCTTCATTGAGCCAGTCTCCATGGCAACTGGTCGTCTCCAAAGGGGCTGGGGGCAGTATATTGGCTTAGTTATTGCACACCTGCTGTCTCACCGACAAAGAGCGCTCCCATAGTGCCAGCTGTGGCGGGGACACTGACGCTCGATGTCGCTACAAATCCTGAACGGGAGTTATGGGCTGATTGTGAGCAAAAATGAGGGATGAGTAAGTTCTGCGTGAGGGCGACTGTGGGTGAGGAGAAAGTGGAAAGCTGTGGGTGTTTGTGTTGTGGACTAATCCGGCCATATGTTCCATGGAGCGGTTTCAAATGAACCAAAAAGAGGGAAAAAGAGCATTTAAAAAATGTTTGGCATGTAATAGCTTCTTAATAATGATATATAAAAGAGGGAAAAGCAGGAATAAATTTAGTCTTTTCAGTCACTTACTGATATATGCACCCATCTGGCTCCTAGCTTGACCTTTGACCCCAACCGTCAGCTGAACAGCAAGACCATTCCTCAGTCAGATCACTCGGATTAATGAGTTTCCTCTCTACTGACTTCTTCTGGTCACCGGCGTCAAGATCACACATAAAGCCTAATCAATACTGCCTGCGGATCAATTACCACAGGGATGAGTGTGACAGATGGAGGGGGATCGAGGTGAGAGAGCGGGAGAGCGGGGGTCTGGCATTGAGCTTTGACTCCCTCTTTTGTTTTGAAACGGTGCAGCCAAGTGTGATCAACAATCAGTCAGAAGATAAGCTAATTTGATCCTCTGGGCTCCTTCAGGTGGGACAACAGATCAGCTTTAAAGGCTTGAGAGATAATGGGCCGCATTGATTGTGCTCTATCCTGCAGAGTGCAAACAGATTATGGAAAAAGAAGGCACTAACTTTACATCAGATAATCCAGACAGAGGCGGCAAGAGGCTGGAGCTTTCAGACAGAAATGGCGTTTAAAGTGAGTCAGTGGGTCTCTCAGGTCAAATCAGTGTTGCACTGTTAAGAAACATTTGGTCATTAGTGTAGACTGTGCTGCCCTCTTGTGGTGTGTGATCTTAAGTGCCGCAGCCCCCCTCGAAAAGTGTTATTTGTTCCTCATCTCAGTGATCTCAGTTTGTACTTTTTTTCTCAGTTTTTTACACAGCATGCAATCTGTGGCAGTGAGCGCATCAGCCGATCCTGTCTTGATCCTTTCCGTGAGAAAATGAGGTAATATGCAGGTCTGCAGAGCTGACCTCATACCTGCGCTGTTTAGATTACAGCTGAATAGAAGAGGAAACAGGTTATTTGAACTGTGTTCGGCAGTGTTTGCTTGTTGTTAATTTTTTTTTTCATGCCGTGGCTTTAGGTAAGACTTGAGGAATGCAATGATGTCAGGCTAGTCTGCCTGCGTGCACGGCCGTGCTGCTGAGCCGTGTTCCCACCTGCACAAGCACATACCTGCCTCTTACCTCAACAAAGAGCAGCTGGCAGGGAAGGGGGGAGTTAGGAGGGAGGAAGGGCATGTAGAGATTAAAAGCAAAGAGGGGATTTAAAGGAGAAAGGGAGAGTATGGGGCGAGAGAGCGCAGGGAAATCCCAAACATTTCAGCAGCTCTCTTTGGACACTCGGATTCTGTCTTAGAGCTTGAATTAGAGGCTAAGCTGAGACTTTGCATGTGGAGTCACATCAGCATTGTGGTGTGAGAAGCTTAAAAGGCTCTATTGAAGCATGAGGATAATTAACCTACATTAACTTTTATAATTATTCAGCCCATGGGCTAAGTTCTGCTGTATTTCTTGATTCAATCTGACTCTTTAGATGGGAAAATGCATCACAATGTGGGAGAAAGTATTATCCGAGTATTATGTGTCATTACCAAGTGGGAATTTCCCTTTTGTGCTATTGCTAACTTGTCTGAATAATGATATAATTGCATGGCTAAGGAGGTTCGTGGACAATTACAGAAACTGCAATTGCATCTTTGGTGCTGCCAATACTGCTCAGAAATTATAGACTATTATCATTTTTTGATGTTCAGGTTTATTGATGCCCAGATGTTGCCAAGTTACAGTGAAATAATCTTCAAAGCTGAAATGATAAGTTTTTTCAGTTAACGGCTGGGTTGACTCATATCTGCTTTAAATTAATTCAATTCCCTGCTTTCTCTGTGTCTGAATCAAAACCTGGACGAAGCCTCTGTGAGTCAGGAGAGACGTTAGGAACAATCAAAAAGATGGAGCTATGGGTGGCTTTCTGCTTCCTGGTAAACAGTTAAAACACACCCACCTGTCAGTCAGGTGAGCTGTACTTTGATATGTACTTTTGCATATTTATGTATAACTCCTGTCCTGCTCTCATAATTTAACAGATGTGTTATTAAAGTTCACCCTCCATGTGCAGTGTATACGTGGAAGTAAATGAGCTACTTACATTAATTACTTGCTTCTGTTTTTTGTCATTTACATCACTTTTGGATCTCGATGGCCGCTGTTGCCTCAGTGATGAGCAAAGAAGCGTTCTACTCTTGAATCTTACTGCTAGATGCCTCTAAATATCCTTATTATACACATCTCACTTTTAAGGTTATGAGTTTAGCAGAAGTAGGGCCCCCCTGACAGGCGCTGTTAGTAAAGAGACTAGAGGCCCGCCTGGACTCCACCTCTTTGCCTCCTGCTAGCTGGATAGCATTTAGAACTCTGTGCCAGAGACCACCGGGTGATGTCACCATATTCAATACAGCCATTGTTTTTTTTCCCAAGTGGACACCCAAGGAACTGCAGTTTTTTTGTTGTTGTTTTGGCTCTGATCTGAAATGTCAAAAAGTCAATGTATTGGGTTCTTGGGTCGGTGTAATTATAACTTATTCTGTTTTCTCTTACAGTGAGCAGGTATCTAACTTGATGAGGTAATGCAGATTTTTAAAATAATGGCGCAACTTCTGCAAAATAGGATGTTGTTTTTATTAGTTACTATTTTAAATGTAGGGCTGCAACCCAAGTTGATTCTTGATGATCATGGGTGTTATTTTTCGTACTCATTAATTTTTTGTGTGTAAAAATGTCATGAATTGATGTGTAACACATATTCTTCAAGTGTTTGGTTTTCTCTGACTTATTGTCCAAATTCTCTGACCAGTTAAAATTATGCTAACGTAGAGAAAAGCACTGAAGTGTTTAGGATCAATTATGTTTGTTTTTAGGATAAGTCATTAACATGAGACATGCGCTTTGCTTTTTCCCATCCCACTTTCTGAGGTGTGACATGGAAAGGTGTGTGTGTTCGTGCAGAGAGCGCATGTTCACCATACTTCCTGAATGACCTGTCAGGGTGTAAGCGGAGCAATTAGTGGGTTAGATTCCTAAGCTGGAAACTGCAGCCCCTCTCAGTTCGCAGTCACATAGTTTGCTTTTCGGAAGTCGCAGGGCCCAAGCGCCCCACCAAGCTCTGGGAAGTGTAATTACAGAGAAGTTTGTCTTCCCCCCCTCGCCCATATCTCCCCCTCCCCTCTTCTTTCTCCTCCCTCCTCCTCTTTCCTCCCTCCATCCGGTTGCCTGCTGCTCTAGAAACACGTTAAAATGCTCTCTGTGGCTTAATTAGCAGTCTACAAAACAAGCCATGCATTCTTGGCCTGGTTTCAAACGTGAGAGCGAACACACACACGCTCTCACATACACAGACCTGTACACATGTGCACATACATGTGGACACATGCACACTGTGTGTGTGTCTGTGTGTGTGTGTTCAGCAGGGGGCAGCAGTGCTCTGCTGCTGAGAGATGGATGTCTGTGTTGAAGTGAGCAGAGTGGCTGTTGATTGGCTACTGCATTTAATGACAGGAATGCTAATTAGGGAGATATTTATAGACCCTGGAGACCCTGAAATGTCACAGTGGAGCAGCACACAACAGCAACACACATGTAGTAATGCTCTGTACAGCTCAAAAAGTGGAATTTATGAATTAAATCAGTAAAAAAAAATACTCACATGTACCCTTTAGCCGGTCCCCTCCTGCTGTTAGTTAACTTCCTGTCCTGCAAGGTGAGCACAAGTCAGGCGGTGAACATTTTACTGCACTTCCCTCTCAGCACCTGGTAGATACAGAGAGGAAACCCCACACCAAACCCTTACCCACACACGTGCTCACTAATACTTCATTTACCTTAAAGCTCTAAGTACATTTAGCCAACTACAACTGAATGTTACAGAGCTCAGTGTACTTCTGAATATATCCTACTATGTGCTGATAGAGCCATGGTTTGTTCCTGAAAATGGAAGTTCTTTAAGTCAATCCTTGGAGAGGAGCCATGTGATTATAATGCTTGAAGGCTGGATTAGATCACTGAGAATCATGGTATAAATAACAAGGACTATTCAGGGTTTCCTCCGGGATTTTTTTGAAACTGTGGTGAAGGATTAACATAGAATTATTAACACTGACGTAAACATTAGGGTCATTCCATAGACTTATCCGTCTTGGGTGCCTTTCTCTCACTCCTTTCACCCTCATCTCCACCACTCCAGAGTGACGCAGTCGAGCTGGACAGGAAGTTGAGACTCTAGTGTTTGTTATCCAGAATTAAATTATCTGCAGAGCTGTGTCACATTTCATGAGTACAATTCCACACTCTTTTTATGGTCAATGTGTGCAGATATAGACTCTATGTTTATATGGGTCCATTCATACGATATAAGTTACATTTAAGATTGTAATTCTGAAGGCATGGCGGGTATTTCTTTGGCGTGGCGGTGCGCCTGGATCATTTACATGTAGTGGAAACCCTGCTATTGCTGATTCTAGATGGGTGGAATCTTTGGCATCTCTGGTGGCACTGTATTAAAAATAGACATGGCTCCTGTCTTGTTATCAGCACACACCTCAAAGCCAACATCAGCAATGATACTGGGAGAATATGTCAAAGGGGATCCTGTGCAGATGAAATCCTGTATCAGGCATAGATGAGACAATATCACACTTTCAAATCTCCAGAAACGGGTTTTTCTCAAGTCCCAAACGGTTAATTGTTAAGAGTTGATGCAACATAAACTTTGCTGAAACTTGTTGCTGGTATCAAATTTTTACTCTCACATGTATTTTTCGTGAAACTTAAAATTTTTACTTTTTACTTTTAAATATAAAGTTAAAATAATTTTTAAATCATCAAAGTCTGTTTCTTTTTTTTCAAGAGTTTACACTTGACAGCAGTTTCTTGGAAACCGAGGTTGTAAATGTCAGCCGGCAAAAGTAAAAGTAGAACTACTAAATCATCCAAACTCAGTCATTTTATGAGGTCAGACATCGTCGTGCCTCTGGACTTTGCCATGTCATCAGTGTGTGTTGATGAGCACTGGTGTGTACGTGCATGTGTGTTTTTGTGCTCCTGCATGTGCAGCGGGTTCTGGTCTCTACATCAGAGCAGCAGGTAGGATTATTAAGGCTCAGCTATAAAAGACTGACAGAGACCACCTCTGTGGACCACCTCAGATGTGCGTGCGTGTGTGTGTGTGAGCATGTGTGTGTTTTTGTGTCTTTATGGGTGCTTTCCTCCGCCATCTTTTCCCCTCACCTCGCTGCTTCTCCAGTGTTTGAACACTCTCACGTGTAAACAGCCTCTTTTTCTACCGCAGCAGCAGCTACAGCAGTGGCAGGGCGTGCTTTCTTTCGAGGTTGTTTTCTTGTTTTCTGGTCTCCTTGGTATTCTCCTGCCCGGTGGGAAGCCTGCATTCTTTTTTAATTATGAGGTGTGAAAGTCAAACCAAAGGGGCTAGGAAGGCCGGCACTCAAACACACTCGCACTTGGGGGATCAGATTTAAGGAGTGTCCTGGAAAAAAGTTGTTGATGGCTGCACAGAGATGATCCACCTCTTGGATCTGTATTACATGAATAATTTTCTGCATGCACACATCCACAGAGCCATGCACGCCATGGCAAAACCCTACCGTGTTTCTATTTTTAAAGCGCGCATCCTTGGGAATGTTCCCCTGTCGAACACTTGATGGCACTACTTCTGCACAGATGCAGCCACCCGCAGGGTTTTCATGCACACTTGCCGCTGTTTTCCACAGAGAGAGAGGCGGGGGGGTGTTGTAGGTGGGGCTTTGAAGTTAACACTGCTTCCCTTAGGCGATGGAAGTCGTCTATCCTAGTGTGACTGACTATATAAGTCAACTGGAAAAGGCTTATGTGTGTATGTTTTGTGTTTGGAGGAATACACTGTGTACATTCATGACAGCCTGCTGGTCGTTTTCTCACACTCAGACAAATTTCTTCTCCACCGCAATCATACTGGTGGTAATTCATCAGTCTTGGGCTGCATTTGGAATGGTGCTCATAGTAAATTACAGAAGGCTTGGCGCTGGCATGATAATGCCCCGCTTATGAAAGTATCTGAAATGTATCTCGAGGCTTTCACATGTTATAAAGTAATACAGAGAAGCCAGTGTGAGAAACCTCCAGCAATCTATCAGCCAGTCTGGCAGGAAGAATAGATGTATGAGTCAGCGTCTTACTAAGAGCATTCACACAGCATTTTCCCTCCACAGAGAGCAGTGATTAATCTGAATGTCTCTGTCATTCCCTCTCCTCTCCCTCTCTCTCTCTCTCTCGCTCTCTCTCTCTGTCAGACACAGATCCACGGGTCCTGGAGAAGCAGGAGCAACAGCAGCCCACCTATCTGGCGCTGAGCTACATCAACAGGTACACACACACGTACAGTATATTCACAAACACACAGAACCAAGGATGTCCGTCTGCAGGGGGCAGCATTGCTCCACCAGTGAGCGTCTGCATGTGTGTGTGTGTTTGTGAGAAAATGTGTGTGCACATGTGGCTTGCGGGGAGCAGCTCAAATGACGGATGTCTTCCCATAGAGCCAGCAGCGAGTGACTCATCCACAAACCAGCGCAGAAAAAAAAAAAAAAAACCCACACAAGACAATCGCTCCCGACTCCACGCACTGCCAGCTGCTACAGCTCAAGGCGGCATTGCAGGATTGCGGCATGTTTATGTTTTTTGTGCGGTGAACCGATGTGTCATGTCCAACTTTATGCCACGTTAAATCACCCAAAGATGCAACATCGGGGAGGATAACGGTTCAAAAAGAAAGAGAGGGAAAGTGAACAGGAGTTTGTTTTCTGTGGGTGATGTTTGTGTTCACTGTGCCATGTTGTGATGACAGTGGTGTGTGTTTAAAGGGGCGGCTCATTCAGCAGCTCATCGATGTCATGTTTAACCTTGGCTATCCTGAAACACAGTATCGTAAAACTCATTAATAGAGAGGGATTGATTCTCAAAGACTCCAATTAAAGCCACAAATAAGGTCATAAAAAAGCACAAACAAAGTAGAATATGGAGTATGCAGCTGTAAATACGGTTTATTAGACTGTAATTCAAATAATTACACGTGACCCACAGACTAATCAGACAGGTTGTCCACAAACGGTAACATCTTGGGGAGGGAGCACTGAGATGATTAGTATGATTATTGCTCAAATTACATCTCAAAGACTGACTTCCTGCTTTTGTTTACTCTTTCTGCTCCTGCTGGTGCTCTGCACACCAAGGGGGTTATTAACAGGATCTCAGGTGTTCTCAGTTTGGCTTTTACTTACTTGCAGTGCAGTAGGGCTGTAATCAACCAAAGAAATTCTTGGTCGACTAAAACCCTCAAATTTTCGACCAAAAATCGACTGACGGCAAACTCTTCTGCGGCGGGGGATGACATGGCTTGGCGGGGTGAAAATATACCGATATCAGCACAAAAGGCTAAAATATAAAAATCCAGCAAACCGCCGGACGTTGATTGACGTGGACGCTCTTTAATCTTCCTGTCTCCAGCCGCTCTCTAGTGGGTTGGGCGAATCCAAAATGGTGAAAACAAGGGGGGTGTTCTGAGACAGGCTGTTACCTGTGAAAAGAGGGTGCTCTGAAAACACCGCCATTAGCACTTGGTATGTTCCTCCTGATAAAACTAACCATAGACCGTAAATTGGTGCGGAAAAAATCAAGTTGACCAATCAGAATTTTGGTCGACTAAGCAGGTACCAACCAATAAGTTGACCAGTCGACTGGGACTTTACAGCTCTACTAATTTCAAAAGATAAACAAGTTGATAAAGTCGCTAAAGACATTAGTAAATTTCCCAAACGAGGTCTGAGTGTGTTGGGATTTGTTGGTAAATGATTTCATGGACTCAGCCCTCCCCTGTCATGTGTCTTACTCACGATACCGCCAGGTTCATGACGGATGCGGCGCGCCGGGAGCAGGAGACCATGAAGAAGAAGGCGACGCCCAAACTGTCCCTGTCCATCACCGGCGGAGTGTCCAGGAACAGCACGGCCACGCCCCCTCGCCACACCAGCGGTAACCTGACGCCCCCCGTCACGCCTCCCATCACCCCCTCCTCTTCTTTCCGCAGCAGCACACCCACAGGTATGACAGGTGTGTGAGCGTGCATGTTGAAATGTGCAGTTGAGACGAAGACAGATTGCTGGTGTGGAGTGAGTGGAGGCCTTGAATGCAAATGAACTTACTGGCTCTAACAGAAAAAAAAAAAAACTACGGTTGTAGTTGGAGCCAATCGACCACAAGTAGAGACATTTACAGTCTTCTAAAACCAAGTGGACAAGCATGAAATCATTTAGCAAAAGTTCAAATCAAGTGGAAAGGTTGATGCCATTTCATGCCGTAGTTTCTTCAACTCTTTGTCAAACATCAGAGAACATCTACTTTGATTTTCCAAAAGCTCGTGTGCTGCCTGTATGCATGCATGTGCATTTGTTTGTGCGCCGGCTAAGGTGGCTCCTGCGGTGAGCAGACCAGTCAACACTCTGCTAATTACATAGCAGCTGTCATGCTGTGTGTTCGCATGGGGCCGTGTGTTGCACAGCCCAGGAGCAGATGTCCAATTCCAGCCCAAATGGTTCCAAACGTAGTGTTAGGTCTGGGCTCGTACACCGGCAGGGCCGCACACACACACACACACACACACACACACACACACTCACACACATGCACACGCCTTCTTTCGACATGTGCCAGGGTGCCATCCATTTCCTCATGCTGAGGTGCAGCATTTCCTGTGAGATGGTGGGGGGGGGGGTCAGTGGGTTTATGTATGTGTGAGTGAGTGTGTGCATGTGTGTGTGTGTGTGCATGTACATGTACATGTGTTAGTATGTTTGTGAGTGGAAAATGTTCCTGCACATAACAAAGCACCTTTTCAGCCGGAGCATTTGGAATCTCTCCAACTTAATGATCTCTGTTTGGTGCCAACCAAACAGTGTGTTTGGACTCAAAGGCGCACACAAAAGCCCTCACACTCATGCACAACACTACTGTTTTGTTTTAGCAGTTTTTCCACTGACATGTGAGCCACCGACGCATCAAAATAGGCGCAGAGAATAGAAGGAAGTATTGATAAAATGTTATGCACCACTGATCGGTGAATTCCCAAGGGAATGAAGGCATGATGTTCTTTAGGCTCTGTCACTAGTCATATTTCAACTGGTTGACTTGTGTTGTTTCTTGTTCTGTGTGTCTCCGCTGTGCCTCCAGGCAGCGAGTATGATGAAGAGGAGGTAGACTACGAGGAGTCGGACAGTGATGAGTCGTGGACCACAGAAAGCGCCATCAGCTCCGAGTCCATTCTTAGCTCCATGTGCATGAACGGGGGCGAGGAGAAACCGTTCGCCTGCCCAGTCCCCGGCTGCAAGAAGAGATACAAGGTAAAGCTTAATCGGAATACTGGGAAGTCTGAGCGAGCCGGGCCAACAGAACAACACAGCATTTACTCACAGCAGATGAAGCCCACAGTGGAGCATTTGTTTGGACATCACATGTTATGACACTAAATTTGAAAAAGCGCGTAATAAATCCAAAATATTGATGAGAGACAAAGATAAGAACATCACGGTATATTTGTTTTGGATGATATTATTCATGACTGCTGACAAATGCTTCCATGTCCACTCAGTCCCACCAGTCGTGACGCATTTTAATATTATTCAGTTCTGATATGTTATGAAAGTCGAAAAATGAGTTTTTAAAATCATCCTAAAATAAGGGCCAGGGGGGTCATTAGGGTCACGGATTAGAAATGTTGTAATGTTGGACCAGATTTGTAGGATATGAGTTAAAAAAAGATAAATAAATAAAAGAATAAATAATTTCTTCTTCAGTGAGACAACCAAATGTTGGACCTACAACACTCCTGATACTCCCGATCTCTGCCAACAGAGAGTGCATTTTCAAATCTGTTCTGCTCTTAGCTTCATCTGATAAGCAAAGATATGCTCATTGGAATTTCTCAAGGGGAAACCCCAGACTGAAGGTCATGATCCAGGTCTACGCCAAAGCTGTGACTTAGTGACGATAGTAACAACGAATGGGGGAGAAAAGAGGCGGCCGTGGTTCAGCGGTAGAGTCAGTTGTTTCCCAAAAACAGCCTCCTCCATCCGTGTGTGAATGTGACGTCATGTAAGAGAGCTATAAGTGGTCAGAGGGCTAGAGAGAGCAGCAAATAAACCATTAATATGTCTGCAGATGATGTGATCAGCTAAAAATACATAATTAATTATAAAAAATCTGAGGGATGTGGATTTGGCTCTCATTAAAGACAAGACAAGGTAAAAAAGTGGGCTGTGGGAAACGAAGAACCATATTTTTCCCTGCTCTACATCTGCTCTGTCAGTCACAATGGAAGCATTTTTGTGTTGATTTCTCGACTTAACAGCAACAAATCCTCTCTGCTTTAATACATTTTTATCAGTTTAATGTTTGATAACTTTAGAGTGTAAGTACTTCATTGTTAATGGTATTAGCTCCATGTCACAACTTTGATTTATCCTAGTTTTGGATACATTTGAGGATACAAGATAGTTGATAGATGATGCAGTTGAGTGCAGTGAACTAATGCACACCTACCACCACAAGCACATTTAGGAACCTTCCTAAGGTTCTAGATTCACATTCACAGGCTGTTCATGAACCTTGGTCAGCCGCTCCAGGCATAGCCTCTGTATATGTGGCAGCAGGTTTTATCTCCTGAGAAAAACCGGATTGCTGTTGGGTAGGGACTATGTCTTAGCTGGTCGCAGTGACTTCCTGAAGTCTTTGGTGGTTACCTTAAAGTAACAAGACTCATCATTTTTCATACATAATGATATAAAAAAGTATTTTATTTCCTTTAAGATGTTTCCTCCTGTATTTCATGTCTTTTTTTGTTTTTTTTTTAATCGCAATACAATGCATTTTTACATCCAACATTTTCACAATTATGGATATGCATACATCTACAATTTAATACAGACTCATTTCATTAGAAAAAACAGAAAGAGAATGCGCTGTATCTTTATGTTACTCCTTATTTTAAATCCTTTAGTATACCCCTTGTATTTTATGTCTTTGAGCTTGTAAATTGGGATTTTAGATGGACCATCAGGCTTTTTACGCTACAAGCGGCAAGAAAGTGAGAACAGATTTGTCAACAAGTCAAAGATGGGGCATACATGTGTAACATCTTTCCCTTAAATGAATTATTTCCTTTTCTGTTTGTGCTTCAGAATGTCAACGGTATCAAGTACCACGCCAAGAACGGCCACCGCACGCAGATCCGGGTGAGGAAACCCTTCAAGTGTCGCTGTGGCAAGAGCTACAAGACCTCACAGGGCCTGAGACACCACACCATCAACTTCCATCCACCGGTGTCCACCGAGATCCTGCGCAAGATCCAAGGCTAAAGCCTGAAGTCTGAGCGACCAAGTACCCCCAACACACAGCCCTGTCCTGACTTTCCTTACCCGACCCTTTTATACCCATCCCACACACTAAAGGATCAAGTGCATGCTTTAAGTTCTTCTACTTTTCGTTCAGTTCATTTTTATTTTTGTGTGATATTATTTTTTCTATCCATGTTATATCACTTGTATTTTTTGGTAAAAAAAAAAAAGAAAATGTATCTTTGTAGTATTTTTAATGTTGTACATTTGCACATTCGTATTATGCTATCACGTTACCTTTTTTCTATTGTTTGACTTACATAAGGTGCTAACTGTAAAAAACAACAGAAAGAAAAGACAAAAAAACAAACAGAGGGAAACTAAAACGAAGATGTGAAAAAGGAAGTGACACCAAGCTCCGCCTCTTTTTCTGCGCTGAAATGAACGAGATGAAGTCGACACTAGAAGTGATCTGAGGTCAGTTTTCAGACACTCCTTTTTAATGAGTTTACTGCTCTTAGATCTGCCTTTACTGTCACTTCTGGAGGCGAGGGTGCAAGAGTTAAGTTATACTTTAAATAGATATATTGATATATAAACAATAGATATGTAAGTGTACATAAAAATATATAAAAGTATTCATGAGCATATACATAAATAGTTACACTTTATTTTCAAGCTTTATTTTATATATTTTTGTCAGTGTTTTAGAGTAGATTCTTTTGTGTATCAGTAAGTGTTCCTTTCATTCCATGTTTGCTGAGACGGCCACCTCAGAGGTCAAACCGTTGGCCGAGTTTGGGAGACGAGGAGCCGATAGATCTTTTGATTTGACACACTCTGAACAGTGTGTGATGTTTACTGTCGATCATGAAGGGACACTCAAAGCAGAACGTGTTAGATCAAAGCTCAGGCCAGTAATCCTTATCCGAAAACATTTCATTTGGCGCAGAAAGCCGACTGTTTATTCCATATCTTCAGTGTTTTTCTCATCCGAGTGCCAGAGCTGCGTTCAAGAGACTCCAGCGTCAAACTGTATTCTAGTTGCCAAGATTTTTTGTTGGTGTTTTTCCATGATTGTTGCCAACAGCTCTCCACTGCCAAACATTGACCATACCATGTGCCTGACGAGGGGTTGGGGGGTGGGCGGGGAGTTGTTAAGGTTTTCATTTTGGAGGTTGCTATAAGTGTGGCAGTGATTTTTCTTCTTCATGCGCCTCCGAAATGTTTGGATGAGTGGATGTACATTGATAGAATGTTTTCCATGCATGCTTTCTGTGTCGTAAAGAGAGAGATACTGAGGGTGGGTTTATATCTAAGAGATTACCAACTACAACCTGTCTTTTTTCGTGTGTTGTAGAGGAGCATTCCAGTTCATTGTACGTGTGTAGGTACGTTTGATGTAAGTGTGAGCTGTGTGTGTGTGTGTGTGTTTCAGCAGTTTCCAACTCATCAGCCTATAGAGTGTATTCTGTGTGTGTGTCATGTTTTACTGCTGCCAGGCCGCTGGTTTGACTCCTGTAGAGCAGGATTGCTGGCTGGCAGGCTGACAGAGTTGCGTCATGTAGAGTAGCGGTGGCCAACTTGTTGCCCCCTTACTGGGATTTTTCATCATTCATTGCCTCTAGAAAAACAAAAGCGGCGTCATGCTGCGCCGCGCTGCGTGCCAAGTCACAATGATCCATGACATCATGTCCTTAATGAACGTTCTTGTTCAGTCGAGGACTCATGAGCTCCAGCTCCCTTTTCTTTTGTTTATTTGAAGGGTACCTCTGACCTGCACACACCCTCCTGTCCTCTAAACTTCTAGGTTAGCTTCGCAAAGATGCTTAACAAACCTGATTTTGTCGTTTATTTTCACATACTTCTAACAAAATAAGTACAAGTAGGGGCGTGTCCGGAAAGGTTGGCATAAGCCAGTGGCTCTCAAGTCCAGTCCTCGAGGCGCACTGTCCTGCATTTTTTGGATGCACCTGATACCAATGATGAGCTCGTTAGGAAGCCATTACAGATCTTGATAACGAGCTGATCATTTGAATCAGGTGTGTTGGAGCAGGCAAACATCCAAAACATGCAGGACAGCGGGCCTCGAGGACAGGACTTGAGAACCACTGGTATAAGCCAAGGTGAAATTTGATTGGCTGTCTAAAAAATTCTGAGCCATGATTGGCTATTTGCTTTGAACTGCTTGGGCTGAATTTGTTTGTTTGAATGTAGCGATGTTTTTATTTTTTGTTACTTGTTGGATATGAGCTTAGAGTATTTTAATGTTGTGTTGCTTGAGCTGAAAAGATGTACACTAAAATATACGCATGACACTTTTACGTTAGTATTAAAGTAGGAAGGATTTGTGGAGTCAGAAGAACTCAATGCCGCCCCTTGATTGAGTCACCAGTTAAAAATCATGGGCACACCTTTCTTTCAGCATAATTCAAAACAGACGTTTGAATCCTCAGAGTATAGAATTTGTCTATCTTGTTGCCAGTGTTCTTGTTTGCTCACAAAAGCATCATAAATTCCAACCCACTTCATAAACATCAAATAATTCCTACTACTACCTTTACCAATGCCTTGAAGTAGAGTGGTATTTTACAAATAAGCACAAATGTGACCCAGCAGATATGCATGAGTATTCAGTAGGACCAATAAGTGAGCCATTATCTCCAAAATCTTGGTATCAGTTTCAAAGTGTGTCCGTGGACTTGATACCCTGAAAGAAAACCTGAGGTAATGGTTCGCATGCGATAGAAGAGTGCGTAGGGGAAGAGTTTCCATGTCTGGGATCAGTTCAGAGACAGGGGGAGACGGACGCAGACTGAGCGTCTCCCGTTGGCCTGTCAAACACTCGTAAAACCATCCCCGCTTCACTGACACCAGCGTCACCATGGCAATAGTTCCGGCTTTACACAGGGGCCAATTTCAGTATTACTAGAAGAGGGGTGGAGGAGAGGAGGTTGTGTGCAGAAGGAGGATACGAGGGAGGGGTTTCAGTATACCAGTACAGTGTACAGTGAATGTATTGTAACAAGTGTCTGTTGTCAAGTGCTTTTAAATTATATTTTCGTATGTAACGTGGAGACCATTGTTTCCTTTTTGTATGGGGGGACAAAAGGTTCTGACCAGAGTAACTTGTAAATGATGTCAAACTGTCTTTCTATATAAAAGAGAAGCTGCTTCAATGTAAACAGGAAATGACTGAAAAAACAGTAAAATAAAGTAAAAAGCTCTGCAGCTTGGACTGATGGGTCTGTTATTCCTCCTCTTGAATCAAACACAAACAGTCCAATGGATTTCGACAAGCCGACTTTATTCATAAAGATATTTGCAGCGCACACATTTTTCACCTTCCTCTCAAATGAAAAGGGCTGCGTCGGACACATGACGTACAAACACGATTGCCTTTGTGGTTACTGGGCATGTGCAAGTTTTTAAAGCCTGAATACAACACTGTCAGGAGTCACTCTGGAATGACAGGAAATAGAAAGCTGTGTAATGAAGCCCTGTGAACACAAATGACACCCACTCATGACATGAACCTGCACAGAATGAAGTTGTCTTCACAATTAGATTTTTTACAATTTTTAAACTTGGTGTCCTGCAGTATTTTTTTGCCTGAAACTTGTTGAAGTACTTCTCTGATAAAGTAAAAAAACCAAAGAAGTGAAACGTAACTTCACCGTCACTCTTTCATCACTAAAACATGAAGGTAGTAACATTGGGGGGAAAAAGGAGGGTCACATCAAGTCGCTCAACACTTTATACTTATTTTCATATGTACAGTACATTCAGAATAAAGCCTTTTTTAGTGCAGTTACATGAAAACATAGTGCTGTTGTTGTTTCAACCTTCTGATTTCTTTGATAAACACTCACTCACTATCATAAGTACAGCAGTACCGTGGTTAGAGGAGGAATCAGATTCCTCCCATTCAAGTCAATAAAATCTCCATCTTTGATAAAACGTACACACTCATCTTCATCTTTAAGACATCACTTATTCAGACCTCACTCTGCACGTACACTTTGAAACATCATTTTCTGATCGGTTTTGCCTCTGAATTATGGGAACGCTTTTAAAAAGGCTGCTTTATCACAAGAGAATTGAACTCTTTGTTCAGCACTTCTCTGTGTTCCATAAAAACAGAGACTTTTACATGGACTTCTTTAAACCTGGTTCAAGTTTCTGCTAGAACTCACTCTTAGCTTTCATTTTTCAGTGTTAATGGCAGAATAAATGCATGCACTACCAGTTTTATGTTACCCTGTTGAGGCAGCATAGAAATAATACAAAAGTAAAGGACCATGGCACTATACCAGAGTGTTAGTGATCCTTCGACCCAGTGTGATTTAAAGTGATGGCTAATCTTGGTGGAGTTACCACCCAACAACAAACTCTTCATCTCTTAAGTTGACTACATTCTTTCTAACCTGTGTTAAGATTGCAAAAAAGTGCTAATGATTGTATTTGAACGAGACAACTTAACCAAACCCCAGTCAGAATAAACTAAAGCTGACAACACACATTTACTCATATCCAAAATCAGCGCCTCTCCTCCTGCATCCTTCATTCAATCTGCTCGAAGTTGAGCACGTGGCCGTCAAAGTGCGTGAGGACGTGTCTCTCGAAGAGCTGCTGCTGACAGTTGAGGGGGAACTGCTCGGAGCAGACGGGGCAGACTTTCCAGTGGCTCTCCACGTGCTGCTCGAAGCTGCGCTGCTCAAAGTGCGGCGGGAAGATCACCTCACATAATGGGCAGCGCTTGTGGACATCACCCCTGGAGAGGTCAAGCGGAAAGTCGATGTGTCAAGTTCACTTTCATAATCTGTGTTTTTATGGTTGTTTGTATCTTTTTTGTTAAATCATATTTACCTTGCTTATTATAAATACCTGTGCTATATTCATATGTAAGCACTACACTGTGACAGAATACAATAGGATATGATACCATATATTAAAATTTAATATGATAATGTCCAGTATGACATAATTCAATAGCATATAATACCATACAATATCATATAATATATACTATATGCTTGCTATGAAGATTTCACAATAGCAAAAAGACCCCTCCCGCAGACTTCCACAACTCAGCATTTCAGAGCCCAACATTCTGGAAGCCTCCTTCCCTGTTGCCAAGCAACACACTGGTGTTTCTTTTGATAATACTGCATTCCAGTTGTACTTGGAAGTCGGAATTTCCGAGCTCCTAATTGGAAATTCATCTGGAAGGCTCCCCTGAAGTCGGATTTCCCACTCAGAAAGTCGGACAATCCTCACCAACCCCGTCTTAACGACAACGTCATAATCCAAGATGGCAGCGCAGTGCATCATCAGTAAAGGGGAACATTGAAAGTAATTTTGTAATGTAATGTATTTGTAATGTAATATTTATTGGCACTTCTGTTTTCTTTTAGTGAAATTAAATAAGTGGTATATGTTGTACTGCCCAACGTCTAACTGTGAACACAGTACTATGGTGTTTGTAAGAGTAAAATACGGTGTTGTGCGTTGTTTCCAACTAGTATAGCTAACAACAACATCGAACAACAGCTGACAACCGCTTACAACTGACAACAGCTGACAACTGGAAACAACAACTAATGGCTAACAGTTGGCGTCCATCTTGGTTTTCCGACTTGGTAACTTGAACGCCGTCAACTCAGGTGTAAAGTTATTCCCAGCTCCGACATCCTAGGTAACCGGAACGCAGCATAAAATTACAAATATACCCTTTAAGAAGATTTTCTGGTGATGTCATGATTTGGGCAAATCTCATACTGTTCTCGTTGAATTCTCATGTGACTTTTGAATTAGCCAGTCAGAGCGCCCTTTAGTCCCATCTGATGACGGATTAGACTGATGTGAAACATCTACACTTACAATTGGTTTTTAAAGTATGAACAAAAGCAGAAGACTCCTTGATGTTTTCCATGATGTTTTTTCTTTTCTGTCATGAGGCCTGAGGTAGACATCCCAAAAGGTTTGTTTAGTGCAGCTCCAAGCTTTGATATCATCTGTTTATGTGTTTCAGTAAGGTAATATATTTAAATCAAGCAACAAAGAAATCTGGCTTTGAGCTGTCCTTAATATAAAACCGCCGTTACTGTTACTCTGTGAAGTCAGCTCTATTGCTCTGTTTTCAATACTCAGCCCTCAATGATCTTGTTTGTCTTCACCAGTGATTGACTTGCCAAAAAACAAACAAGCAAACAAACACACTTGTACCCTCATTCTTCCCTCTCTTTACTCTAATCAGAGTAATGATGTCACCTTTCCTGGTGGTAATGTCATGTGTTTTCCAGTAAAACCACCTGATCTTCATGCCTGTTTGATCTACATTCATCGTTATAACTGCGGGTTGTCACACTACCTAGAGTCAAAACAGAAGCTGCTCCTGGCTTCACTGCGTCTGCTGGCCTGGTGGTCACAGGATGGCTGGGCCCCGTCAGCAGCCTAAGAAACGCCAAAAATAAACACAAGTGAAAAAAGGTCAGAACATGCTCATAGTACTCTAGGCTCTGATAAACAGTCTTCCAAGATGTTTCTCTAAAAAGTGCTAAATATGTTAAAGAAGTGACAAAACAAGTGAGGTATTTAAGATGAGAGTGTGTGTTACTGACTGATCTTAGGTCTGTCCCTTTGCAAAATCTGTCCTAATTACTCCCTTTGCTCTCGCTATCCTCATCTCTCTTGAGCTCTGAAGGAGTGACGTTAATTAGAGCATTATGCAAATGAGTTCAAAGATTCATCTTTTAAGGGCAAGCTATATGCGCATTATTCAAAGAGGAGAGATCTCCAGTGAGAAACAGAGAGAGGAAGAAAGAGAGAGAGAGAGAGCTTTTATAAAATGTGGGTTAACTTCACACAAAGATTTCTAAGAGAAAGTTCCCGGATCGAGACGCGCTGATTGATTACCAAAAAACGTCTTCTTTACGAAATTAAGTTTTATCGGCACATAATCTAAAGCATGTGAAACCCATTTCCCACGGATACTCAAACTGCTCAGAAGAGTCTTTTATTACTGCCTTGTAATAAAATGTCACCTCTGTCTGGGGTTTATGTTCAGCAGCAGCCTGCTTGCCAGTGCTCACATTTCTCGCCTCCTCTGCTGGGTGCTCCAGCCCTTCAGGGGGGGTGGTGCTACGGGCAGGCTGGATGCAGACCACCTCTTGGTTCCAGTCTGGTGCACCCGCACTGGGACTCGGAGGTGTGATCGGAGGTGCACAGGGAGGAGCGCAGGACGGGGCCTCAGGCGGAGGACGGGACATGTGCTCTGGAGAAGGGGCGGCATCTGCCCGTTCTAGAAAAACAAAAAAACAGAAAAGCTGTTACTGTCCTACGAAAACCTTCAGAGGTCAAAACTGGGGGAACTGTTGATAGAAGTTGTCATTTCTTGCACCTCTTGTGGTGTCTGTGGAGTAAGGATTTCCGTACTGCAGCTCAGCAGGCCTCTGTGGCACCAGGGGAGGAGGGGAGGGGTCCTGAGGGTATGGCAGGGGGTACCGCAGCACCATTGGCTGCCTCATCTCAGCACCCTGAACACAGGCTTCCTGCTCTCTCTGCCTGCATGCGTAGCGCTGCAGCTCCTGGACGGGAAAAGAGAAATGTTGTGATGCTGAACGTATTTTTCAGTAGGTCGGAGTTTTTTACCCTCTAAGAATTCGGTGATCAATATATTTTCATATTCATTTTATCAAGATTGACTTCTATTTCTTCTGCAGTCCCTCAAGAATCCACCAGTGGACAGCTCCAACAACCAAGAAGACCCCATTAGTGCTCATATTCACAGCAGAATCAGACACATTTACTAGGGGTGGGAATCACTAGTGGCCCCAGGATACAATATTGTCACGATACTGGGGCCACGATAAGAAATTATTGTGATACTTGGGCCACAATATGATATTATCACGATACTTGGGCCATGATAAGATATTATCCTGATACTTAGGCCACAATACGATATTATCATGATACTTGGGCCGCATTACGATATTATCACAATACTTGGGCCACAGTACGATATTATCACGATACTTGGGCTGCAATACGATATTATCACAATACTTGGGCCACAATATGATATTAATACGATGCTTGGGCCACAATACCATATTATCACGATACTTAGGCCATGATAAGATATTATCACTATACTTGGGCCACGATACGATATTATCACGATACTTGGGCCACGATACGATATTATCACGATACTTGGGCCACGATACGATATGATATTACCACGATACTTGGGCCACAATATGATATTATCACGATACTTGGGCCACGATACGATATGATATTATCACGATACTTGGGCCGCGATATGATATTATTGCGATTTTTAACATTTTGCAATACAGTGAGTTTTGCGATACAATACATTGTGATTTATACAATTTTTTCAACTGTTTACCTAATTTAAACTACGTCCTTGTTTGATACATTCTGTGTTGTGTGCACATGCAAAAGACCAAAGAGTGATTGATGAGAATAAATGTGTGAAAGGAATCTTGGAGATTTTTCCGTAGCATTTTTCTCTCTAGCACTTCCAGCCCAGAGTTAAGTTTCCCTCTACATTGTCTCTGCCCTTTGTGATTATACCTGAAGCACAAGCATTAGTACCCTACTCATTACTGTAATGGGTGTCAGACTTTGGCTCCTTTGGCTCTCGCTCTGCAGATGGAGGCGCTCGCCCTCTCTCTTCTCCCTCTGGCTTCTCCCCCCTGACCTCCTCCCTTAAAGACTTCATTAGTGCGCAGCTATCAGGTTTAACATTTAAACCAGGGTTGGGAAGGTGAAACAGACACGTCGCGTGGCATTTGCACTGTCTAATGGCACTGTATCAGTGGGCGAAGGAAGCTAGTATAGATGTATTAATTAGTGGGGAGTGGGAGTGTGGAGAAGGGAAGGAGTTTTTACACCTCGCTGAAGCTCAGATAATTGAAAGTGAGGATCCCCATATGGACTTCAAGTAAAATCCAGCAGACCTACTGGGGGAGACGCAACAGGTGGCCTTATCAAAGTCAAAATGTATCCAAAACAACCTTTGCTTTTGTCATGACTTGTCCTGTTTCCAATGTAAAGCACTGACAGATAGACGGTATTTTCATGGTGCTGTTGCTTTACCTCCTGTAGTTGCTCCTTGTCTCGAAGCGCCTGGGCGAGGTTACGTTTCAGCTCAGTCACCTCGCTGGCTCGCTCCGCCATCTGAACCTATAGACAAAAAAGACATCAGGGCGCGGTTCATAACACAACTTGTAATTAGTGTAGCTGCTTAAGGGATTACATTCATGTCAATACCCAGGCTGATCTCCTCATTGTTCCTGATAGACAGGACTATTGTGTGAAACCAAACCGGAGCTGCAACTTACAATCTCCTCATTCATTTACTGAGGATTAACTCCACAGTTACTACTAAGACAACCAATAAAATGCTTATAAAAATGTCTATCACAGTTTACTAGAGAGGAACAGGCTGTCGTTCACCTCGTCAGGAAGATATTCACTTTCACATTCGGTAAAAAAAAAAAAAAAAAAAAGACAAAAGGAAAGAAAGACAATGGAACCTATGAGTAGTTTGTTTGTAATTTGACTGGCTAATTGTTACATTTGTCTCCATTAACACTCCTGTTTTATAACAATTAAAACAAACACTGACAGACAATGTCCTTTGTTACCGTGTCTGTAATGCAACACAACTATTTCTCTTCTCTGTTTATACTAATTCATAATCAAAAACTGAAATATCAATGAATACACTGTTGATGTAAAGAATTAAAGACCATCAGAACTATATAAGGAGGAGTGAAAGGTGCGATAAAACTATTTGAAGAAATGCAGATGACTTTTCTAACTTTTGAACCTCAGGGTTGATATCCGAGCTAAGTCTTTCTTCTCCTCTGTGCTTTCAGGTTCGATGTCCTTCGTGTGAGCAGACTAAGAAAGATATCAGTTGGCATACACACACAGCCGAGCAAAGGAACAAAATATTTGTTCAGTTGAGCTGTATTTAACCTGGAGCGGTGTCAAACCTGTGGTTCTCGATGTAAAGCCACAGATACTGTGCGTGTTTGAGGCAGAATGGGGGTTCGTTATAAATCCACCACTTTCCATCAGGGCTGACCCTGTGGGATAGTTTACGTGGCGAGCTGCCTTCTTCTCTCTCATTTCATCCCATTACAAAGGGTCCGAATCCCCTCCTCTGCTAGTTCCTCTCTCTGCTTCATGTCTGTCTGTCTGTCTTGCTTTCTTCACTCTTAAATTCTGTTTGCTTCTTCCCTCTTTATTCTCTTTCATCTCCTTTCCTCCTCTCTCACTCTCCCCCTCTTTCATTAATTTACGGCGCAGCATTAGGAGGTTAAGTTCAGGTGAAGGGATCCTGAAACAGTGGATTTCTGTGCTCCCTCTCCCCGTCTCCCTGTCTATTCCCCTCCCTCGCTCCTTCCTCTGGGTGGCTGATGTAAACAGCCGTAAAGCATGGCTGCTCTGCGGCTGCCTCTCTTGTCAGTCTCAGGAGCCATTAAGAGCGGCTGTGAGCCCGGGGCGCTCGCCTCAGACAGGAGACTCTATCAAAGACAGGGGAGGGCTTTATTTACAGCGCCGATAAACACTCACTCACTCAGAGAGATTAAATACCGGTCGGTACTTTCGCACGCAAAACGCAACAGGCTCACGCCGACGCAAGAAGGTTAAGTGCTTGTGTTGAATCACGCACACACACACACACACACATACCACACGTTAGAGGACACACTGGGTAATGTGTATAGAACAACCTGGTAGATGCAGCAGCATGGAAGAGTAGACAAGTCACCATTCTATATATAATACCACAATGAGAATTCTTCATAGTTTAAGGCTTCTTTTTAAAAGTTATAAAAGTCTGACCTTTTGATAACCTTCATCAAACACTGAGTCCATAAAAACGTGGGTGAGAAGAAAACTAAAATATTTCACTCAGGTAAAATCTACTTAAAAAGAAGTAGGACCACCAGTCTAAAATATCTACTTCAGTACTTTATAGTTTATGTATTTTAAAGCTCCAGTAGGGAACTTTAGGTTTATGTCAATTTTGGCGCCGCCTGCTGTCACATCAGTCTTCACTTGGGTTCATATTCCAACAAAAAATCTCATTCATTGTGAATACTCTGCATGAAAATAGTAAAACAAGCCTCTGTCCTCAGTTGCTCAGCTGACACCAACTCCCTCACACTGGTTCCCAGCATTCAAAATAACAACTTCCAAATTGTCAATCTTGTCACCTGAGCTTTAAGTATAGAGTACTTACTTATAACCTGAGGGGGGGAGTCAGGGAAGCTGGAGACTAATATAGCCCCTAAATCATGTATAAGTATTATATACTTAGCTAATACCTGAAGTACAACAAGCAGAAAGCAGTGATTGTGAGAGGGCATTTACAACACCTATCCAGGTTAAAGTAACTGAATATTATTGAGTATTGTTTGTTGCATCCTTCTTTGAGTGCATCGTTTTGTAAACAGTCCTCTGGATGATCTCTTTTACACAGCCTGCAGTCAGTGGGAAGCTTTTTATTCCAACCTCTTTTCAAGGGATATTCCAGTGCGCAAATAAGTTATGGTCAAACACACCGCAACACCAAGTAAGACACCCCCTCGAGAGATGAATGTTGCCGACTGCTTGCTTCTCTAGTTTTGCTAACTTTAGTAACGATCACAGGATAGCGGTACCCAGCGGTCTACGTCTCAACACACAAACCTCAACCAAAATGCCACTCTATAGCCACAAATAATGCTCAGAACAGCACCTAGCTTCATCAACAGTACATATAGGGTCCCAGCCATAGTACTAGCCATCAAACATCTTTTAAGCTTTCCCTGGTTTCTTTAGCAAAGAGACTAACCACAACTCACCCACTCTCCTCCAGCAGCCACTTGTTTGTGGGGGAGCCCTGACAGGTCAATCACAGAGTGCAGCGGGTTTTCGCAGCTCAAGGAAGAACATTTATGATTATTACTCAGAGTTCTTGTGTATCTTGTATGTGCACTGCAGATGCTGTAGTTCTTCCGCCTTAGCGTCCCGGTCTGATTGCATTTCCATGAAGTCATAATCATGAATTTTCCGCTGCACTCAGTGATCAACTTGTCAGGGCTTCCCCACAAACAAGCGACTGCTGGAGGAGAGGGGGTGAGTTGTATTTGGTCTCTTTGCCAAAGAAACATTTGGTATAACAAGAGAAGCAAGCAGTCGGCAACATCCATCTCTAGAGGGGGTGTCTAACTCTGTGTTACGGTGTGTTTGACCATAACTTCAATGTATGCCAGAATATCCCTTTAAGTATTCCTGCAACTGATGCAGTGTAAAGTGAGCTTTCCACAAGAAAGGCTTAGGTAGAAGTAATGATTTTAAAAACTACTCAATAAATAGAAGTCCACAAAAAGCTTCTCAATAACAGTGAATTGAGTAAAAGTAACAAGTAACTTTCCACCTCTGATAAAAATCAGTTTTTAAGGTAAATGTGTGACTTTTAAGTACATCTCCTGCCTAGTAGTACAAGTAGTAAAATTTTTATGGGCTCAATCTTTATATAAAAATGAAAGCATGCACTATTACAACCTCACAAGTGGAGTGGAAATGCTTTGTGTTTGAAACGACATGCAATGATAGTCCAATTAAAAATAAATGGAGCGGAAAACTGACTTGTAAAAGGAGAGCACAGGAATTATAAAACAGACTGATGCACTAAAAACTGGTGTAATAGTGAGTGTGATGGGATCAGCAGGTTTTGCTGGAAAGCACTACAGCATGAGTTATAATAACCGATATTTTAAGAATATATGTGGAGGTTTGGAGTAACTGGTTTTCCTAAAATCTAGTCCTCTTTCTGTCCGCTCTGTTAGTGTTCTTCTTACTCTGAATCGCTCCTCCTCGTCAGCCAGCCGTTGTTTGAGCGTTTCATTGATTGCACACTGCTCCCTCCACTTCTCCTCCATCATCGCCAGCTCCTCCTCCACTGACTGGGTCTGCTCCTTCTCTGCCTCCCCTATGCTCCTCCCCTCCACCTCTAGCAGCACCTGCTCCTGCACAACATCCTGCACTTCTTCAGCCTTCTGCACCGCCTCGCAGTTTGGTTCTTCTTTGGTGCTTGTCCTTTCGTTCTCCACCTCCACCCAGCTGGTCATCCTCAGGCTCTCCTCCGGCAGGCTGTCCTTGTTCTCCTCTTTTTCTTTTTCTTCCTTCTGCCTGTCCTCGTCTCGGGTTGAATCTCCCTCAGCCTCTGACTCAGCCCTGTCCTTTTGCTTTTTCTCCGTCTGACTTTCTTCTCTCTCCGTGCTGTTGTATAAATCAGTATGTGTGGATTCCCTGTCGCTTAGATCTGGAGTGATCGACATCTCAGCAGCTCCTTGTAGGACTGCAGCAGCTATGTTTCCTGTCAGAAACGCACAAAAAGGACACCACTGAGCAGCAATTTTTTAAAATTTTATTATAACAGCCGCAATAGAAATCAGTCTCTGAGTACTTTTAAATGTGTAGGTTTGTCCCGATCACCCTCAGTCACCCTGGCTCATCCACTTACCATGAAATGAGGTACCTTAAAAGTAGGTGTCTGAGATGCACTGTTAACTGTGTCCTATAAATCATACCAGTGGGATGCATTACAATGTAGACCAGGCTGGTACTGGTGCCACTTTTTTTTACAGCTTTTCCCCTCATTGGGTTATAATCATGCATTCAAAGAAAGGGGTAGTTTACCGTCAAGGAAACATAGTTTATGGAGCGTTTCTTAGATTTAAACGACTCGATTTAAAACACAAACGGACCAGCAGGGGTGGATGGAAACACCCATGTGGGTGATCCCTCCAAGATGAATGTATCTTACATACTGGTGAGACTTATAGTCCAGGTTTTACGGTAATTTTGGAACATTAGTTTGTTAAACAATGAGAGGAAAAGTATCAGCAAAGAGGGAAGAAGAGTTTTGTCTGTACAAGAGAGTAACACAGAAAACACTAATAACTGTTTATAATGTCCTGTGATTGCAGAATGTGCTTTTGCCCTTGAGTGCGTGTGCGTGTGCGTGTGCGCGTGCGTGTGAGTGTGCACCTGCTGTTGGTGACTCTGGACTTGGCGTAAATGGCTCCAGTGTTGTTTCAGTAGACGCGTTTCTCTTTGGCTCCTGCAAAAATCCAAAGGGTGTTAAGTATTTATCGACAAGTACAGGACAGATGTTGACCCTCATGTCTATTTCTTTTTGCTGAACATATCTACCCAGTACTCACCCCTTGTGCCTCACTTGTGTTCAGTTTGGCGACCTGCCTGCGGAGGCGCTGACACTCCCGGTACTTCTCCTTGTAGTGCTCTGCGGCCATGTGCAAACGCAGCTTCAGCTCCTCCACCTCTCTCTGCAGCTCGGCCTCTGCCTCGGACACCACCATCATGCTGGGCATCACCTCTCCGTTTGTCCCAACACCCTGAAAGAGAAGGAAAGTATGTGAAATTTCCCCCATGAGTAACGTTTTATGTGCCTTTGTTCAGGACAGGTAAAACTAGAAGAAACATACTCTAGGAATTAGACACTAACCACTTCCTTCTGCGCCGTACTCCTCATGCGGTCTAGCTGGCTCTCCATACGTTGGCACTCAGCCTGAGCATCAGCCAGACTAGCACGGAGCTTGTCAGCTTCCAGGCGGGCGCGGTACAGCTCAGTCATCGTGTGGTCACGGGCGCTGGCTGAGTCACGGAGCTCTGAAGCCAGCAGGGAAGCCTGCTGCCGTGACGCCTGGAGCTGCTCCTCCGCCTGACGGAGCTGCTCACGCACACGGGCCAGCTCTGCCTGGAGACGTGAAGACAGACATACAACAAGTAGATTCATTAATTATACAAACACGCAGGATGATAGACGAACTGTCGGTGACTTGTCTGTTTATGTTGGTTTAGTAGATGCTGGCAGGAACTTTTCACACCACTACAACCTTATCAGCCTTGTGTGCCAGCAGCTCTTTCTCCAAACTGTCCCTCTGGGCTACACACGCTCGGAGCCTCTCCAGCTCTTCCTGAAACTGGGCGATGGTCACCTCCCGGTTTAGCTCCACCGCCTTCAGCATCTGCAGCTCTGCACTCAGCTTCGTGTTCTCCAGCTCCGTGCTGCGCAGGTGGGCCTACAGCACATAGAAAAAATATAAAGGTCAGACGACAGATAGAATATCTTTGTGAAAATGCATGTTTCCACTTATGCAGACGTAACATGGTAAAATGCTTTTTTCCTCACCTTGTAGAGATCTCTCTCATCCTTCTCGTTCTTCAGCTGGCTCTCCAGGTTGTCTCTCTCTGCCGTCAGCTTTTTCAGACGGTCGCGCAGGCTGTCGCACAAAATCATGAGAACAGCTTTTCACCTGATTTAATGCGCTACATGACGCTCAGTGTTCAGACACTTACACTACCTTTTTGAGGCAAAGAGCACAACCTCAACAGAGCTTTTACATAAGACTGTGTGTCTACAAGTGTGTGTACTGCAGGGATTAAAGCAAAAAAAATTGACTGAAATTTTATTGGGGCCAGTTCATATTCCCCTGCAATAGGCTGCTCCACACTTTAAGAATGGCACCTTTTCTACTGCAGGGAGAGGCACTAACACCACTTCCCTACCAGCCAGCTGAGGAGGGGTGCTTTTTCAAATTTTTGAATATTTTTTTTTCAATTACTTTGTCCATACCAGTGGTCATACCAGTGGACCCGTTCATATTTATTTATTATTTATTACACCAGATCGAAATGGCTGAGAGAACCTTCAGCGGGCAACTGATCATGATGCTGGAGCCCACGTCGGCGGAGGTCTGACAAGTTACTTCAGGTCCTTCCCTGGGGGTCAGTGGTGAACCCGCCCTCCTCTGTTTCTGACTGGCTAACACCAAAGCTCTGGCTGGCTTTATTGGTTTACAGCAGCGTCATGATTTAATTGGATATTCAAGACTGAATCACAAAAAATGTATGTGCAACTTTTTTCCCCCCTCTTTTTTTCATCTGACAGAAATCCATCTAGAGACGGAGAACTTTAATCCCTGGTGTTCTGACTGTGACCGACTGAATCTGGCCAGAAGACCAGGATGCTTCCATCAGAGGTGGTAATAATGAATATAGCACAGAAAATTAAAAGTGCTACCTGCCCGTCAATAGGCTGCTGTTTGTTGATGTGCTCTTATTTGTGCAGACAAGTTACATCATGATGGTCAGGAAGCACACAGCTGATGACTAAATCCTCTTAAAAACATCATTTTAAAACCTCTTCTCTTTATTCCAAACTCACCAGTCCAGCTCCGTCTCCTTCTGCAGGCCTCTCTGAGTGACTCCCAGCAGGTCCTCCTCCAGCTGACGGACCCGGTCTGTGGCCTCGGTCAGCCTCCTCCTAACCTCCTCCCGCTCCTCTGACAGGCCCTGCGATGAACGCAGCAGCTCCTGAGGGACAGAGAGGCAGCTGTGGATCAGAGTGATGGATGCTGCAGCCAATCACAGCGGCTGAGTCAGGAAACCAAAGAATGGAGTAGTGCGTGAAAACTCGAGGAGATGATGCAATACTTGTTATAGTTAACAGATGGTGATTTTTAATGGGATGCGTAACTGTCAAGTTGTATATAAAGTACTTTTGAAATGTTGTAATGGACAGTTCATAAATCATTCGTATCTTAACATAGTCGCATCATAGTGAAAGAGAAGTAGTCCTCTAAAGAAACCCCCAAAATCCTGACACTGTGACTGTGATTTCTATTGAAACCTGTTCCGATATGAACTTTGGAACTAATTTTTTTTCACATGTTGCTCTGGAATGATCTGCCCGAGGACACTCAGTCTGGAGAATCAGTGATCTCTTTGAGACTTTTTTTCTAAACCATACTTTCACTGAAAAGCCTTTTACAATTCTACTTTCGTAAAACTCTTTTCATTCACTGTCATACTCAGTAAATAATAGTTATTCTAAAACCTTATCGGATATTTTTTTATGATATGTTATAAATCAAAATTGTGTCTTCAAGGCAGTTTCTAAAAAATCGTTTCTAAAAATATATCCCTTTAAAAAGAAACTATTTTTTTCCCCGTCTCCCATCTCCACAGTCTGTTTACACTGCAGGTGTAACTTATGAATTCACCCTCAGGGAATCACTACTTGTCTTATCTCCCCATCACTCACAAAACAGTCATTGTAAATCATTCCTCCTTCGAGCCCTTTGGTGGACACAAAAGACATATTCAGGATCCAAAGTAACTGAACTGCTCAAAGTCAGAAAAACAGTAGCAGTTTGTGGTGAATACGTGTGGTTTTATCTCATGTTGCACTAGAGGACACAAACTTCTCCCAAGTGCCTGACAGATCATATGAGGTCTGTTTTCTCCATGTGGTGGGGTGACTGAGGAAATGCCTTGTTTGAACTTGCTGCCATTCAGCAGTGAAGGACATTAAATCACCCATAGCTAATATCGCTTATGACAGAACAACATACCTCAGCACACACCCTCCTCCTTTCTCTTTATGCACGCTCCCTCAAACGGTTGCACAGTCAAGGACGGATTGGAGACAGACGGATAGATAGCGTGGAGTGCACATGCAGGCAGCGGTGCGTTCTCCGGCCCGTTCCCCTCTGGGCTCAGCTCTGTGCAGATTACTGTATGATTTTTACGGCTGGCATTTGGGAAGCACTTTAGCAGTGCATAAAGACCTTATAAAAAGTGTAGTCGTAAAATTAGCAGCCGCAAAATATGTACTTATGTTTTCATGTTAAACTGGGGATATTTTCATCAGCATGGCCTGAGCTAACACACCTACTGTAAAAGCTCTTCAAAAGACTCACACACACATACACATACACACACACACACACCTACTCACTCAAGTCGTATATCTACACGCAGACATGCCTGTTGAATGAAAAGCAGCACGGTAATAACAGTGTGTGTGCGTGTGTGTATTACCACGTAATTTATGGTGACTTTGTCCTTCGTAAAAAGAGAAGCGGACTAACTGAAAGCAGCCTGCTCTTTACTCTGAGGCCATGCCACAGAGCAGCACTAGGGGGCGATATGAGACTGGATTCAAACTAAAAGAGCTCTTGGAAAGTTTCACCTCTCCCCCCCTCCTCACCCCTCTGCTCTCATTGAGTTTCCTTGAGCTGACTGCTCCGAGTTGTGTGTGCCAAGTAACTGCTTATCAAATGAGTAGGTCATAAAATAGCAATATATGAAATCTGACTCATCATGGTGAGTGAGGGAGTGAGTGGGGGAGGGAATGTCGAGGAAGTTGAAAGAGTTTTTCTCTACCCTTTTTTTTAAATTTGTGTGGTTCTGATTTCCTTTTCTTTTGCATTGTTTCCTGCCTCGCTTTGTCTTTATTTAAAAGAGTCTAAATCCCAGAAACTAACGACGGCACAAAAACTTCGACAGAGAGTGAGCGGGACAAACAGATCGAGAGACAGGAAGAAAATAAACAGTGAGAAAGAAGTGGCCGCTGAATCGCGTGACTGAGTGGTGTTTGTCCCTGAGGCTGGGCAGGGCTCTTTTTTTTTCAGGCGGGCGGTTTTGTGGACTACCCTCCTCTCATTCCACACACAGACTAAAAGGGTTTGCAAGCGGGTGGCATAATGAGTGTGTTGGTGTGTGTGTGTGTTTGCGCATGTGCATGTGTGAATGCATATTAGAGAGGCCCTGTGGTGTGGAACCTGAATGTGAGTGTGAGAGCGAAGGGGGGTGCACTTGGTTTGTGTTTGTGTACGCGCGTGCGTGTGCGAGTGTGTGTTTGTGTGCGTTTGACGTCATGTTTGTTCACTCTGTGGTTGCGATGGCATCGTCCCTGACGCCAGATGCCCAAGAAAACTGCATCCCAATTCCGTTCTGGTCCACTGAGTCAGGTCGTTAAAAGAGGGAGAGAAAGACTGGCGCACACACAGACACCCTTACAGATGCACAGACTCACACACACACACACAAATGCAGTGGCTCATTGTGTGTCTCTCAAACATGGTCAGAGATTATTCATAAATTCGGGCCTTTGAAGTTTTCAGACCTGTGATCAGTGGCGAGGAACTGGCTCCACACACAAGTGTAAATAGGGATTGTCTGTTTTTGCACACACACTCAGACCCCCAATACACACAATGCATGTGCAAACACACTGGAACTCTCCCAAAGCCTCTGGCTTTGTTACGGCTCCTTTGCAACAGGTTTCCTCTTCATTTGCTGAATCATTGAAACGACATATTTTCTTTTCACTTCTGATTGAATCACAAACATTGTGCACAATCATAGTTAGATCTTCTGTGGTAGATTTGCTGGAGATGGCCAGTTGCTGAAATGCTGCGATGCTTTTTATTAGGACCAGTGAAGTAATCTTATTTTATAAGTGTCTCCAGCTGTGGTGGTGTTGTGACTTTCACTTTTTCACATGAGACAAAAAGCTCAAAAAGTTTAAAGACAAAGTTCGGTAGCACTCAATCATATCATACTTCTTTCTCAGAGTATTCCCCCTCTCTGACCTGGTTGTGCGTCCGCAGCAGGCAGCACGTCTCCCTCTCCTGCTCCCTCTCCCTGGCCAGTCGTTTCTGCTCCTCCTGCAGCTGCTGTTTCTCATCCTGGAGGACTCGCATGGCCTTCAGCAGCTCCCTGCGCTCCTGCTGTGCCTCCTCCACATGCTGCCAGGAAGGAGGTAAAGAGGGGAGAGTAAAAAAGAGAGAGAAGGTGAGAATGGCTCCTGCTACCAGGAGAATTTTTAGTGTTAAAGGCACTTAGTTTTGTCCTTTGAAGGCAGTTGGCGTCATTTTGAAAACACTGAAATGAGTTCTGTGATGCACATGAGAATCCTTCATGCTTTGAAATATATTATCCATTGTTTCTATGGTTGTTTAGCACTTCAACAGACTATCTATTTTCACTATTCACAGTAATTTGGCAGGTCATATCCATGTTTTTTATTTTAACATTTTTTTATTCAACCAAGAATATTCTTTGTGAATTCCTGGCCAAGACGGCAGCTTACAAAGTTTCAATCACAGAACAAGACAAACAACAGACGATAACAAGTAATCATTACTGTCATCAATAGACTATCCCTGTTCCGCAGTAAACATGTCCATTCACTGGTCCAACGATCCTTAGTCCTAGTTTTACAGTCCTCCAGACAAATAAAATGATCTGTACTTAGGTGACCTCGCAGCTCAGTCCACAATGAGGGAGAAAAAACATTTAAAGGACTGTAACCAAAGATAGAGTGAGTCAGAGGAATGATATTCAGAGTTGGTCCATGAGATCGAAGGTTAAAGCCTATGACAAGATCAGTAAAAAGCATTAATAGAAAGGCAGCATGACCTTTTCATTAATTATGATATACAAATGTTTGGGTCTTCTGTTGTACAAACAAGACAAGTCTACTTTCCCATAAGAACACAGTGACGCATGCAAAACCCAAAGACTTACTGGCATGCTGCATGTTACATCCCGTGTGTGTAACATTGTGAGGAATCTCATGTATTTCTCTCATATGCTCAACAACATCATTGTAAACGAGGGCTTTGCTTTCAAGGAATTTTGGGTCGGAATAGATAATAATAAAACTAATAAACTGAGGCACATTGAATCATCTCACTTAAAAAATAAGAACTTGATGATCATTTTTTACTGTCTTAGACCAGAACTAGCCTGAATTTATAAAGATTCATCTGGACAATGTTGAGAGCAGCTTGTACATCATTCATTCATCTTAACCCTCACATACTGTTCAAATCCTGTACCCTCACAGTATGTTCCAGGTCAAAATTGCCCCTTCAAAGAGTTCAAAGAGCAGCTTTCTGTCACAGAAAGTTCTCTTGACAAGTTAGGTCATTTTGACCTCTGTCTAGGTGTGTCTGTGTGACTGTATGTCTGTGTGCGTGAGTGTGTGTGTGTGTTTCTGTCAAGGTAATGATAGTTTCATAATGATTTGAATATATATTTTTGAACAACAAACCTTATATTGAACATTGTTGTTACTGTTTGTCACTTGTCCCACACTGCTAGATCTAAAATCCATCTAAATATAGATACGGGTCAAATTTGACCCGTAGCAGCCTTAGAGGGGACAAATTTGTAGCACATATACAAAAATACACATGAATATTTTTAAATTAATTTCATGTATTTTGGGCAACTTCAGGAAAAGTCATCAAGTTTCAGGCTTAAAAAATGATGTTTAGGGTATTTTTACTGTTGTTAAAAGTCAAAATGGGTCAAATTTGACCCGAACAGTATGTGAGGGTGAATAGGGAAGTTGACAAAGTTTATATAAAGCATAAAAAACTCATCATCCGGAACATATTTACATCATTTATTGATATCAATTCTAATTAAAATATGACCCAGTATAGATCCTTGAGGGACACCATTTTTTAAATTTAATAAAAAATAGAATATAAGCCCTTGACTTTGACCAACTGCTTTTTTCTACTCAGGTTATTTCCAAAGCATTGAACTGGCCTTGAAGAAAACCCAATGTCAGTTTTCATCTGTAAGAGACTTGAATGATCAATTATGTCAAAGGCCTTATATAAGTCCGGATAAAGAGCAACACCCTGTCCTTTAGAGTCAACGGCGTTGTGGTGAATTGAACTACTGTGGCATCAGACACTCATTAAGCCATCCACTGACCCATAGGAATAGAGAATGAACATTTTCACTTTGTGTGCCCCACCTCCAGCAAACCGGTCTTGGTAGTGACGACCAGTATGTCTGAGTTGCTGTCATCCTCAGTAACAGTCAGCAGCTCCTCAGTGGGCGTGGCACATCTAAACTGGAATGGCGTGCTGGCTCCTCTGATGTCACCAGAATGTGTGACATAGCAGAACTGGTAGAACTCTCCGTCAGATTTGGGAACATAATAACCTGGAAAAAGTACAGAGTTGTGTTCTGTGGTGAATTATCTTGATGGTTTTCATTTCATTAAATGTTCACTGAATAATTTATGGATTTGATCGGGTGGCATTTGGAGTAGATTTGGTCAAAACTGTTTTTAATTATCAACTGATCTGATTCAAAAATAAGAAAGCACTGCATAAGAAATACTTGAAGTGAATTTATTTCTAAGAGTCTTTCCTGTTTGCTCAGATTAGACGTCATTTGAATAAGCTGATATTTGAGAAAGCCAATAGCTGCCCTGTAAGGTCACACACATCATTCACAAGTAAAGCCTGGTTCTCTGGGCCCAAAGAGTAAGTACAGAACATCCGGCAGCAGACTGGTTTTACTGACTACTGACACACCACAGCATGCTCTCATATTTTCACTGTGTAATATCTGACCGTTTCAGGCCCAGTAAAACCAGTTTGCAGGCCCTGAACCCGTGTGTGTGTGAGTGTGTGGTTTGAGAGGTGCTCAGGTCCCAGGCCGCAGTTTGTGGTTGTGTTCCCTTATTAAATAAAAGTGCTGGTTTTTATATGCGCTGTAAAATGGAGGAGTTACTTCGGAATACCCTGGGCCTGTACAGTCAGTGGTTGAAAAAGTGTATGTGTGCATATGTGTGTGTGTGGGAGAGAGAGAGTGTGTGTACCTTGAAACACCACAGTCCTGTGCACAGTGCTTCCTGGTTCATAATTTTCAGGCATAGGAGACCAGAGGAAGGTGTAGTAGTCTCTGGCTGTGCTCCATCCCACCTACACAAGGAAAAAATGAGTGTCTGTGACAAAAACTAGTCCCTGACTGAACAGTGAAAAGTAGAAGTGAAAATTTTACAGTATTTCTACATTAACCAAGACTATCACGAGCAGGATGACTTTTTAACAGGTTCTGTTTTTGCTGTTTGATTTTCAGAAACGCTCTGACGACAGAGAGCAGCAGGATTAAATAAACACTCAAAGCAAGAATGGAAACATTTAAAAACTGGCCACCTCTTTACTCTAAAACACCTCTTCATCCTCTCTCCTTCCTCTCAGTTCCTGCCTCTTTTGGGCTCACACTAAAGAGGGGTAGTGAAGGTGTGAGAATGGGGTGGGACAGCTTGGGGTGAATGTGGCTTTGCGTGTGTATACACACATGCACAGACTCGTGAGATGGCGGAGAACAACCCAGAGTAGAAATGAGAAGAAGGGAGGAGGAAAAACGTAGAAGAACGAAGAAGAAAAAGGTGAAAATTTTACACAAAATGGCAAGGGAGATGTAATTCCATGGATTTCATGTGTTGTTAGGTGACAGATGATGAAAGCGAGTTGTGAACATCATAACTCAGGTCCTGCGTCGTAAATCTGTCACAGGAACAACCACACACTCTCTCTGCTTGGGCCGTTTCTGCACATACACACACCTCGTTTCAACTCACATGTGTGATACATGTTTGAGGCATTACATAACTGGACTTCAGCTGCAGAAAACTCCACCACCTGTGGTACTGTTGGACTTCCTTACGCTTAAAAAAAGGGTGAAAAGTGATGAAGATATTGAATTTCCCTTCAGGGATAAATAAAGTTATTCTCATTCTTATTCTTATAGGGGAGAAAGTTGCTCTTGTGGATAGCTGGTGCTTAATTATCATATGTCATTACTGTAAAGACACTCAGTTTCTCAGCTGTACAGGAAATTAAAGGATGCATAAACAGACTGGGAGGGGTAACTTGCTTTTGTTAATTCTAAAAGAGCCATAACCTTTACAGACTAAACTATAACACGCCTGTAAATGTTTTGAAGTTAGAAATTTACATAAATATAATTCAAACTAATGATTAAGTTAATTAAAGGGGGGAAAAAAGAACAAAAGAAAAAAAAGCAGGAGGAGAGAAGAATAAGATTCTCCTAAAACACGACAAAGCACTGTCAAGCCCTAACAATAAATCAACCAAACTACTCAAACAATTGTCAAAACTTCAGGTTTGATAACGTCGTTGCATGACATCTAATTGTAGTGTTTGCCTCATCAAGCCATTACACTGAGTATAATGCTATTCCAAACAACTAGTAATTGTCAGAGAGAAAACCCAGGCCAAGAACATTCTTTCCACATCCAGCAGCATCTCAGTGTGAAGCGAGGCTGCCGTGGACTCCCGCCAGGTTTGCTTGTGTGCTCACGTGTGTTTGCTTAAGAAAGAACAGACATAAATAATTTTGCTAATTGCAGAGTGAAGGTGACTGACATTTGGTTAGGTATGGTGTGGCATTCCAACACGGGAGTGATGTTATAAAATAATCACAGGCAAAGCAGCTATCAATCATTCAGCCGAGGTGTGAGGGAACAGCGCGATGACACCTTAATTATACACTTACACAACGGGTTTCTCCCTGCCGACCCAACAAACATGCCACAACCGAAAACCTCCACAGGGCTTTTCAGGGAGTTGTGTATGTGTGTGCTTGCGTGTGTCAAAAATCCAACTCAAACAAACTATATCATGCACTTACCCGACAAATAAAGATCAGCAAATATGTTTAATTCATTAGTGATGAAATTCGTCATGATGGTGGACAGCAAAACAAAACGTGCACGGCTTGATTAGAGTGTAAACTGTTGATGTTTACTGTGTATACATTGCATGGATGTGCCCCTGCATCACCATGCAGGACCCAGTTTATGATACCAGGGCCCTTCTCTTTGGACTATGAACATTTTCAACCACTAGGGGGTGTCTGTACACAGCTCAAGTGAGCAGGTCCTGTCTGTGCAGTCTGAGTCATCCTGATCAGAAGTCTGTCTCTCTCTCTCTTTTTCTGAAACAGGTAACGCCTTCAGATGTGAGCGGGAAGAAGGGGGGAGAATGCTCTCTTCCTGAGTCATCTCTACACAAAGGCTTTGCCCTCTGGGCGGCAAAACGACTCATCAATGATGATTATCGGTGCTCAGTGAGGACGTCAAATTTAATCAATCATTTTTGTCACTCCACCCTTCTGTTGGTTTTTACATCAGACTCCCAGACACTAGTCAAACACAAGAGCAAACACAAGATCTATTAGCCCTTCATGCTGGCATGATTTAAAGCCCTATTATGATCAAATGGACAATAATTACTCTTAAAAGCAGTTGGAAATATACTGCAGACTTCTTAACAGAGTATTGTCTTTTCTTGTTGAGCGTCTCCTCCTGCTGTGGATTGGTGCTATACCAATAAAGATTGATTGATTGATCGATTAATTCGCTGAGGAGAAGAAGCAATCATCCTGAGTTAATTATTAACTGTAAATAAAACAAAGACGCAAATATTTGTCTGACTGTACAGAATTAAACACGTAGATATATCAGACAGATAGACTTGTGTGGCAAAAGTGTTAAAGAGGCACGGTCTGCGACTTCGCTGACATGAAGCACAGAACATCAAACACGTTTCATTAGTGGGATTAACAATTACATTTTCCAATTGACTTTTTTTTCCACATAAACACGGCATCTTTATTCCTGTTTAATTGAGCTGGTGGATTTGAAGTCGGTTCTCTGACAACAATAAAATGTTTGTCTTTTCAACTTTACAAGACGTTAAGTTTCCTAGTCGACATTTCCTGTTAATTATGTGTGAGATTTGATGGCCTCGATGAAAGAGCGGAGCTGAGGTTGGTTAGCAGGAAGCAGAGAGAAGACTGATGGAAAGACAGAGGGGGGAGCAGTGGTCCTAATAAGAATCAGATTGGTTCATTAAGAGCACCAAATGTTTGCCCCCCAGCAAGACCAACTGCAACCAGCCCACCGTGTACACTCTTCCTCTTTCTACATGCAGGGCAACCACACCAAAGCCTGTGGTGACGCATCAGGCAAGTAGTGAAGAGCTGAACCATTAGTGTGCAGGAATGATGTATGTGTTAATGTGCCAACTAACAAAGCTATGGCCAATTTATGAAACCAAAACACATAATCCATGTCACAAACACATGTGGAATGGGCTGATAATTACTCCAATCTTGAAATCTATCTCTGATTCTGATAAGTAAAGGTCTGACCTGTGATTGATCATGCTCTACAATGTATTTGAAGCAGCTGCTGCGTGTGTGATGTACCTTAAAGATGCCCACCCAGTCTTTTGGGTGAGGGGTGATGTAAGGAGTCAGGGTGTAGCGACACTCAAGGGGTGCCTGGGGCAGGAAACTTTTACCCACATTCTGGAAGATGACGTGGGCAAAGTTGGACGTTTCCATCACGCTGACGCTGCTGCCCGGCGAGGAGTCCACCACCTGGAACGATGACATTGTATCCTGTTGGTCACTTCATTGGTCTGCAAGAGAGACAAGCAAAAGGCAGAAGTTAAAAGCAGTCATGTGAAGGAATGGAATGCCTTTTTTTCGATCATACCAACACAAAACACAGAGACAATTTCTCAAGCTATCTCATAAATTAGCTTGAGAACACAAGATTATACAAGGACAAAATACAAGGAAAAGCTCACAGGGAGCAGATAGCATTTATCCAGTTTTTAGTAGGACGTTTTACCTCATTATTTAAAATGTAGGTCTTAGGATAGAGGCCGCTGTGTGCTGTAATGATTTTAAAGTCCTTCAGCACCTTACTGGTTCTGAGCAGTATAAATAAAATTGTCCTGTCTTCAAATAGACACAGTGCCGCAGTCCATTTTTATTATTATTATTCCTTGAAATCTGTCTGCAACATCTACTGAACAAAGAAACGTCTGTTTACAACTTAAGCCTACAAGCTAATGCTATCGCTCAACTGGTACACTGTCTTCAGTTGGCACTCATCCTGGGAAAATATGTAAGAGATGACCTATGAGCTTCACGAGGGTGTGATTTCAAATCTAACCATTTCTCCTCCAAGGCACTATTTTTAAAGCGTGTGTTGAAGTGTGAGTGTCATATGAATTTTTTTAGTGTGTGTGGTATTGTATTCTTTGCTCATATGGAAACTCTAAGACTGTACTCTTAAGAGTTAATTAACTAGCCATGGTGGGAAAGCACGACATAACAAGTGAAATACTGTGAGTCAAAATCTTGGAACCTTGGGCTATTTCTAGGCAGTAACAATGTTGGGAAGTGGCATAAAAAGACAGACAATATTAAGGGTGGGAAAAAATCTTAATACAACAGTAGATACAGCGTCATATAAAATTCAATAGGTTAGTAACATGACTGGGTCTAAAAAGAGCATTCCAGAGAGGTGGAGTCTCCTGAAGGTAAAGATGGGAAAAGGTTCATTACTCTACCAGAGACTTCATGTATTGTTCAACAGTTCCAGATTAAAACTCCTAAACATAAAAGTCCAAAGAATTTGGGGATCTCACCATCTAAAGTGCCTGGAGTCTGTACAGAGAAACACTGAAAAACAACACTGGCAATGGTCTTTAAACTCTCAGTCAGCACAGCATTAAAAACAGGAATTACTCTGTGATGGCAATCATTGCATTGACTGAAAAGTGTATCCAAAAACCACTGTCATGAAACAAAGTTTATCACTGCCTACTTAAATGCAGGTTAAAACAGTATTATACAAAACTCAGCTACTACTTGGCCCAAGCCATTTCAGATGAAATAAAATTCAAACATCAGAATCCACGCTGGTATGGGGATGCATAAGTAGGCAGGTATAAGGCTAATGTATCAGGTATCATATTGTAACAAATTATATTGCATCATATCCTGTTTGACACATTATATTGCATTTTATCCAATGGTATTGCTTCACATCCCGTCCTGTATCGTAAACTACCACCCCTATATAACATCCAGTCTTTATTTAGTGATTTCTGACTGAGTAGTTCTATGCCAGTAAGACTAAACACAGCCTACATATAACACTAAAACCATAACCTTGATCAAAATATAGCCCAACTCTGTAGAGCCACAATATGCAATCTGTTCTCTGTCTGTTTGCATCCTGATAGCAATAAACTGAAGCATTTCAGTAGTCATCATCGTCATCTTTAGCTACAATTCCGGTTAGAAACAGGCGACTGTGTTACAGCTTGGACACAATACATGACCAGCATTTCAGGACAACACTTATAAAAATATTTGTAATCTGTTTAACCAGCTTGTAATTTCTGTGATACTGTGTCATTGTGACTCAGTACCATGCTGAACCTTTGGTGACGTAGCTGTTTGCATGTGAGCAGTGACTGTCATCTTTTCCTAAACAAGTACAACCAAAACAACACATGATTTCATGTTACATGTCTTTTGTTTCAAATTTGGACATTGGCTTTGAAAATGTTGTTTCCAATATTAGAACAGCTTTTTACCACTAGAAAACAAAATTAGAGTGTGTAAGAGCAATACTCTTTATGTAGGGATATTCAAAAATCTCGCCTTGCAGCAGTCAGTGTCCTGATGTGTGAAAGAAGGACTGAACACATCATTCACATCCTCAAAAGACTTCACTGGATCCCTACTCCATTCAAAATCACTTTAAAATCCTATTAAAAGCCCATAAAGCACTCAATGATTAGTATATTTCTGACCTACTCAGACACTAAAGCATCATTCAATCCATCAGGTTATTATATTGAGGGTTTTTAGCTGTTTCTAGAATTAGATCAAAGTCCAGTGAAGGTTTTCATTTCCTCAGGTCTTTCTCTATGCAGAAGATGCTTGCTGCTCATGCAAGGTCCATCACAGGTCCAAGTGTTACTTATAAAAGGTGCATCACAAATGTTAATGTTACTGTCTGACTTTTCAAAGAAAACACAAAACCTAGACTCAAAAAGTATAAACAGCATATGAACAGCCACATTAAAGGTCCTTACACACCGGGGCCGACGCGAATACAGAATGTGTAAAATTACGAAATATTCAGAGATGAATTTTTACACGCCTGTCTATACACATCAAGCCCCATGCGATTTTGCAACTTTCCGGGGGGAAAAAAGACGCATCCCGGGGAAGAATTTTCCTGGGGAAAGTCCCGCCTCCTTCGCCTCTGATTGGCTAGAAAAGCTGGAAACGTCATCACACGCTCAAGCCAAATGGTCAGCACTTATAGCCAATCAGAGGCAATAAGATAAGCAAATGAAACTATGGTAACAACTGTTAGCATACTTTTAGCACAGATGAAAGTTAAAACAAAGACGTTAAAAAACTGTTAAAGCACACAGAACATCGTCATATGAGAGATCCGACGCTATGACTCTCCACAAGTTGTCCTTCAGGTCGTTATCTTTGTAATGTTTGCTTCTTTTATCAAAAAGCATTCTGTTCTCCGACACGTAAACAATCAGCCGGTCAGCCATGTTGGATATACCGGTGAATCAGACATCGCAACAACACGCAATCTGATTGGTCAGAAGTGGACACACAGTATGCGAAACTTTAGAAAAGTCGACTATGATCCGAGAAAATAAATGCCGCAATATCGCAGGACGGGGAACCATCGCTGATGTGAACTCTTGTATTGACAGAATACGGGTTAGAAAAAAAATATATTGTTGTCTGAAATAATCGCACGAAAAAAAACTGTCCCAGTGTGAAAGGACCTTAAGTGTGTGTGTAAATGTAAGCATTCATCTGCACTATGATTGTGAAGTTTGTTTTATTTTCTTTATGCTTTTCAGTGCCTGATTACACTTGGAAGAAAAGCAGCCTTTAGCCTCACCAGCTAAACTACTTATAGCAACTTTGTTCTTGTAACATTGATACAAATTGTGTTTCTGCATATCAAATTTTGACTCTGGAAAGTAATACAACAAAATGGCAATGCGTGTTTTATTAACATAAACAACAACAAAAGGTATCTACAGGTACGATTTAAATGTGCTAAATTATAATACAAATACAGCTACTAGCTGTAGCGTATTTACATCACCTCTGAAAGGCGTACAGACAATCATATTGTTGTGGTTTTTGGGTGGCACCATGGGCCTATGCCACCCTCAGCCACCTCTCTGGACACACCCCTGTTTGGTATGTCTGATGTAGCCTATGTTGTGTGCATGCTTAATAAGTGTGATTTCTGTTTCTGATTCCTGACAGTACAAATGGGTGTTGATCATTGTATTCAAGTGTCTTTACCCTCAATATAAAGCAAACAGAGCTGACTAAACTGCAGATATATGTGCTTCATTAGTCAGATAGCTATTGCTCTTAATCAAAGTCCTGACAAGCAAACAACACTTCCTACACGCTTCAAGATACAGCGACCAACTTTTAGCAGTTGTTTCCCTGTACAGCTAAAGTATACTTGATCTTTTAAATGTGTTTCAGCTGCTCTCAGGATAATCTTATTTACGGTTGCTACGCAGCTAACATTAGCTCGTGCTCAGGCCATGTCGTGTCAAGTCATGTGCTAGCTAAACATTATCCCTGTCGATAAGCTAGCTTGCTGACACAAGACAAGAAGATTACAGGCGCCCATCTGGCTTGAAATAGAAAGAGTACCCGTTTCATATGAATTCCACTTGCGATTTAGACAGGATTTCTGCCAGTCAGGCCGATGTTTTGCCTCTGTCCCCGTTGTTGTCACAGCTCTGACGATGCTGCGTCTCTTCCTGAAGGAGCAGATGATGCTGGACTTCCGGGATGCGGGGCACTGACAGGGATGCTGCTGCTGAGGAGGAGTTTCCCTTTTTTTTTTTTTTTATAAAATATTTTCCGTAACAAACCTTATTATATGGTGGGGAAAGACGAAAATGAACATCTTTTAAAAAATAATAATAAAACGAGATTTATACAAATAATAAATTACGAAGATAAAAAATCTGGCAATAAATAGAATAATCAAGAAAAATAAAAAACACAAAATATATTTTTTTTCTTGGTCTTCAGAAAGTTCACTTTATGTTTTGTCCACAAGGTTTCCCCTAGGTCTATGAAAAGTGTTGCATTGTTCTCCATTTGTATGGGTAAATAAAAAAAGGAGTATTAGATTCCACGTTATTTTCATATCGAATATAATTTTATAGTTTGTAAAAGGATGTTTGCAAATTCTCCTGAAGCCTTATGTTTAGTAAAATAAAAGATGTCTGTTGTCTCAATGTTTGTATCCCCTACAGACATCACAAAAGTTGTCGTTTTAAATATTTCATGTCATTCTTGAAAGTTTATCAGAAAAATGCATAATAATCTGAAGTTTTAAATGTATCTGCTTGTTTTGAGGTTAAGGATGCTGAGTAGATGGGGGAACAAACTGTAAAACACAAAAACTACCTATTTTTTCTTTTCCTGCACTTAAATTGAACAATTCATTTGAATCCAGCGACTTTAACTGAGCATAGAGTGTATTTTAGTAAGTTATCATTTGTTTTAGATCAAAATATGTGCTCTTATACACCGATTTTTCTGTTTATCAATCTATTAATTGACTGTTATCAATTTAGAGTGGGCGCTGTACCTACACAAGCAGTCAAAGGGCATGGAGAAACATCACAGGATATCCCTCCTTTGTCTTAATCCCATTGGCTGTGAGAACTTAAGGAGAGCTGCGATTGGCTCAAATCACGCTCAATCATAACGGTTCGGTTTGGCTTTCCTGGTGACTTGACAGCTGTCACCGTACGCCGAGGTCAAGGGGAAAAAAGCATGGCTGCATTGTTTAGAGGGTCGCGAAATTTATTGCTAAGGTGGAATAAGCATGTCGACCTTGCCTTTGGTAACGTATCTGTCGTATGGTCATTTTTCTTTCCATTTTTATACGGTTAATGTTTATGTGTGCAGAGCAGAATGCAGGCGGAACATTATCTGCTGCTGCCTGTTAGCTAGCCTGTTAGCTCTCTGAAGAAAGTATGCCTTCATTGCGTTAGTGCTTATGCTATCAAAGTGTTTAAGTCTGGACACAATGTCCCCGAGTGAGCCTCTTGTTACGATGTGCTCTACCCTGCAGTGTTCTGGTGAGATGTGCTTTGCACAAATATAGCTTAAGGAAAACAATAACCATTAACAGCTAGTTTCAGCTGGTAGAGATCTTTATGGATCATTAACTGCTCCTCTTTTAATAGTTTCAACTGGGTACTGATTGTATTTGTCATCTCTAGGTTTTTCCTGCAGTATTCCATATGTATTAGCACACTAGCTTTACCATCAGGACTCCTGTTCACATCCTGCAATACAAGACATAGTATATGTAATGAAACAGCAACAGAGTATGGAGGATGAATGAATATGATCAATCTCAAATTTCAGGGACCACCTACATGATATTACAGCCACTATTTCATTAGTTCACTACATATAAGTGCCTGGTATTGAAATGGTTGTGTTGTAGTCTGTTAAATTGTCTTAGCATACAGTTCTGTAAAAACCCAGCCTTAAAACACCCAAACACAGATACAGGACTCCCCCCTCACCCTGATAATGCCTGAACAAAGCAGACATGTCTTTCCCTCACTCCTGTGCAGTCAGTGTCAAAGTCCACTGTAAAGTTGTGCCAACAGCAGTTTTAAACAGCTCGACAAAGCCTTCTTGTGTGAACATTTCACACTAGCACTATTCGTATTTATGGAAACAGACAAATAGATCTTTGAGAGATGGAAGCCAAGTCTGCAGTAATGTGTGGACTAAAACTACAGAGCAGAAACAGGCTACATCAGTGGCAGGAGTATAAATTTGACTAGTTTTGGTGTTTATCTTAAACAAAAAAGATTGGAAGGTACCACTTTGGGGCTGGGAAAGTACAAGTAATAATAGTAACATCCCTAGATCAAGTGACAAAGATAACCAGTTCTTACTACAGTAGTACGCTCAATGAGTACCACTATGATCAATCCATGAAGTGTGTTTTTTTTTAAAGTTTGAGTTGGCTGTACTTTGTTATATCCTCTTGTACATTTACACTCCAGTATAAGAAGGCTGTACACAACAATCATAACATCAATGTATGCAACCGATTGACTAGTAAACAATGTAGGAATAGGGAAACTTCTGTATACATTTTAGATATATTTTAGACCACTGAAATTTGTCAGAAGCAGTATACAGTCATTATTCCCCTAATTTTTTTCTCTTTTTTTCCAACTTAAAAAAATTTGATGTATCAGAAGATGGAAATAATGTGTAAGGATTGAAGCACAAGATGGCTGTTCCCACCAATTTTGCATCTTTGATTTGTTTCAGGTTTTAAAGGAAACCACCCCTGATAAAATCAAGTTGTTTTAGTGTTGGCTGCTTTCATAACCTCAACATCATCAGTGAAGTAATGGCAGTATACAGAAGTAAACAGAAGGGTTGGCATGGAACTTTCTGTGCAGGCTTCACTTTCCAGGTCTAATCCTGTTGTAGACGAGGTTCTTGACTCTGTTTAGTTGCTATTAACCTTGCTGGACCTTGTCTGGGCCATCAGTGTTTAATAGCTTGGCCAGACTGCTCAAAAGCTGATTTTAAGTAAGAGCAACAAGATTTGCTCTGTTGTTATTGATTCTGATTAGAGCGTCATCCTCTGGTATTAGTAAAGTTGTTTTCCACAGTTTCTTTTTATCTCTGTCAGAGCTTCTCTTCACTACTGTCACAACTTGCTAAATATTTATTGCACAAATTTTGTCAGTGAATGGAAGTTCTGTCTAAAATATTAAGAGCTGTGAATGAACACTTTGTGTTGACCTGGTCATCTGCTAAATGATTTGTATTTATGCTGTTTTGCACACCTGTAATGGCTTCCTTGTCATCCTCCCACAGTGCTGTCACGATCCATGGCCTCAAAAACACCAGTGGGGTTTGTTGGTCTGGGAAACATGGGCAGTCCAATGGCCAAAAATCTGTTAAGAAATGGTTATCCTGTTATTGCCACTGATGTATTTCCTGAGTCTTGCAAGGAGCTGCAGGAAACTGGTGCCCAGGTAACACTCACATACTCAAAAACAGAATTATTAGATATTAAGTCTGAAATTCAACATCTCAACTAAGCTAAAAATACATTCCACAAGTATTTGCAAGATTTTACTGCCTATTAAGTTGTAGCTAGGCAAATTTGTGGTCAGCAGGTAGTCATAAATATGAAGTGTTCTGCACACAAATTTATTCATGAAGTTGTGTATTTTGTGTTGATAGTGCTATAATTTTATGACACCTTGATTTCAACATACAGGTAGTTGATACACCCGCAGATGTGGCAGAGAAAGCAGATCGCATCATCACAATGTTACCCTCCAGTCCCAACGTCATAGAGGTCTACACAGGTCCAAATGGCATCCTAAAGTAAGCAAACCTAACTCAAGACGTATTTACATTCGCAAAAAACTCCTGAAAACCTCCTGGAATTTTCTTGATGGGTAGCTTTGATGAACACAAACAGTGAATTTTTCAACCTGATTTTGCACATTTTCCTGCCATCACCTCAGTCAAAATGTTTCAAGAAATCAGAGTGAACCAGAATTTGAACACAGCAGGAAATATCCGGGATTGCATTTGTATTATGAGACAAATGCAAACCCGGAAGAGCAACACTTAACAGGAGAAATACCCCAGATTGAAAGAGAATCCTTCTCAAGACAATGACAGCAAAAATGTCTTCATGTCTGTCTGTTTATATGGATAACATCATGCCCTATCTCTGAGGTCCTGGCCTGTTCCCGCCACTTCCTGTGCTCTTCGTGCAACTGATAAAGTAGACAAAGATGCACAAAACCCTTTGGGAAATATCTGGGGATGAACATTTCCAAAAAAATCCAGGAGCTCATCTATGAAAGGGGCTTTACAAACACCAAATTTGTAATATATTTGACGCAATTACTCTTAGTTTATACACTTGACATGACACGTCTGTGTCTCTTCAGGAAGGTGAAAAAGGGAACACTGCTGATTGACTCCTCAACTATCGACCCTGCTGTCTCAAAAGAAATGGCGCTTGCAGCAGAGAAGATGGGGGCTGTTTTCATGGATGCTCCAGTGTCAGGAGGTAACCTGTCACCCAAATAGTTTTAAACATTTGCACCTTTTTATTGTCTGTCTTTGTCTCCATGAACTTCACACACATCTAGCCTTGCTAATTTGTTTTGTTGTTTGCTCTCTCTGTTTTTTGAAATGACACAAAAACTCTACTGCAGCCTCTTTCATTGTTATTATTGCTCATGGTCAAGCAGATGGAGATTAAAATGGGTCTATATGGCAGTATTAAAAACAGAATCAGACTGCTGATTTGTTCATTTGAGCACAGCAATCATAGTGTTAGGATTATGACCCCCTCAGCCCGACTCCTGAACTGTCTCACACTCTTTTGTATATCTAAACTATGGGACCTTTTGGGTGAGTGCTAGGACACGGATTGTAATTACCGAGAGGGCCAGCCAGTGGGTGCCCTCTTGAGGTTTTATTGCTGCTTTTGACCAGGGGTCTTAAAGGCAAGGTTAAGGTTTGAAGTCCTCATTATGTCTGCTGCTGTCTGCTCATGACGGCTTCTTGACAGAGCACAGGATCACCAGTCGTCCCTTAATGGGCTGAGCCGCTGCAGAGAATCCCGTGTCAGAGCTTTTTCATGTTGATGGAGCCGTAATGGCGGGTATCCCATGTTAGTGCCTTTCATGTCAGATAAAGAGTCATAAAGAGGAGAGAAACTGCCCTCACATGGAGTGCAGGAAAGGAGAGGAGGGAGATAAGACAAGAAGGAGACACATTGCAGTAAAACTGTCCATCTCTGTCCCTTCGTTTTTTGCTCTCACACCCACACATTCTCATTCATTCAGGTATGCACTAAAGGTATGCCTCAGCTTACCCCTCCTGTACACCTGACTGCCAAATCTGATCATGCTATATTTACTTTTTGTACAATCTCTATTCCATACACAATACACACTGTAACTCTCATCCTCTCCATTACAAACACAGACTGAGCCCACACAGGCATGTTTACCAGCTGGCGTCTGGAGAACAGACCGACTGCAGTCACGGAGATCAGAGCCTTAAGCCTGTTCCTCTCCCTTAACACACACTGTTTACATACTATAGACAGTGCACGGTTTGTGTGTGCAGTCCTCTGTGAAGGTTCTTCCTCTCTTGTCTCTTTACTAAGCCTTTTTTACTAGCATGAGATGACCAATGATTTACCTGCTGCCTCTGGCCTCTACAGGCAGCTCTCTAGACTCTCTCCTTTCATGCACTCATGCTGCATGCATCCGCCCACCCAGCATCACCTTGGGACAGCCATAAGTCTTATCAATGAGCGGGTTATTAGTTAAAGGGGAGCTAAAATTTCTGTAAATCTGTTCAGTTTATCAGTGCAAGTAATCTATGAGGCAAACTGAAAAGGTCAAGTAGCTTCAGCCTTTAAGTATTTTCTTTTTGCTGAAGGTTCTGACTACTTTATGGACAAAACAAGAAGTGAAAATAAGTCATCTAAGACTTTAGTGGGGCTTTTTAGGGAAAACATCAAATGCATGTATCCTAAATTGAATGTGTGAATAGGTTGAGAGGAGACTTTCTTACAGCCTTTGAATGCAGAAACTCAGCTGCTCTCTGATCTTTGTGGAGAGGAAGTTTGTCTGATGGGTTGACCTTGATAAGCCGGGGTCAACCTCTGGGCAGTAACTTTTTGGCAGATAATGGAGGCTTGTGTAGTCCTAGTCGCTTCAATTTCCTCAGCACTGGTTGGGATATAAGGTTACATGCACTGTTCCTACCAGGAGATGGCACTCTACCCAAATAGGGCATTGTTACACATGTGAGGTTTGTTAAGGGAGAGGTATGACTGACATCAACACAGTTCTCAGAGTAATACTTAAGTCTTTGATTGATTTATTAATACTTATATAAAATCTTGTCAACTAAAGAAATCAGTGTTGCATAATAATAAAAATGTCTCCACTGATTTTTTTCATATAAAATCACTTTGCCTCGTATTTCAGACAGTTTAAATCATAATTCTCAGAACAAAATGATTATCTTTAAAATGCCTTGGATAGAATAAATTTCAAGAATTGGAATTGTCAAATCAAAATCTATTTCACATCATGCTCACACAGACTTGAGAGATCTCCAACTCTCTTAAACTTTTTGTAGACAGTCTGAACTTTTTGTGGTGTCTGCATTTGTTTTTTTATTCTTTACTCAGATTTTTCTTTTGATATAAACTGGATCCTTTCGTGGAAGTGCGGTGTGTGTGGCAGCGTGTTTTACACCGAAATGTGTGTGTCTGTGTATGATGTGTGCGTCACCAGAGGTTTGGCAGCTAACCGTGGGATCTGAATAGCAAAGTCATAACCCAGTTTAAGAAGAGCATTAAAAAGGAAGCTTTCACTTTCTTCTCATGGGCTTCCTACAGGCCTCCAGTTTCACATCTGGGCCACTGTTTTGGCTTTAGGTCTGCTTGATCCAGCTGTTTACACATGTATAAATTTCAGTGCAGAGTAGTAATCTCTGTGAAAAAACACTTTCCTGCATGGACAGATTTACATTAGCTCTGACGCTGGTTCTTCAGGCATGCTTGTCGTCGCTTGCACAGACAAACACACACATACAAACACACTCCCACCACTGTCTGGTGTCATTAAAAGCGTCCGCATGCAAAGTTGACCCACAACAAAACAAGCTCTGATGTCACAGGCTCAGGGTGTTGGCACAGTGATGGCAAAAATAGGAGGTCTGGCTAACAAGCGGCGGGGTCGTTAGCAGTAATTACCCAGAGTGCCTGTGTTTGTGTCTGTGTGCCCATGGTGGGCTGCCACATTGCTAACGGACGATGGCTTTAAAACGGCCCTAAAAAACCTTTCATTGTGTTTTTCCCAACGCTGGGAAAGTCAACTATCGGTGCAAATGAAAGCAAGAGGGAGCCTAGCTGTTGTGGGACCGCAAGCGCTCGGGCTAATGCTGCTTGTTTGTGAGGTCTTATAATCCCCAGCTAACTACCTATTTAGGCTGAGTCTCAACACCACTCTAATCATATCCATACCACATAAACTGATGCTGAGTGTTGCAGTGTGTCATTTGCAGACAGTTTGAGCGTCATCCTGCAGCCTGTAGGAACTTGTTCAAGCCGAGGCTGGCACCAGTTGGTTCATCAGTCATCACTGCCAATCCACTCATCTGCTGACTGATCTAGACTCACTTTCTCCCTCCAGGCCTGAAGGTCCTGCGGCTTCTTACTTAAAGATCAACTTTGACTATGAGTGGCATTTAACAGAGTCAGACTTGAGATCATATCAGGAAGTTGGGATTAGTTTTTGTCATAGTTGACTAGTCGCCTACAGCTGTTTTGTTAAATTTGTAGGCATTCAGGTTTTTCCTTTTAATACGCTCGACTTAACCAAGACTATGTTTCTTAACAGAATCATGTATAATAGCCATATCCTGCAGATTGATGTGTAGATTTTTAAAACACAGAGCCAAAGGGGTTGGTTTATAATACGAGGCTGCTGTTTGGATCCATTTTTGAGCTTTTCCTACATTTAAAATTTTAAGAGACCATCATCTGAGCAAAGATTTGTGACAACAAAATGTTCAACCAAAGTCTGGCAAACTGTGGTGAGACTGGTGGGCTGGGGGGCAGTTCTAAAAGTCTGGAAAACATCGCTTATTTCTTATTTTTGAAGAACTTGATCAGACATGATTTATTATTCCATGAAGAGTATTTTTATATTTTTAGAACATGTCTGGAGGAAATCTTTTTCAAAGGGATCTTTGTGGCCCAAAAAAACCTTTCCTCTGCTTGTAAGACAAATTTTAACCACAAAGTATCAAAAACAACTACCATTTCATTTTCCATTGGTTGACTGATCAGTGGCTGATTTTTACATTTTTGTCATGTATTATTTTATTGCAGGAACTATTTTTTTTCCATCACACCAGTTCAAACATTAACTACTTCTCACATAATACACATTTCCACCGTTTTATTTACTTACCCTGTTGTCTTACTTATCACTCAGCTGTTTTTAGTTTTAGTTTAGTTTAGTTTATTCACACACATTATCACTATATATATCACAAATATAAATTACATATATACATTACATATAAATACATAAACACATGTACACTGGAAATTTCTCAGTGACTGAACGTGAGGAAAGAGTGACCCCAAGGAAGCTGTTTAAAGCTTATAGCAGGGGGCCCAATTACCCACCAATAAAATGGCAACAAACATGATACAACAACATACTACAACATACATAACAAACACATAAATGATCCAAGTGTTGTGGTTTAATTTGGAAGGTGTACAGATGTATTTAACAGATTAATCAAACACTATCAGGAGTCGCACTTTTAGTTTTTTTCTTGAAGATACAGATGGAATGTGACGTCTTTGACTTATTGTCGAGCTCATTCCATATCTCTCTGCACACGGTGCTAAAGCTGGTACATTTTAGTCTTCAATCAGATACTGTCAAATACTTGATCCTGATCCGTCAAAACTCCATAGCATCAGCATTTCTAAATAGCAAGAGTGACAGTAACAACCACATCATGTCAAACCAGTCCACAGAAAGCCTGATAAAATTTTTGATTTCACCTCATCCTGATAAAATTGTGGAAAACGTCAGTTTGAAACAGCCTCAGAAAAGCACATAGAGGATTTTTTTTTTATCAGTATTTGATTTATTTGGAGAGTATCAATCTTTAAATTGCTGGTTAGGAAAAGAAGATGAGAAGTTAGGGGGAAAAAAGCACAAAAATTAGTGAGGGATATCAGAAGCACACAGAAGGCTGAGAGAAAGAGACGTTAACAAAATTGAAGAAAACAGACATGGACCAGTCATAAACCACAACAAAGTTTGGTCTTTGGCAGTGTGACAGGATTGTGGAAAAAAATGTTTCCAAAGCAAAAGTTACAGGGTAGAGGAGGTTACTTGAGTGTTGGTGAGAAATTGAGAATTAAGAATTGTTTTATTACAGATGATTTCTTTAAACATCTGTCTTGTTGATGCAATCAGATACAGGTTTCCTGTCAAAATGAAATGAATCTGGTTTTAGATCCTGGAACAACAAGGCTTCAGAGATATTCTGTTGTGAAGTAGGCACTTCCTATAAAAACAGTTGACTTAGTATGTTGTGAAACCTGCCAGGTAACTCCGGTCAGTAAACGAGAAAAGGTCATTCTTATCAGTATAATCCAGTCTGAGAATGGGATTAATGAAGAAGTGAGTCTCTAAGCATTAAGGCAGTTCAGTGACGGTTCATGATGATCCTCTGTCTCTCACTTAAGGAGTCAGGTCGGACGGGCAGGAGGGCGGTGCTGTTGTATTCTGTCAAGTTGATGGCTAACCAGCACCAAGGAAAGCGTGAGCGGTCCAAAGACTCGATTAGCATAACAAGCCTCTCACTGACGGGATCGGGTGACACATAGACAAGGGGGATGAGGGGGGTGGGCACCAGTGGGAGGGGAGGGGAGGGTGACCAGGGACGGTGGAGATAGAGGGGAAGTGATGGGGGACTCTAGCCCTATGGTCCAGATGGAGGTGGACCGACAGCAGCTGGGGACTGGCTCTCATGTCCCTGCCCCTGTGTCAGCTGCTGTGTGTGTATGTGTGTGTGTGAGTGTGTAGACAAATAGTCAGCTGGCTAATGAGTCATACAGGAAAGTCTCTGTCTGTCAAATGTAGCCCACACGTCAACCTGGGTGTCACTCAACTAAAAGCAAATTATCTGTTTGTGTGGGAGCACTTGCAGCACCTTTTTTTCCTGTGTGTGTGTGTTTATGTGGTGTGTGTGTCCCTGCCTGCATAGAGCCTAATTGGGGATCATTATTAACTTGCTCTCTCCTCGATGAGTCTCATTGGGCCAGGGGGAGGATTGATTGTGGATCTCTCTTGCTCCCTGCAGCCTCTGTCACCTACCATTGACCAGCCCTCTCCCTCTGCAGAACAGAGCCGCTACTACTGATGATGATGATGATGATGATAATGATGATGATGAGGCCTGGCCTGTTGGTCAATTCACAGGCATTGCAAACTAAACCCCTTTTGGCTGTGTATATGAGAAACTCTGTTGATGCTGTAAACTGAATTCCCCTCTTTTTTTCAAAAACCCAAACTTTTTCTCTCCCCGCCTGAAGTTCTCATGGAGTATTTGTGTGCAGGAGTTGGTTCTCATGGCTCTGCGCTCGTTAACTTTAGCCGATAAAGAGTTTGTTTTTAACGCAACAGAGGAACATTAGCAAAGTTGGCAGCTTTAGTGTTGAAAGTGCTTTTTTTTGCATCACTGGCACCCTCGTGTCATTTCTTTTATTTACTCGATATCCGTTATGTTTTTTACAGGGCCTGTTTGGGTTTTTATTTCGTTTGAGAAAAACTTCTGCCCTTGCGTGTAATTATAATGGTGGACCACAGGAGGCTGCGATGTTGGCCTGTAAACATCCCACCCCCACTGGCTTACTCTGCAAGCAGCCATCTCCCATTGACTACAGGCTGTAAGTGTGAAGTCTCCTCTCAGCCTGAGTTATGGATGCATACACCAGAGCCAAAGACTTGAACCCCACATGTGCTCAAAGTTAAAAACTAAGTAACAAACAATGCAAACTACTGCCAAAAGTAGACTTTGTTTACATCAACTGCTTTTGGACCAGAAGGTGTGAAATGATTTCTGGCGTTTCTTGAAGAAAGAGCGGGAAAATGATCATTTTCGGAAATGAGGTGTTCGGAGGAGCTGTGAGGATATTTAAGGTGTTGTTTTGCTCCGAGTGTTTTTCCGTTTATACTCTCAGGAATAGAAAAAAAAGCAGGGTTGTGGCTCCTTCTCAAATGCGTCATTCATTACCAAACTCTGGGAACATCCCTTTTTTTTTGTGCGAGTATGTGTGTCCATGTCCCTGTATGTGTGCGCGCTGTTTGCGCCGCCTCATATTCACAATTGTAGTTTCATTTAAACCCACCACCCATAAAAAGTGCCTACTGGTTAACATGCGGCTCGTAACTCCGAGACGCAGCCCTCAGAAGCTCTAAGTGACGTCTTATTGGCGGCCGGTTCTGGGATCTGCACCTGTCCTTGGTACACACACACATGCGCAGATACTACATGCGCATGTACACAGACATTCTCACTTACTTTGTGCACACACACGCACCACTTCAAAAGGCTTTAAAGGTTATAAGGCTGTCATGACTTGCTTTGGTTGACTCTTTTGTGCGTAATGAAAGAAGTGCTAATGAATTAAGTGTTCACTACAAACAGGCCAAACCAAAGTCATTCCTCTGATCTTCCTCTCTCCCTTCACACAACAGAAATCACCCTCTTATGTTCACAGTTAATGCCTGTCGTCAAAGCCGGCTGTTAAACATCTGCCCTAATAGTGCCTGATTGCCTGCTCATTAACTTGAAGCTTGTTAATAGAGGAGATCAGATGAAGGAGATGTCAATATGTGTTTGTAATTGAATGGAAGTTAACTTGCGGGGGCCACACACAACCATGAACGCACACTCTCACTGTGTGGTGCCTTCTCATGCGTCATACAACATATTGCAGGAGCCACTTATTTCTCCTCTCCTCCTCCTCTACCTCACTCTCTATATGGTAGAAGTCAGAGAGTATCTCATTAGTAGTCTCCGACAGCTCCAGCATGCTCCAACTGTATTTGTATCTGAGGATTTGGGGTGATGTGAAAAGGTGGGCGCCCACTCATCAACCAACCAGAACTCGTCCCTGGAGTCGGCTTAGAGAACGTGAGCGAAGAAAGGGGTGGCTGTTTCATGAGGGAATCATTTCCCATGACACTAGATCATACTTTTGTTTTTCGTCTTTTTCACCTGAAAGAGGTGGTCGTATATTCTGATGTTAAGCGCTCCATATGCTCAATTTGCCAACTACTATAATGTGTGCTGCTTCGTCCATAACTTTCTATTTTCTGGATTTCTTTTTAGTATTTGATCCCTCCATCTCTCTACCCTGTATCTTCTATCTTAGGACACCCCCCTGCACAGGCACACACACACACACACACACTTGTACAATCACACACACACTTTCACACACACACAACATGTCTCTCCCCCTAGGGGGCGTTGTGTAGTTGTGCAGTGCTAACGATCCAGGACTGTCACTCCCGCTGGGATGGATGAGCCGGCGGACCCGGCGCTCGGGAAGCCTCATTAGGATTCCTTTTTAATCCGTCTCTGACAGGACTAGTCCGAGAGCAGGACGTCCCTTCACACACATACACACACACACACACATGCACCCACACGTGCACACACATACAGTACATGTTATGCTCTGCATAGACACTAATGTAGAATTACACATCACACACCGACACACAAAATGCACTTTTGCGCACAACTAACAGACTCACTGAAAGCCTCAACACACACCCACACACACACTCACACACACACACACATTGTTATGCTAATGATGTGTTATTCTTCTACCAGCTAGGATCTTCCATCATCCTGGTGTCACTGCATATAGAAATCCACTACAGATCATAAGAGCTTATTATGGGTGATTAGTTAATTTGAGGGAGGGAGAGATGGGAGGGAAGCTGGGAGGTAGGAAGAGAAGGATCGTTTCTCTTTCCTGCTCTCGTCTCCACATCTCTCTCTCTCTCTTTCCCTCTTTCACTCCTTTTTCTCCCTCTCCCTCTTTCTCTCTTCAGTGAGATGTATTGATCAGCGCGCTGACTGTGTTATCAATAATCTCCTCTTTAGTCGCCCGCAAAACAGTGATAGCCTCTAATGAACCAGCACAGTTGTCACACTGATCTTTCTGTGTGTGTATCTCTGTGTATGTGTGTATTAGCCTGTGTTTTTGTGTTTCATATATGTAATAGAAGACCGTCACGATATCAGATTTTCACCTCACGATTACCATGATCTTGATTCATCTGGAAAACGGCATTATTTATGAAAAAGAAACCCAGCTAAATTAGTCAGATTGGGGAAAGGTAAGACAAGGATGGAGACACACAGTACTTCCAAAACTTTGCTAACACATAGTGGTCGAATGATCACAGTTTTTCAACAGACGCCGATATTGATTATGACAGAGATGGTCAGCTGATGGCAGACATTAAAAGCTGGTACACACTAGTTTTATTTTTTTGCATTTTACAAAAATACATCAATTTTTTAATACTAACAAAAAAAGTTTCCTTAACATGAGTGAACATTTTATCAGATAAATGCAGATACAATAAAAGTTGGCTCAATAAAAAGTGTCACAAGAGAGTTTGAGGTTTTTTGTCCTGCAATATGAAATTGTAAGGAAAGAAAAATTTTCTAATTTAAATACTGCGGTTAAAAAATTAAAGTCCAGGAACATGTCTCAGGTGAATTTTTAACCAATCAATGGTAAAACACATATTTCAGATATTGGTCAAGAAAATGGCTGCTATTGCTGTCAATACTAAACTGCATTGATCTACTCATCATAGCAGAATTTCATACAAGACACTAGCCAGTGACAGTTTTAGATTTGATCTGCTATTAAACTGTGACAAGACAAACAGTTTTTTAGTGTGAAAAGGTAACAGTGATATCAGCCATGTGAGAGCCAATGCCAGTATGATGCCGGTCATGTCATGAAGCCATATTAATTGTCCAACTGATAAATCAATCTATCTTTACAAATAAACACAATTAATTTGCATGTCATACTGCACTCCTAATTAAGTTCAAATTTTATCCACATCACCATCCCTCTGATTTAAACCTGTCTGGAGAAGATGTTGCCCCATTAAAGGATTCTTGTTTTGTTGTCTGTCTTACATTTAGGTTTCTCTATTTCCTGCATTTTAAAAATGTGCTTTTAGTTTAAAGTATGCACAGGTGGGTTGCAGACCTAAATGAAAACAGTTTAAAAAAGCAGCTACTTCCTTTATGGTTATCTTTTGCACAATAATCATATTTTATTTTTTATAGTTATTTTTAGTTATTTTCAAATCTGGCATTTTTCAACAACTGGGTTTACACCTGCACACTCCCAAAGTGCCACTGAAATCTCAAACCTAAACCCTCTTCTCACTGCAGGATGTTTCAGTCGCCTTGCACCTACAGTGGACATAAAAACTCTAAAAAAAAATGTGACTGAGAAAAATCATTTTAGAGCTTTTCCCAACTTTAATGTGACCTGCAACCTGTACTATTGTACTCAATTGAGACAGACAGACAGACAGACAGACAGACAAATAGATACAGATAGATAGATAGATAGATAGATAGATAGATAGATAGATAGATAGATAGATAGATAGATAGATAGATAGATAGATAGATAGATATTAAAATGACTTTTAAATCTCTTAAAATAATCACTATAGCTGCCATATTTATGTATTATCTGCTTAACAGTTTTATTCATTAGGCTCCAACAGATGAAGTCCAACATTTAAGGCAGGATCAATCAGACACTGTCAAGTACCAAGAAAGTAACTGAGTCTGTTCCATCCTTGGTCTGTGAGCCATATGTGTGTATGATTGGTGTGTGTGTCTGCCGTATGTTAAGCGTGTGTATGCCGGTGTTCACAGGCAGCTGCCGCAGCGTGGGCCTCGGGCTTCATTATGTGGCCCTAACGACCTGCTGACAGCTCAACACTGACTCACACACACTTACAGTGCAGCAGCATCATCATACACTTGACAACTGAACAGCCAATTAAAGAAGGGGGAGGGGTGAGAGAGATGTATATTTATGTTTATGAGTAGTAGAAACATGCAGTGAAGAGTTCCCTCACCTTTCCCCCTGTTTCTTCTTCTGCAGTGAGGTCTGAAAATGTGACTTCAGCTGTTTTGTCCCCAGCAGTTCTCTTTAATTATTAACAGCGACATTATTAGGCTTTCACTATTAAGAGGCCTTTCATTAGAGCAGGACGACACCCTGAAGACAGAGTGAACTCACTCCCTCTCTCCTTCTCCTTTTTTTCCTGGGCTAACTGAAAAGTCGGCCACTTTGCATGAGCGTTAGCAGCCATTAAAGTTCTGCTGTACTTTTCTAGTATAGTATTATGAGTTAGTTGAGCATTATAGTTGGTTTTCTCCTTTGTGAGAGCCAGAGAACAGAAGATGAATAAACTAGATTTGAGTGACTGAGTTATTTTAGGGATATTTAATGATCCATTTTTGGGACACAGCCTCTGCAGAAGGGACTCAGGCTGATGGGGTCCATCCCACTCTGAAAGGGGTTTATTTCTCTGCATAAGGACCCTGTGGAGCTGTGTGTGTGTGTGTGTGTGTTTTCAGAGAGGAAGGGGGGGTGTGAGGTTGCCTCCTACAACATGGCACGCTCCTTAAGCCATCAGGCATGGGGAGGGACGCCTAATTGAACATGATAAAGTGTAAAGTTAATTACCCCTCACGCCTGTCACTGATACCCCCATGAGGGTGGCTGGCCTCGGGCACAGCTGTTGGTGGTTGTGTGTGTGTATATGTGTGTGTGAGAGAGAGAGAGAGACAGAGGGAGTAAGGAGGGATAGGACAAAAGGAGAAAGCTCCCATGAGGGTTGTGTAGTGGATGATGGCAACAATCGGCTTTTAAAGATACCTCTGTCCCTCTGGTGCATCACTACTTAACACTTCTGTCTCACTATGAGACAAACACACACCAAGTGCACAACTGACCTTTGAGACACAGTTTTTAGTGTTGAAAGAGTCAAGTGGATGACGTATTATGTTTTCTATATATTTTCGATGGAAACGTCTGTTTGATTAATCTGCACTTTCTCAGAGTTTAACTAAATTAAAGTCATAATTCAACCTTGTTCTGCAGCAAGTTATTGTTGTTCAAGTTGAACATTTATGATTGATATGAAAGTGCGCACTCTTCTTCGTCTCAGCTGACGTGTCTGAACATGTGTTTTGTGTGCAGGCGTTGGGGCTGCCAGCATGGCCAAACTGACCTTCATGGTGGGTGGAGTTGAGGAGGAATACAACGCCGCACAGGAGCTGCTCACCTGTATGGGAGCCAATGTGGTGTACTGTGGACAGGTTGGCACAGGACAGGTAAAAGAGTCATGGCTCACAGAGTCTGTGTGTGTTCTCTTCTGCTTTTTCTATGAAGAACTAGGTCAAACTCATCTCCTTTTACTTTGAAATGATTTTCTTCACCATGCAAACCCCCTGTTAAGATCTGGGCTGAGTGACTTCCTTCAATGGTCTTCCTGCTGGTTCTGAGTGGAAATTTGACCAAGAATTTTTCTTCCTTAAGCACCACCATTGTTTTATCAGGGTTCCTATGCAAGTATGGAAAGTATGGAAGGGTATGGCAATAAATTTGATCAACTTCCAGGTCTTAAAAAGTATGGAAAATGAAAAATAAAGTATGGAAAAGTACTTATGTTTCCAGACTATTACCACAGTTCTAAAATACTGTTTCTAAAATAGAAAAATAATTCTAAAAATTAGGGTATGGAAATTCTAACTGTGTAGGAACCCAGTTTTATTGTCCTGGTATAAAAAATTCATTTATTTTTATTTTTTTTATCCCAGTTCTGACTTTGATCAATCAAAAAAAGCTCTGCTGATCAGCTGCAGGAGATACTGTATCTACATAAGTACCCTCTGCTTCATTGCTTTGCCTCCAGCATATTTTGTTTGCTTTTTCTGATTCGTGTAACAAAATTTCCAACTATATTCTTTCCATTCATTTGGTCAAAATTGAAATAAGATAAGATACAGTATACCTTTATTAGTCCCAAAGGGGGAAATTCCAAAAAATTACAGCAGCATAGATCCAAGAAAAAAAGAGTAATTAAAGGATAAAGACATTTAAAGTTAAGTTAAGAAAAAGATATTTATATGAGTTCTTATACACATGTGTACAGACTATACATATCATATGATTTATTGCACACTGAGATTTCTGTTGTGGAGTTTGACAGCTGCAGGAAGGAATGACCTGTGATACTTCTCCGTCACACACTTCGGGTGGAGCATCCTTTCCCTTAGTGCAGTGACTCTCAAGTCCAGTCCTCGAGGCCCACTGTCCTGCATGTTTTGGATGTTTCTCTGCTCCAACACACCTGATTCAAATGATCAGCTCGTTATTAAGCCATTACAGAGCTTGATAACGAGCTGATCATTTTAATCAGGTGTGTTGGAGCAGGGAAACATCCAAAATATTTCTTTAATTTGAGTAACTTTGATGCAAACTGTATTTACCAACTATACATACTGCATGCATGTACTGACTCATGGCTGACTTAGACTTATTAAGTCTGTTGAATAATTTCTAATTATGTGTTATGTGTTTCTTTTTAATGTCGAGGCCATAATGTGTATGTACTTCATGTTTTATGTACAGGCTGTGTTGAAATTCTCCTCTTATTCACACAGCTAAATTGGCTTCTTCTGATCTGTTCAATCCTCTTTAGGCAGCTAAAATCTGCAACAACATGCTCCTGGCCATCGGGATGATTGGCACCGCAGAGACCATGAACCTTGGCATCAGGTACTGTGATGGTCTACCTACCTGTTCCTACCTGTTTGTCTTGTCAAATATTAAGAATAATGTGCCATGTTGTTTATGCAGGTAAGGTTAACAGAGCTACAAGAGCAGAACATAGATAACATTTCTGAGACTGAGGAACAGACTGAGCTACTAATATGAATACACTCAACTTCATCTTTCACCAACCAAACCCTTCGAGCAACACGCAGACATAGCTTGAAGAAACAGGTTCAGTTGATCCAGTTTGGTTTCGCTCCTGTGTTGAGAGATGTGGAGCAGCTGACTTCTCATTCTGAGTCGACAAAATGTTGACCTTTTTTTAACATGTGGTTGTAAAAAGAAAAGCACCATGAACTTAAAGGTGGCACGTTCACCGCGTACACATTTTCACAATTACACCACTTAGATATAGCTGTCACTGTGAAGGAATTACTAAACCGGTGATGTAGCTGTAAGAGTGGCTGAAATTTACTACTGCCTTACATGTTTGGAAGCGTGCGTGTGTGTGCGTGCAAAGGGGTCAGCCCAGCCCCGAGTCAGAGCCGCCTCTGCTGGAAAGAGATGGATGAGTGGGCGGAGCCAAAAGATCTGATTTACATCTGCTGATTGAGCTCTCAGCAGAATCTTGTCACAGCCCTGTCACTGAACACCGCCTAGAAATCACATCATTCATGCCTTACTTATGCACAGACCCTTTTTTGTCCAGGACACTGAGGATGATGGGATTTGAAGTCCTCTGGTTCTGATTTTTTACTGATTTAGAACAAAAAGATCACCAAAGAAATAAAACTTAGAAAAATCGTTGCATTTAAAACTTATTTGTGCGAATTTCCCCTCTAGATTTTTTTGTTTTCTGAATATTTACTTGCGTTTTTGCACACCAAGTGAAAAACCATCATACTGGTTAGCAATAAAAGAAGTGTAAATGTATTATCTACTCTATTTATATGTTTCTATTGTTAATAATAGACTACCACCTTTGTCCACGGTCTTACTATCATGTGTTTTTATGGGTTTTACAACTTAAAAGATGCTCTCACCCTGTATTATGTGTATTTGAGTGTGCGCACGTACAAGAATTGCCCTTCTCACAGTGCAGCTGTGTTAGTGCAGCTGATTTATCTGTGCCGAGACAGAGGAGGAAAATTGGCATGAGCAGTAGCACATAAATCCCCCCACTAGGCCTCTGAAATATGGAGGCATTAAGGGAGCAACACAGATTTACACATTGCCACACTGTCTCTGATGCACACACACTTTCCCCCCTCAGATTTACATCCACAGACACTGAGGACAGCAGTTTTCTACTAAAGTACAAAAACTTCTTCTCGCTGCATATCATTGTGATGTATGCAAAAGGACAAAGGATTATAGCAGGAGCAGTTTTACTCTTTAAATTTGAATTTGGAGATTTTTTTCTTCATTGTTTCCAAGCTGACACAGATTCAGCTCTGATTGTTTGCATACATGGTGTGTGTGTGTGTGTGTGTGTGTGTGTGTGTGTGTGTGTGTGTGTGTGTGTGTGTGTGTGTGTGTGTGTGTGTGTGTGTGTGTGTGTGTGTTTCCTTGTTCAACCCCTTCTCACTGGCCAATCTCTGGGGCTTTATTATGGGGTTTGACAAAGACTGTCATCTTTTAAAGAGAGCCCACACCCGTAAATCTCCCATGCTGCATTGCAGCCCGGTCTCTTATGCAGAGAAGACACACTCTTATGTGTGCTCACTTGACGCTCACACACATGAAACAGTCGCACACAAAGGAGACGGAGCACTCACAGCCAATTTACAGGAAAACGGCAATAACATTTTATCATGTTGGACTTGGGCCTGATAGAGCTGCCCTTTCTTTCTTATATGCGTGTGTGTGATATGTGTGTGTGTGTGTGTGTGTTTCGTCTTACCTGTTCAGACACACAAACAGACATGTTCCCGCACACACACCGCTCTGTTCGTGGAGCTAATTTGTTGATCTCAGATGGAAGCTCGGGCCGTCTCCAACAGAGCGTGACGTTCTCTTAGTGAAAGGGATGGCTACGCATGACAATTATGAACACGCACACACACACACACACACACACACGCCGCACCATTTTTCCTGTCCCTCTCTTTTGGCTTTTTTTCCTCATCCCCATTTGCCTTCCCTCCTCATTTTATTCCCTTATTTTAATCCCTTCATCTCTTTCCTTGCCCTCCATAATTTCTGCATGCAGTCAACCAGTGAGCGAAAAAAGGAGGATGAAAAGCCGCAGAGTGTCTGATAGAGAGGCTGCAGGGATTTTAATGATGCACGAGACATGAAAGGAGAGGAAGAAAACATGACCCAGGAAGTGATATGAGTTTTTGATTTTTTTCTTTTTTCTTACAGTGAAGAGTTCACCTTGCACACCTGTGTACCTGCACTCATTCATGCATCCATAACATTGAAGCTAGAGTAGGAACACTCACATTTTTTTATGGGGGCAAAAAGGCAAATCAAAAGAGGTTAACAAGACGAGCCTTTGTGTTGACAGACAGAAATAGGTTCCACACAGCACACACACATAAGTACAGACACTCTGCTCTGCTCTCCTTGTGAAATGAATTGTGAGCATATGTTGAGATGACGATTAAAGTTGGGTGATAAACATGTTTGTTGGCTCTGTAAATGAGACATTGTATGCTCGTGTGTGTAGACTCGTTAGCTCTTTAATGCAATAATAAATGGGGAGCGGGGCTGGCTTCCTCTCTTGTGGCATCAGACGAGGACGAGGAGCTAATCGGGATGAAGCAGTCAGTTAATATCAGAGCTGCAAATGGACTCCACCTGCTACATAAGCACATGAACGCCCTCCTCTCCTTTTGTCATCTCCATCTCTCTCTCTCTCTCTCTTTATCCCTCTCTCGTTTCTCGAACCTGCGGCGGAATCACACAGCAACACGTCTGTTTCACTGTCCGTGTCTTTGTGTGCTTATCCATGTCAATCTTGTTAAAGCGTGACATGTCCTCTTCTCCACGCAAATTACCGCAGGCGAAGAACAACACCACTGCGTCAGCTAATAACCACAACTGTGTGTGTGTGTCGAAGAGGTTGTGTGTGTGTGTGCGTGTGTGTGATGGGAGCAGGAGGGGAACTTCATTGATTTATCGTTAACAGAGGACAACAGCTCCCCGTCAGCGTCTCTGGTCGCTATAACAAACGATCTGCGCGCTCGGACGCGCTTTATTGTAGCTCAGCCAGTAACCTTTTCAGCTGCTGACCCAGAACGCTGGGAGGGGCTGCCTGCTTATGTGTGCGCGCTAAGAGATGGGGGGTTTTGTGCACGATGTCAAACATATGTCCCCCAGAGTCCTCAGACAGGGAGGTGTCAGCAGGGTGGATGAGGGGGGGGGGAGTAGGAAGAGAAGGATGGCGAGGGGATGCTTGCAGACATAAACTGAAAAAGCGCCATCAGAGAGAGAGAGACTGCAAGCTGAAACACATGTTTACGCTCACACACACACACATGCACGCATGCTGTGTCACTTATGCCACATTTCCAAAACAGTTTGTTAAGAAAAACAGGAGCGAGGCTGAGCGGACACAAAAGAGATGAAGGGAAAGGGTGGAGGGAGCGACATGGAGAGAGTGTAAATGCAATTCCCTTTCTTAATTAGTTAGTAGACAGCTAATAAAAACTGTGGTTGTAATGGCAGAATGAGAGCCAGGTGGAGGGAGGGAGGGAAGGAGGGGGGAGGCTGCTGGCCTTAAGGACCTATGATGGTTTAATAGTCATATTGAGAGCAGAATAGAGTTACAGGCCTGTAAGTAACAGTGAGCTGAGGCAGCCAGGGCTTGATGTGGGCTGCTTTACACTGGCCTTTAAACCGTTAATACACAAAAGCTGCACTGCACAGACACAGACGCTACAGTTACACCCTCTCTGTACTGTAATAGCCGGCACTCTGTTTCACTCCCTGCCTCTGTCTGCGCTCTCTTTGTCTCCTTCGCCGTCCCCTGCCTCTTATCAGAGCTGAGAGATTTTCGTTCCTCTTGCATATGAAAGTGGGTTGCGGCAAAAATGGGGGCAGTAGAAAGCGAGAGCCCGCACTCCTGGAAGTGACAGCGAGGTTTATGGCTCCTCTGTGCTGCTTAACCACTTCTCCTCCACCGCCACCTCCTCCACTTTTCATGAAAGAGGGGATGATGAAGGATAGATGTGCTGGTAAACATCAATACTGCATTAGCCGGCATTACAAAGCCTTCAGCCATTAACACTGAGGGATGGTCGTAGTCTAGCATAAGGTTCAACGGGGGTCACGGCAATCACCAGCAGCCCCACACCCGACTTTTTCCATGTGTTTCCTCAGCTCTGAAAAATTATTTCCATAATCAGCACTCTTATTTCTCCCATCTGTTTGTCCCTTTTCTACTGAACTCTAAACCCTTACACCAGAAAAGCCTCAGTGAAAAACTCTAAATGTTGCAGTCAAATTGCTCCTCTAAATTGTTCGATTTACACGCAGCCTTTGAAGACATGCTAACTTCTTTCTTCCTGTTTTTTCGCAGACTGGGTTTGGACCCAAAGCTGCTGGCCAAGATCCTCAACATGTCCTCGGGTCGTTGCTGGTCAAGCGACTCGTACAATCCCGTCCCTGGCGTCATGGAGGGAGTCCCCTCTGCCAACAACTACCAAGGCGGCTTTGGAACCACATTAATGGCCAAGGTAACGACCTTATTCCTGTCTGTTGTGCTATTTTGTGAATATTTACCAGCATCTGGCATTTTTGGGAGCTGTTTGAAACAAAAAGTTCTCTTCCTGGACTAATCTCAGGATCTTCTTTGATTTGAAGGCTTTTACTGCCTTTAAATGTCAGAAAATTGTCAAAAAGGCCTTTAAAATGCATTAACTCTAAGCTGTCTTTACATTGTTTCCAAACAATCCAAATCTACAGATTTAAAGGAACTGTTGGGAGTTTTTGACTGGTTGAAAAACAGACTGAAACTGATACTTTCATCACCTTCAAAAGTAAATGAGACCATCAGCAAAAAAAAATTGATAATTTCACTGTATGACATTTAATGCTTAAAATCACTCTGAGGTAGCAGACCTGGGGTCCGTTTCACGTAGCAGGTTTAGTGGAAACTCCGAGTTTGTTAACCCTGAAATCAGGGAAACTCTGAGTTTTCCGTTTCACAAAGGAGGGTTAGTTAAACCAGGGAGAGAGGGGTAACTCTAACCTGTTTCACAAAGAGCGGTAACTCAACCTCGCGGTCAGTTACCACAGTAACAGACTCCGTGAACCTAACCTGCTCGGGAGCAGGTTTAACTCAGTAAACCCAGAGTTTCAGGTGAGACATCGGCATTTTCTCATTTCGATCATGTTTTACATTGTCAACTAAGTATTAAGTGACAGTTTGATCCCTTAAAAAAATGCTCTTTTCACACTCAAAACTGAATTTTACTCTCTTATTATGTTCCGTTAAATGATTAGGAATATTAAACTAACACAAAAACGGGTGGTGGTCCAGCAGCCCCACCTTTAACGGAGGCAGAGGAGCTGCCCCCCACCCCACCCCGTTCGACGATCGCGGCCGGTCCGATCGCAAATCCCCCCCCCCCCCCCAGACACACACACACACACACGCACACGCACACGCACACACACCAGTCTGACGATCGCTGCTACGGGGTGGGGGTTGCGATCGTCTAAGGGGGGGGCAGCTCCTCTGCCTCCGTTAAAGGTGGGGCTGCTGGGCCACCACCCGTTTTTCTGGCATCTGCCCTCTTTCTGTTTGCTGAGTGAAAGTCTAATATTGAGTGTAGTGTGTGTTAGTTTAATATATGTACATATACATACTGAGAGTTAGTTTAATATTCCTAATCATTTAACGGAACATCATAAGAGAGTAAAATTCATTTTTGAGTGTGAAAAGAGCATTTTTTAAGGGATCAAACTGCCACTTAATACTTACTTGACAATGTAAAACATGATCAAAATGATTCAAGCAGTTTCCCTGCAACAGTCTGTCATTGTGTTTGCACGAGACTAGATTTAAAGTTACGCATTGACGCGAGCAGCGATTTCCTCCCATGCCCTCTCCCTCTCCTTTGCAGCTGCTGCTGTATTGCACTTTCTTTTAAAAACGTGCTGTCATTCGCTGTTGGCTTGCTGCTGCCCCTCCTTCTCCCTGTTTCCATTGGTTGATCATTGAATCTGCGCTCCACAGATGCTGGCTGTTTATGTCTGGCGTGCACGTGCTTAACTCCAGGTCAAACTACTCGGAGTTGTTAAAACCGTCTCAAATCAGGTGTTGTGAAACCGGAAACTCAGAGTTTCCGAACTCAGAGTAGATCAACTCAGAGTTAAGGATTTAACTGTATGACATTTAATGCTTAAAATCACTCTGAGGTAGCAGACCAGATGATTGACAGCTGGCCTAAAAACAGCTAATTTGACTTTTTTCTTCACTGACAGTGTCTTTTACACAAAGAGACAACAGGATGAGTTTTTTTTTTCTCCTGAATACACTACTTTTACTTGCACAGGACAAAAGATAAGAGGTTTGACTTTGTCCAGAGGAGAGGCGCCATAGCAACACAAACCAAAAGTTCCTTACTGTAGCTTTAAAATGAAACACAAACAGAAGAGAGAAGAAATTCCTCATTCTTTAGAGGATGTATAATGAACGATTTAAATGAATAACTTATCTGTCAAAATTGTTTCCTTTTTGATTTTCCAGCTGAATAATAATTCAGTTTCTACTTCTTTGCCTCTTTTCTGTCTTCACGCCCTGCTTTTGTCAGTCTCCCAACCCGTAATTTGCTTTGTCTCATTTTAACTGTTCTTTTGTATCTGCCTTCCTCTTCATGAGTCCATCTGTGACCTATTGTGTAACACTCAGTTTTACTGTCACTGCATTAGCTCCTCTGTATGGGTTAGGGTTGGGGTGCATCTGGGTGTCTGTTAATGTGCTTTCACTGTTTGCTCAGCATTCATTAGCCAAACTAAACTAAAGAAACTTGATGGAATTGGTGTAAACATTTACCTTCTCCCAGCCACTTAAATCAGGTGTCAGTTAAACAAAAAGAGATTATTATTTCAGTTCATGTATCTGACTGTCTTACCTTTGCAGGATCTTGGTTTGGCTCAGAACACCGCCACCAACACGAAGACACCCGTCCCTCTGGGCTCCCTCGCCCACCAGATCTTCAGAGTCATGTGTTCCCGTGGCTACGCTAACAAGGATTTCTCATCCGTCTTCCAGTTCCTGCGTGAGGAGGAGAGCCAGTGAATGGAGAGAGAACACAGTGGACTGTGATGTTACCATACACACACACATATACACACACATATACATACACACCCCAGTGACCCTTATCCCACTATGCTCAGGAGAGACGTAGGCCTTGCCCTCAGGCACAGATCTGCGGTCCAATTAACATACTGTATGTCGACGTGTGTCCCCTCATCGCATTAGCTGAATCATATTTACAATCCTCGGCTCGCCCTCTGCATGGTGGAAATGCTAAAACTGACCTTAGACCAGTATCTAGAGACAAAGCCGACGCTCTTCCCAGTCTGAGCTGAGAGGCCAGAGTGGAAAATGAGAGGTAGGATGAGGCGCTGCAAGGTTTTGTGTAACAATGCAAATAATATGTGGTTTTTTTCAGAATGATTGATGAGTAATAAGTGCATGATTGTTCAGAGTTTAGGTACGCTTTTGTTGGGTTTGCGCTTTTTGCCTGTGACCCATATGGTTCAGATCAGTCCTGAGGAAAAAAACACACAATCTGCAGTAAGGGTTTATATTCTGATCAAGTGTAATTGAGGAGACAGTGCAAGAGAGTGCAAAAGTAAATATTAAAATTTTCTTTTTACTGGAACTACAGAGCCCATGTTCACAGCACTACATGTAAGGTAACCAAAACTGACCCCACTGTTGGCTCATTGTTTACTCGTTTTGTTACATCAGTCTGTTTATTTGCTGGAAGCTGCCAATTTTCTGTACACTTATATTTGTTCATTCCACTTTTCAAACATTCAGATTTCATTATTTACCTCAAGAAAACACGACAGTTACATCTCTCAGATCTCTGGTACGTTGAGCATCATTTGACCATCACTTCTCACTGGTTCGCTCGGTTCTGCTCATTTAAAAAACTGTGATATATATTTTCAGGCATTTTTTAAACTGTGTGCATCGCAGTGCGATGTGCCGGGAAATTTTGATACAGTTACAGAAACTCTTTGACCTTACCTCTCTTTACCGTCTACCGCTGCTTTTTGAGCCACTGGAGTATTATTTTATGACCAATGCTGTTTCAATTTTATACTATTCACTACAAACTTGCTCTTACTGTCTAGCACTTTCCGCCATCTTTACTTTAATTAAAGTCTATCCTCAGATATTTCTCCTCTCTCTCTCTCTGTCTGTCTCTCTCTCTCTCTCAGCTTGTTCATCATCTGTGAAAAATGTGTGCGGGGAACAGCTCCTTCCCTGCCTGAGCAAATGTATATAATGTATATTTCATATTGTTGTGTAGTATTGAAGAGGACTCTAAATGGGCTGTCACTTTTTTTTTAGTAAAACTCATCGCTAGTGTCTACAGTTTGTCGTTGCTCTGTGAAACGGATCATCAGTCATGCTGTAGCCTAAAATAAAAGATGTTCTGTGGACTCTGTGTTTGTTTTTTTTGTACGATAAATCTAATGTGTTTATGAAGATGGAGCAAGTATTATTCAAAGTAGGGGTGTCCAGATACAACTTTTTGACTTCTGATACGATACCGATATTGTAGCCTTCAATATTGACCGATACCGATATTGACCTGATATTGGCACAAAATTGTGCATGACAAGTTTTTCACTCAGCTGCGATGTCTTTTTCAGACTTAAACAAAAAATACTGCCACATGGCCAACGTCACTCCTACTTCTTGCTACTTTGTTTGTACCTTAGTACAAACTGTTGTTGTGATTTTGTGGGCGCAAAAAAGATATCAGCAAAAAACACCCCTAATTCAAAGCATGTTTCCTTGTTGCCCATCTCTTTTTTTGAAGGTTGACTGCACAAGTTCATGCTGTTAAAGCAGAGCGTAAAAGTAATATGATTGTTGCATGGGTAATGGCGCTGCATGCAACAATCCCTTCTCTAGATGAAACAAATGTATCCAGCCTTGAGCATCCAAAGAGCACCCGTGTGTGACAAATACAAACACCCAGCAGTGCTTATTTTCTTTTGTCATAACATTTGTTAAGTTCAGTATAAGTTGCTTTTGAGTGAGTGGCACAGAGGATGTTTATACATGAGAATACAAAGTGCACATCTATTAGTGAGTTAGTATTTGGTAAACGGGTGTAAGCATGACTTAATCATTTCATATTTGGATTTTTTATGCCTTTACATGCCTACTAATGAGCCAAAAACATTACAATCACCCGCCTAACATTTCATAAGCCCCCATCTCGTCTGGCCAGGATATTTGTGGCCCATACCCAACAAGACTCCCAACCTTAACTCCACAAGACTTCTGAAGGTGTGCTCTGGTACCAAGAAATTAGCAGCAGATCCTTTAAGTTCCTGGAAATCGAAAGTTTGGGCCTCTTTGGATTGGACTTAGTTGTCCCGCATTTCTTACAGAGAGCAGGAGAATCTTTAAGCCATGTCAACACTGTGAACTTTTTCTCCTGTTGCTCCAGGCTACATACCCCTTGGTGCAGTTCTGATTCCAATGTAGGCTCTACTGGTGAAGGACAAGGGTCAGCATCGACACTCTGACCAGGACACAGCTGTGATGCTCTGTGTCCTGATACTTTTCTATCAAAACCACCAGCATTCACTTCAACACAGTTTGAGCTGCAGTAGCTTCTCTGCATTATCAGATCAGACAACCCAGTGATGCTGTGATAATCACTTACATTCTGCGAAAGGCACCCCAGATTTTGTGTTTAAACACCTTTATGTTACGTTTGGTCATCATTTCATTTGCAGTTTTAGGGATGATGCTGTCACATTTGTTTCAGATGGGGAATGGTTTTTTCTTGGCCTACATTAACACCAGGTAAGATGACAAAAACTACAATAACATTCAATGTGTTTTTATTGATTGGTCGGCAGGATGCCGCTCACTATGGTGTTGGGTTCAAGAGTTGTCACACTCACACTCGAGCTGTTCCTCCATTGTTCCTCCAAAGCTCTCCAGCAGGCGCTCATATAAAGCTTAACGTCAGTTGGGGAGAAATAGCAGCACTAATCTCAGAATGATGCCCTTATTTCCATCATTACAATGAAATGGGAGGAAAAAAACAAATGTGGTTTTGTTTTATTCTACCCCGATTTTTTCTGAGGGCTGGTGTTTCTTCGCGACATTTTATAGAGCTGCTGTCGTCTAAGTGGCAGCCGCAGTTGTTGCAGACTGTGGCGAGCTGTTGGTGGCAGGGGTTGTGTCGTGGGCTTGTGACTCACTTTGTTATTGTTCTTTGGGGAGAATTGACTTGCCGCCACTTTGTGCTTTGAAGATAATTTCAATCTGATTTTGAAGGAGAGGTACTTTAAAATTTTGATGAAGCAGCAACTGCTACCACGTGTGTCCTCTCGTTTAGAGCTGAGGTTGCTCGTCAGGAAGATTTGGTCATTTTTTTTGCATTGCAGACAACAGACTCTAGTCCTCCTGAGGTCTCCCTAAACACGAGCTACGCCTCTGCACTGGTCTGCTGAATTAGGCAGTTGACTGATTCATATTTGGGTGTTTTAATTTGCCTGTGTTTTATAGCAGGCTGCTGAGCCGGCGGTTTCCTCATTAAAGGACACATGAAAGCAAGCTGTAAAGCAGCCTCGGTATAACCAGCCTGCGCTGACGTCTGAAGGGGATACAAGCGACCGAAGGACCGACCAAGTCCCGAGCCAGCCGGTCTGAGCCGGAGGGCCTCACCCTCTGAGCTGGGCAGCCAGTGGCGGGACACCAGACACACCACACTGAATTTTGTCCACACTAGGATACAATACCGCTGTGATGTGTCAGCAGGAGTTCACTCTATGATGGAAGATGTGTTTGCATTGTGGGATTAAAACATGGTCCAGTCTTAAAATATAGAAACTATTACTTTTTTAAGAGTCACGATACCTCCCCCCTTGCTATAGATACTTGAATTCACACCCAAATGAATCTAAGCTATCCCTGCAAACAAATTTAATCCCACTATATGCAGGTGATAGACTCTTATATCCCTTCAATTTCTGTTGCTTCTCTTTCCTCAGCTTTTGAACTTCATTGCACACCTGGTTACCCCCCCTTCTCGCTGCCATTTAAAGAATAAAACAGCTCTTAGAGTCGCCGCTGTGATAAATACCCGAGGCAACGGCGTTCATTATTTCCCCATTACAACTGCTGGTGGATCCTCTCGGCTGTTTAACGACTCTCTCCTTAAGGAAGTAAGAGCATTGGGGTCACAACAGGGAGGGGGGGGCCCTAAGCACCCCGTGATTCATATCAAATGCACGTTAAGTGGCATGTGGCTAAATTAGTGGCTGGAATCTCGCAGGTATAATAGCTCACCAGCAGTGCGTAACGAGCCACCGTCTCACTGTGTAGTAATGTGGCCTTGATATCTTTTACATGAACCCACCAATAACAGTAAGGTCATTTAACTGGAGTGCATATCCACACCCACAGTGTCTGCACATCATCACAACACCCACACAAGTCCTCTTCCTGTTTTGTAGACAACATTCCCCCCATCCTGAGTCATTGACTCTGTTTAGGTTCATTAGTGAAGATGATTCCGTTGCAGACAGCGGGTCAGCGTGTAACACGTCAAGACGACAGCGAGGCACAGAACAGCAGCTAATTATAACTATAAGGACCTCGTTTGAATATCGGTGGGGGTGTGGGGGAGCTGTTACAAAACATGGTGCCGCCTCCTGACTCCAAGTTTGCATTCAGAGAGCACAGGTAAATATCTGGGGTAGAAAAGACATCATTAGATCTACACTGCTGGTCTCTCTTATTTTTTTACTCACTTTCACTCCAACTTCTACTTGCTGTGTCTGATTGAGTTTTATCAGTATTTTCCCGATGTTTACGGTAAAACGAAAAACAGGGAAAGATTAATCCAAGAAGAAGTAAAGCCTTTGCTGATAGGCGTCCTTGTTAGGGCCTGTCGCCACCAGCAGCATTGTTGTGCCATAGTGCCTATTTTCTGTGCAAAAACCAGAGCAGATCCATATTTTTTAATACTCAGCGTCCTTTGACATTAGCTGTTTGTGTACCTTTGCAGCTTTCTGAAAAGTGTTCAATTTCCAGAACTCTGCTGTGATTGTTAGTATCACTTCTTCTTTATCGGATGATTAAATTAAAGAAGGAGCATCAATGTCATCAACGACAACAGGAGAGGGCAATCTAACCACACTCGACTCTTTGAGGGTACAATCTTCAGGTCTGTAGCAGGACAGGGTTCTTTCGTTGTTTTTACATTTTATTTTGATTTTTTTAAGTACATTATAGAGCTTACAGAGGAATTCAAAGCAGACACAGTCTTAATAAGACAAGTCAATGTGCTGTGAGAAAACCCAGAAACAGTGGAGGTGAGAAGTGCTCTGAATTTTTGTAGGAAGGGGATTTTGGATCAATCAAAACATTTCAATTGGGCCCCACCACTTCACCATCTAAGATGTCTTGTAGGGCCCCTTATTGTTGCAGATCCCCACATAGGGTGCCCTCAGTTGTGGATGCTGTCAGCCCAAAAATGGTGTTGATGGACACAGGCCCTAGTGACTAGGATTGGTGATCAAAGTCATTTATCAAGATATGACCCAGCAAATGTCTACATTTTTTCTTGAGTCCTTGTTTATAAAAACAAGTTTTCAATATTAAGGGGAAGAGCGCTCATATTTCCTAAATAACAGTGACTTAAAGCTCTTTTAAGGAACTTATAGTTTGTTGGTGCAAATTTTGGTGCACCCTACAGACCAAACACTGTCTGCCAACCTTATGTACATGTGGAAGTATTGTTGTTTTTTAGGCAAAATAAAAAATTAAATAGACACAAGTCTCATTTTAATTGATTTGATACCAAGTGAAACATGTTTTAAGTTGTATTTTGCTTCTTTGAATTGACTGAGTTTGATGTTACTAGTTTGTTTGGCCTCGTTTGAAGATATAAATGCTTAAGTAGTTTTAAGCTTCAGTGCTGAAAAAGCACCCTTCATTTAAGTTTACTCTGCTTTTCTGGATCGTGTCAACTCAATGTCTTCAATCTTATTTTCAGTTCTTAGCCACAAGAAAAGTTTGTTTAGTGTACTGGCAGTAAGCGCCACACATGCTTCTATAAAAAGTTTGTTGGAAATTTCTCATGGCTTGTTTGTGGTGTGCAAACCGGAATTCATTCATACTTTCCTGCTTTCTGTCTCTGCCCTATTCTCTTATTTTACACCACACCTCTCTTGGTATTACCCCCCACACACCCTCTGTCACCTGTGACTAACTGCACTGTGCACACTCGATTCATCACACACTACTGCACATGCTCAGTAGCTCTTCATTATATTAATTACTCTCATTGGAAGAGTAATCATCAGGCCCCGTCAGAATTCATCACCGCCTGGTTCCCACAGAGACCCAGGTCCAGTAAATAATCACCGGTGTCTGTAACGGAGCCCCAGCCTCGCCGTTACCAACAGACCCACCAGGGTGGGCCTTAAATACCCAGGGGGGCGCAGCTCCCACTGAGACACATTCATCTCTGCCAGAAGAGAAGGTACCTGAGAGGCTGGGTCCAGAGGCTGCTGGTGCTGTAGGCTTGGAGCGGGAGAGCAGCAAGTAAAGGTAGTCTTAAGTCAGCTCAGTGTTCATAGGAGAATAATACGTTCTGTTTCATAATGGGGTCTCCAGAAGAGAGCGAGTTTGTGAAACAATTCTTCAATCAAATGGTCTACTATGAATTTTCTTGTGTTCAACTTTTTATTGATTTTGATTTCCAAGAAATAAGTAAATAAATTTACCAAAAATGTTAGACAAAGTAATTCACTTCAAACCAATTATTGGGTTAACTTTGAGGCTATTATGCCTTTACTCAGAGAGGAAAGGACACTCGAAAACTAGGGAATAGAGTGGGGGGCGATATTGCACAAAGAGCTGCAGGTTGGAATCAAACCTTGGCTGCTGATTTTGAGGACACTGTGCACAGGGTGGGCGAGTTCCACCAAACTGGCCTCTTTCTGACTGCAATCGACCTCCCACAGACTGTCCGTGGCTATCACTTCCTTGCTCTTTTGATCTACACAAAGACATGAATCCTGGAATCCATGTTACCAGTATGTACTATAACTGTTAAAACAGAGAAAATTTCATTCTTTGTCAAGTCTGCTGGTCACTTTGACGACTACAATTCAATGACAAGGAAGACGTATTTGTTAGGAAACTATTTTAGGCTAAGAACGATGCGCTACAAGTGAAAACTTCTCAACCCCTCACCACCACCACCACCACTACCACCAACTCATTATGCATGTTGGCTACATTGTCCAGATGGCATTAAAGACAGCCACACCACCATTGATATCTGTATAGTCTCATCCACCACATAAACAACTATAAACTCAACAGCTCCCTTCAAAGTGACAGTTTTAGTTTAATTAAAATATAGCCATTGCTGTTCCAGAGTTGTGGCACCCCTGGCATCTTTCTCCTTCAAAATAGACCTTATGTAGTGGATCTATGTTTAGCTTGACGCTGCTCCTTCAGATCAGAAGTAGAGCTCATAGCAGCTCATAAGTTTTTGTCCCCTCAGCACAGCTTTAATGTTCTTGGCCTTTTGGACAAAAAATAACATGATGGTAATACTACAAATGCTGTCCACGCTACCATTTCACTCAAGAACAGGTTGAATTTGGTAGCTACACATGCACCCCCCCACCCCCAACCCTGGCGATGAGTGTTAGAGAAAGACAGGATGGGGCTAAGGTTTTTACAGTAAACCAGCTTTAATGATGTCCATCTTAAAACAAACAAGTAGGGCTGCAACAATTAGTCGACATTCCCGACAAAAATTCCATTGTCAACTTAACTTTTGTCGCCAGACGTGTTTTTTTCAGTGGAGTGAGGCATCTTACTTCATTATGATCTCTGCCTAGAGTCACACATGTCACAATAGAGTCTCCACCGAGCAGTAGGGTATTCAAACTTGGCGGCGCAGGTGTCCCATACAGCAGCTACAAGTACGCGCTTAAAAACCTCCACAGTTTGGGAGCACTTTAGCCTAGATAAGTTCATAATTATCAGATTAGTCAACTAACTGTTTCAACAGTCAACTACTTTAATAGTCCTTAGTTGCAGCCCTACAAACAAGAAAACAAATATTGTAAATGTGCTAAACATATGGCAATACCATGAGTTCACAGTAGTGGTCTCCTACAGCTGCTTACATGTCATAAAACAGAGGAAAGAGGAAGAAGCAGCAGCTGTTAGTGAGCTAGCTGTAGCAGACAGTCCATTGAAAGATGCCTAGATTCATACCCATTGTTTTTACCATTTTCATTTAGTTCAATAACTTACCATCCACCAAAAATAGTGCACTTAAAAACAAAAGCATAGTTTCACAATGGAGGAAATAAAACAAAACAACCAAAAACGAGAAAAAATGAATAAAGGATAAAAGAATAACAAACAAGTGTTTCATGAGGCAATGTTTTCTCCAGGGAAGCTTCAGTCACAGGCCTGGTGATGTGGATATATTATAAATTTGGATGGATAATGATATGTAATTGAGTTGTGTTTATTCCTGAACCTATAAAATAATGTGTTTCTCCATTCATGTATCACCCATCCTCATTTTCACTAAATATGTTGTTTCATTTCAAGTTTTTCGTAAGTATCACAATAAGAGAGAAAACCTGAATAAACATAAAAGTGTTCATAAACTAAGCCGTAAATTCTAAGTGAAAGTGAGTCACAAGTAAGAGGCTTGGCAGCCCAGTGGTGCAGGAGGAGAGAGAGAAAATCTTTCTGAACTTCACTTAGGAACTACAGCACCATTTAAGATGTAAATGAGAAATTTCAGAGCTCAGTCTGAATATATCAGCCTTCAGCCTCAAACCGCTCTGTGCACAGCATCTCTGTGATGGTCTCATCTTGCTCTGTTTAAAGCTCTCTTCATGGCCAATTGACCTGATAGCTCACTCTTGTCTCCTGCTAATTGAACACAAAAAGAACAAGCGTGGAGAGAAGAGGAAGAGAGAGAAGAAGGAGTGATGTGATAGAGGATGAGCGAGGGGAGCGGAGCGAGGGGTGGTGTAGCATGCAAGGCCTCATTGATTAGGTGGTGAGCGGTGCAATGTTTCTCTCCTGACGCTTACACGCATTAAAGCTACATAAACACCCATAATTGGTTCGTTTAGAGCGGAGTGGAGAGATGCAGCACACACACAGACACAAACAGACACAGAGGGAGCTATCACTGTTTGTGTGTGAGGAATGCAAAATGACAGAAAAGAAGAGCAAAATTAAACTTCCATGAAAAGTATCACCATCCTGCAGAGCGGTTCGTGCACGCTGTGAAAGATGCTCATAAATGTGTGTTTGCCTCATGTCCCAGTGCTATACTAAGCAGGAATGATAAAAACCATCCTGAGAGACTTTAGGATGACAATGACACTCACTTCTGGGAGGGGAAAAATGGGAGGGGTGCGGCTGACTGTGACAAATTAGCTCTCAAATATTGAGGAAGCGGATTGGCTGCAGGCGTCAGGAGGGAGAGGTACGGTTGGCTAGCTGAGTTGATGGATAGTTATTATGCCGTTCTATTAAAAGAAGATGCAACTTTAGGGCTTTGCAGTGTAATGATAGTTTTGAAGAGTCGTTCAGCATTGTCATGGGATTCTGCTATCTGTGGGTGCTCATTTACGCACGCTTGTGGGGCACTGTCTATTTCCTGGAACACAAGACACCAGGAGAAAACAAGACAACTGCGAGCACGATGTCCTGCAGCAGCTCTGTTCTTGGATGACAGTGTGTGCAAAAGGTAATATTCAGGGTGTTCCCTGCATCCCGTAGCGTCACATCCATCAGGTCATAAGACCTCCTGACAGGGTGTAACTGGCCAACCCCACCCCAGAGGGCCGTGTGACTGGCTGAATGGAGCGCTCCCTGGACGTGGAATGATGGGATTCCTCTGTCTTGGCTGTCATCTCTAATCCGACACTCTCACCCGCACAGCTGAATCTTCATCTCTCTCTCTCTCTCTCTCTCTCTCTCTCTCTCTCTCTCTCTCTCTCACACACACACACACACACACACACACACACACACACACACACACACACACACACACACACACACACACACACACACACACACACACACACACACACACAACTTTTCCCTCCTCTTTCCCAACACACTCAGGGCCACAAATAAATTTGCATTCACTGCCAATTCAGATGCTGCATCAACAGCACTGAATCTACATAATGTTGACGTGGCCAGGTGCTAAGTCACCATTATATCTCTATCTAACACACACACATACACACACATAAACACACACAGGGGTGGGCAGGCAGGTCACAGTGGCCTCAGAGCACTGGACTGTGCTAAGCAGATAAATATAGCGAGGACAGGCTTTATTAGAATAGAAAAAGCTCTGTTACTGTCAGAAGTAAGCATGACTGATTAGGATGGACCTTTACCTCAACACTCAAGTCCTTTATTCAGAGGAGCTTCAACACCTCCTGCACTGTCTTTTCTGAGCTGCTCCACAGAGCGCCAATATGTCCCACGCCAAGTCTCTTTTAAAATAGACTTAAATTTCAGGGTTCTTGGGTTTAGTCGGGTGTTTGTGTGCACTCTAATTTACAACCCATGTTCTCCGTCCATAAAAAAAGAGAAGGTGTGTGTATGTCATGTCCTCCTAATGTAACTGTCCAGCAGATTACCGCCTTATTGCCTCCAAATCAATACTCTCGAGTGGGTGAAAAATAGTCTCACTTCATCTCAAGTCCTCTTAGCAGCTGCCCTGCTAACTCGTCCACCTACATGCACGTATTTTTGTTCATTACAGAGTTTAAAGTCTAAGAAGATTATTGGAAATACAAAAGAGTTCAAATACAAAGATGATGGGAGAGATGTGAGATGTGGAAAGTCTGTTCGACCTCATCACAGCCACTGATCCTGCACACGAGGAGTTATCCGCTCTTCTTGGTCCTCGAAGCTTATTGATCGTATACATCCAGACAGAGAGAGGAGCTCCCTCCCTTCCCCCCTAAACATCACCCCACACTCACCTCATAACTGAGATCAATATTGATTATCATCTCTAAACTGCGTGTCTTTGACCGTGTGCTTCAGGAGCCGCTCTAACCAAAAGATTTCAAAGCTCTTGCAGAGTGGGGGGTTTGAGGAAACGATAAAACATTTGTGATTTTGGGTTATCAGTTGGGCGTTTTGTGAGTCAAAGCGGTGGGACATAAAGGAGAATGATGATGGGATTGTAAGACATGATATTGTGTTAACTACAGTTGTTTACGCAATTAGCCAGAGTTGCTGTTGATGAACTTTTTTTTGGTGGCAGGATTTGAACTTACCGTAAATTCCCTAAAATAAGTCACACTGGTATCCTTGTGTGTAAT